TTGTCACCCAGTCTCTTCAACAGGGAGGGCATCACACTTAAGTCCTTTTGGAAGCCTCCCCAGAAGTGATTAATATTACAGAATTAACAAGCCAAAAATATTACTGAAGCTTTGCTGTGCTGTGAGTTAGGCAATATTAAGCCTTCATTGCATTTATCTTTTCATCTCTAAAGCTTAATTTATGCTAAGCTTGTGGTAGGTATAGAATGTGTATTTGCATTTTTGACACTCGTGTGACGCTAATGCAGAGCATAATAGCTTAGATTTGATGCATCAAAAAAAAAATAGCTTCTGCAGTCTTGCTGGCTGTGAAGCATTATTCATTGATAAATCAGCTGATAAAACTAGTGGGATTCTTATAAACCAGTGACGGATTTGGATTTTTGGTCCTCCTTTTAGAATGTTCTTTTAAAATTAACAAGTTAGAACCATTAAGAGTCAAAACATGAAGTTACTGGTGGACTTAATACAGCGCAGTAAATCAGTGTATCAGCAGGTCAGCCTGAGAGACCAGGCTCAAGACAGGAATAGCTTTAGAAAAGACTTGAATACTCTTAAATCTGAACATCTTATATCTTAATTAAAACCACTTCCTGAAGCATTTTACAACATCGTGGTTTTACCCTTTTTTTCTCTTCCACTGGTCTGTTTGTTTACTTCTGTCATGGCAGTTGTCTCTCTCCACCTTCCTGTTTCAAAAACCCTGTTGCAAAGTGGTAATTCTATTTTGTCTATTCTGTGACACAAAGTTGCAAAAGTCAGATGTTTTTGACAAAGATGGCTGCTCTTAGTGAAGATGAAAGCCACAAAATTCACTGCAAGTATGCTTACCTCAGATTGTTTTTGTTCTTTCCCATAAATCTATTCAAGGTGTACCTGAAACCATGGTTCTATAGCTTTATGCATAAAATGAACAAAACTAACTAAAATGCAACATGTTTTTCAAGCTTCCAGATTACATTTAAAAATTCACCTTAAACTTCCTTCTTCAGTAGATTGCTAACAGCTCTTGGACACTTACCTTTTCAGGTATTTCCATGAAGATTTTCTCCATGGCATTGGCACTGTTGCCTTTAGAGGTTTATACAGTCAAGTATTACAGACAGTGGTGCGGAACTGCTGTAAAACAGAATCCTAATAACCCTAAAACTTGAGGGGAGGAGGGAGGTATTCACCTTCACCGTGTTAATGCACTCCTTCAGGAAAATCAGTGTGTTGCTCTAAGAATAGAATTCAGTTTTGTGCCAGGGCCAGGGCAATCCCAAGCACAAATTTAGGCTGGGTGGAGAATGGATGGAGAGCAGCTCTGTGACGAGAAGGACCTGGGGGTGTTGGCTGACAAGAAGCTCAACATGAGCTGGCAGTGTGCATTCGCAGCCCAGAAAGCCAACCGTGTGCTGGGCTGCATCAAAAGAAGTTTGGACAGCAGGATGAGGGAGGTGACTCTCCCCTTCTACTCTGCTCTTGTCAGGCCCCAGCTGGAGTGCTGTGTTCAGCTCTGTTTTTCCTAGCAGAAGAAGGACGTGCAAGTATTAGAATGAGTCCTGAGGAGGGCCATGTATCAGAGGGCTGGAGCACCTCTCCTATAAAGACAGGCAGAGAGAGTTGGGGTTGTTCAGCCTGGGTAAGCAAAGGCTTCAGGGAAACCTCACAGCTGCCTTCCAGTACCTACAGGAAAGATGGGGATGGACTTCGTCAGGGAGTGGAACAGAACAAGGGGGAATGGTTTTAAACTAAAAGAGGGCAGGTTTAATTCAATACTAGGAAGAAATTCTTTACTCAGAGGGCGGTGAGGCCCTGGCACAGGTTGCCCAGAGAAGCTGTGGCTGCCCCATCCCTGGAGGTGCTCAAGGCCAGGCTGGATGGGGCTTTGGGCAACCTGGTCTGCTGGGAGGTGTCCCTGCCCATGGCAGGGGGCTGGAACTGGGTGTAAGGTCCCTTCCAACCCAAACCATTCTGTGACTCTTGATTGCTTCCGTCTAGGCAATGCCAAAGCAGATCCTTTTTCGATATCAGCTGTCACTGACTTTAGCTAAACATTTCATTATCCATCTGTTCATTTTCATGTTCAGCAGGTGCTTATCAGTAATTTCTCACTGAACAAATTGCTTTCTAGCCTCTGCCTTAAATACATGGTTGCTATCACTTCCTTGTGTTCATACCCATTTTATTAATGCTTTTGGTGTGCTTTGTTTTATTGCATCTACTGCAGGAATGTTGTTTTTCCTAACCCAGCTTAATTTCTGCTTTCTTGAAAAAAAAAAACAACAAAAAACAGGATTTCTGTCAGATGCATAAATCTTTCATCTGACAGCGTCTAACTGAAGAGTAGTCCACTACAGCATTATGTACTAGAGCATTTTGTTTTCAGTATAGCTGTGTGTATTTCACTCTTCCGTCACATGCAGAACTTGTTGGTAAACCAGCTCAAATTGAACTAACTTTTGCAGAAACTGTGGTGCATGTGATTATTTATTTCCTGAAAATATGAAACACTGGAAGTGATGTTCTTCCTGCAGGTGCCTTGTTAGTGCTGGGACACTTGGACACTTCCCAATGTATCTAAACTTTTTTTTTTTTTTTTTTGCTCATTTGTAGGTACGAAGCTGAACTGAATCCTGTAGACCATCAGAAGGCGAATGTCCTCAAGTATCAAATGGAAAAAAGACCATTTTTTGAAATGCCTTCACACCTGGCTGATGTAGACTTGGATGAATATGACTATGAAGAGGACTTTGAGTAGCTGTTGCGGTCAACACTTGCAGAAGAGAAGGGACAGTCTGCAGCAGGTCTGCTACACACTACACATTTCAGTGGGGTTTGTTTCCAGGAAGTCAGCTTAGTTTTGTGCTTAAAAAAATATTTAATCACTAGACTACCTTTTAAAAGAAATGCATTTGTATGGGATGATGAAACTTTTGTATTTATTCAATAGTCTATAGTTTTTAAAATTGATTAAAATATTTATTTACAGATGTTGCATAATTCCTTCTTGGAAGAATAACAATATTTGACTTTAGAGAAGAGTAATCTACTGTTTTTTTAAGAGAACTGGTGTAATTCTCTCTAAGTTGAGGCATGGTGCACTGACTGTCTCCGTCCCTTACGTAGAGAGGCATTCCTGCCTTGCTAAGGGAGGTAAGGAGACGACTTCTACCTGGCCGGCAATGCTTATGTGCTCACAGACAGCGCTAGGGTTCTTGTGCCTTGTCGGAGACGTGACTGAACGTGTGACCCAGCTCTTACTTACAGACGCAGTTTTATTGGACAAGCTGAGCATATTGGTGCATAAGGAAAACTAATGCCAAAACAAGTTGCTTCTCTTCTCTGTATAGTCCTTGTTTGCCCCAACTTTAACTTTGCTTGGCCTTTAAACTTCAGTGTTTTCACTGACGTTCATTATAAAAATACTATTAAATAGTGCAGTCTGTTTTAGTGTTCATACTTGATCCAAAACGAGTGTGTTATTTCTTGTAGAAGGAACCAATTTTTTTAAATCCTTTGTATAAATGTTACTTGATCAGTGATGTGCACTAATTTGTTGTGGGCATTCAGTGCTTTTGTCTGTCCTCCCCTTCAGTTGTTTGCTATTGACACATTCCATGGATATTCATAGTGTCACAGCAGCTTGAAATTGTTGCCTCACTCTTACTGTTAAACAGATTTTGTTGGAAAAAATGTACAAAAAGATGTAAGTTATTTTGTTTGCAGTGTAGATCTGTTTAAAATGTTTAAAAAATCATGTTTGTATTTTGAAATAAAGATTTTCATACATGTAATTTAACAGCTCTAATTGTTATGTACTACATCCAATTAAGTTCTGAAAGAACCACTTAAGCTATGGGTTCCATATGTATGCAGTCTGGCTAGATAATTACACCAAGCTGCATATTCAAAGCAGATGAGTTCTAGCAGGTTTTTCCCCATCCACATGGCAGTGATGCTACACAGCTGGAGGAGGTACGGAGCAGTCTGTGCCCTCAGCTCATCCCGTGGCCTTCCATTGAGACTTACAGACTTACAAACCTGTGGGCCTTTCAGTAATAGAGCTCATCACTCACAGCTGCAGTCAGCCTCGCCCAAAAAAAATAAAATCATTAAAATCCTTAGAATATTATTAGAAGAAATAAAGTTGTGGTCCATTATGCCACCTTTAATAGGAATGTATAAATGTCAAATTTCTCTAAGTGTTATGCAGACACCTTTCACTACTTCCATGTTTTCCTTAGATTTTCAACCACTGAAGATATACAGAGCATTTATTAAGCTCTATTTGCCAAATGTGCTGTTAAAAAGATGCCAAACTGGCTTTCTGGCTGATGAACCTGAGTGTCTATTGCTGCTCCGGAGGTTCGGAGGTTGTGGCATCCTAATCTTCCCTACCCAAACCCTTCAGCTGGGAGCTGTCTTCTTAGAAGCAGCTGCTTCAGCAGATGAGCAGCCAAAACTTTTCTCATCACAATTCTACATTAAACAGAGCTATGGTGAATGGCAGAACCTGTAGCCATGGTTGATGCTTTGTGCTTTAATTGAGAACAGGAGTGGAGAGATTTCACTATACATTTGATATCCAAGGCCCTTTTTTCCCAGAGGATGTGCAGACGTTTAATGGAGCAAATGAGTGTGTTGCTGTAGAAGTCTTGTTCCTTGAAGAATGATTACTGTACCTTCCCCTGAAGCGTAGTTCCCATCCCTAATGGTTTTTCCCAAAAGTTTGAGAGCATTTGTGCCTGCGGTCCTAGACCTGTGTTCTTGGTGCAGCTGCACACTGCCTACTGTGAGGGGCCAGGCTGAGATCCACACTGCAGGTGGATGAGGGGAACATCACTGCTCGATCTGAAACACACACCCGCTGCCTCGGCAGGGATCACAGCTTTCAGTCATGTTCCTGGGAGCTGTGCTCCCGCTGTATTTAATAACAGGGCCAACCAGGGGCCAGCAGCACCGCTGGGCTTTCTCCAGTCACTGTGGGACTGTCACATGCACCTTCCGTACTAATGGACAGCAACGGTTATACAGTTTATTTTACAGTCATGATCCAAAATATATACATAGATTAAAATTTTAAAAAAGCTTTTAGGATTAATGCAGTGTACAATTCCATGGAGCAGTAACAAAGCACTCGAGTGAAGAACGTTTCCAAACCTGTCATGGAAAGACTGCTTCTGAAGGGCTGTATTTACAGTCTATTTACATTGTCTTTTCAAGCTTTTGATATCCCCAGTAACTACTACGTGCTTGCTGTGCATGATGGATTTATTCCAGAGGAAAATACTGAGTCAACTGGTCCACTGTTGTGTTGTTGCTGCAAGTCTCCCGGGACTGTGTCCTGATCCCCACAGGCAACCAGCCGTGTTTCTGTGAGCGCTGGCGTTCAGAAATGCTTTCAGGCGCTGTGAGCCGCGATTTGCACCTTACAGACAGGAAGCGAGCAGCCCTGCCACGTCCCTTGCCATCCACCACCCAGCAGGGCCCTGTCCACAGCCGGGCCAGGCTCCTTGCGCTGTGACGGGGTGCGAGGGCACGAGCGCATCGCCGTCTCGGGCCTCTCACACCCAGCAGGGCGCTGCTCTGAGCTAAGCACCCTCGTCTCTGTCTCATCCAGTTCACAGAGTCGCTGAGTGTTTGTCAGTACCCTGCCTGCGATCCTTGGGTTGGGAGTTTATCCACAAGGGCACTGAAGTCCAGGATGAAGTGCAGCAATGATGGTCGCTGCTCCCACACCTCAGAAGCACGCCACCAGCCAAAGCAGTGATACTGACGAGCAGCAGAGCGGAGAAATCACCCACGGTGCTAGGAGCTGGTACTGGGTGGATGCCTACAGGGGGAGACTTGCCTTGAGCTGTGCATCTCCTGCTGCCTTGGTTGATGCCGTCACAACCGCACTGTTCACTTCAGCAATTGGCAGAAAGCAGTAGTAGCGTGTTCTTCACTTCCATTTATCCCCTCATTGTCACCTTAACTCTTCTAGACCAGACAAAAGACACATTAGTCAGTCTCATATTACCAAGAAAACATCACAGAGGAGCAGCTTGTAAGGTGTCAGGACAGAGATGTCTGAATGTCAGGCTAAAGGGCCATGAAGACAACCAAGGGGCTGGAGCACCTCTCCTAGGAAGACAGGCTGAGAGCGTTGGGGCTGTTCAGCCTGGAGAAGAAAAGGCTCTGGGATGACCTCACTGCAGTTTTTCAGTACTTACAGGGTCTCATAAAAAAGATGGAGAGGGGCTTTTTGCTCAGGCAGATAATGAGAGGATGAGGGATAGTGGCTTTAAACTAAAAGAGGGGGAGATTTAGATTAGATATAAGGAAGAAATTCTTCACTGTGAGGCACTGGTGGTGAGCTCTGTCCCTGGAGGTGTTCGAGCCCAGGCCTTGGGCAGCCTGGTCTGGCGGGAGGTGTCCCTGCCCATGGCCAGGGGTTGGAGTTAGATGCTCTGTAAGGCCCCTTCCAACCCAGACCGTTCCGTGGTTCTGTGCAGCCTCTAACCATCCAGCAACGCGGCCGTAGGTGGCTCTCAGAAAGCACACTGGCTGCCACAAAAGGGAAGAGGTATTTCTACACCACATGGAGCTCGGAAAATGAATGACAGGGAAAGGCCACATAGACCAGTTAGAAGCTGTCCGTTTTCTGTATAATTTCAACCTTGGTCTGCTGATTTACATTATTTTATTATCAATCTTCAATTGGAGCTGCTCCAAGCCCATTGCCTAAACCAGTATTTTACATTTTAACAGGCATACAACTGGAAGAAAACACAGAAGTCCTTTCTTTCCTTCCAGTCCTCAAGCAAAAGCAAAACACGGGGTTTGTATCACATTACATGTTCAGAGAGCAGAAGAAAATGCAAAAAAAAAACAATGGACACACTCAGGCCCTTGCAATGGCTGACAGAGCAAGCCCTTGGAGGAAGGAAAGGCAGTGCTGCGAGGCCATGGTGTGCAGCAGCCTGGTTGAGCCCCTGGTACTCGGCTTCCCCCAGGGCCACGAGCCCTTCCCTGCTGCTAGGATCCGTTCCCGGCCTGCGCTCAGACCCAGGCAGGAAGCTGCAGCGTGGCCACACTCCTACCTGACCCCAGAGGTGCCCTCAAGAATAACACGGGACTGCACCATCTGTCACCCCGAGCCCACAAAGCTCAGGTGCTTCCCTTCGAATCCCCACCTGGCCTGAGGACAATTTAATCCCCCAACAGCCTCAAATGGAGAAGGACAAAAGCCAAGGGACGCTCCAGTCACAGCGATCAATGGCCGGGGAGCACAACGCACACACCTCCTCCGAGGCAGACATTCCCTCCAGGCCACACAGCAATGCCATCCCTGCAATGTGTCAGTAACGTGAAGCAGCTGCAGAGGGTTCCTAATTAAGGAGCTTCGCAGTATGGGAAAAGGAAACTGGATCTTCCTCGTACCGCGTCCTAGCTGGTCTCCAACATACCTAAGGGTGTCCAGAAGCTACGCTACCAATTGCCGTAAGGCACGCAAATAAACGACCTGAAGAAGGAGACCTCAGACAGCTGGAAAGGGAAGAGGAGAGAACTTCTTTCCTCAGCGTGAAAAGGGCTGCACGACAGCCAGGTGGGTACTCACGAGGTTCTGAACTCATGTTCACCCACCCCAAGTACAGCTGTCCACCCAATCCGAAATTACCTGGTCTGCATCAATCACATCAACATCGGCATCTTCACTTTTATCTCCCACTTGTCGCTTCATCGAGACATCTGTCTCAATCTCACTTTCGCTGAAAAAAAAAAAAAAAAAAAAAAGCTAAGTCTTGAGAAACTTTATGAGGGAAGTCATACGTTGCGCAAGTTTTATTAAGGCAGAGTGGTGCATGCATCACTATCTGTTGCTGAGGCACCCACAGGAGGTAGCCCAAAGCTTCTGGCTCAGTATTGCCTAGGTACGACATAGGTGGTGCTCTCAAGAATGTCTGAAAAAGGCTGTTCAGAAACAGTATCTTCATTTAAACAGGCTGGACCTGCAATCTCCTATGTTTCTTTTTTTTTTTTTTGTTCTATTTTACTAGTATTCACTAGGTCCATTCAACAGGTGTCCCAAAACCTGAAAAAGCACGTGTCCTCCTTCTGGGATTTGTGTGTCAGCTTTTACCCTGACAACATGGGAAGTGGAACCCACCAGCTCAATAAATGAATTGCATTGCAGGACATTATCCCAGCCGAGCACTCTGAGCTCTTTACACAGCTCAGAAGTAGACTGAAGGCTTGCTACTTCTGCAACACCTCTCTTACATCCAGTTCTGGTGGGTTCCACTCCCATGTATGTGCACACTCTTTAAAAGAAAGCCACCAGCAACACGGCAGTTAACAACGGATCTGCAGAGACAAGAATCCTCTCTTTCATTTCCAGAGGTGCAGAAAACACCCAGCGTTGGGCTGCACCACACAGCCAGGGAACAGCTGACAGCACAGGCCTCTGATCAGGATCAGAGACAAGAGAAGTGGGACAGGGAAATCCTCCTCCCTTGTCTGTTTCCCCACACGCTTGGTATTTGCCCAAGAAGTACTGGAAGCTCCGTTGCAGTGGGGAACAATGAGGGCAAGGCAGCAAACGCAGCTATCAGCCCGAGGAAATGAAGAACACAGCCTGTCCCTGGGACACGGCTCGCACAACACTCTGCGCTTTGCCCATGGCAGGACTACAAAAAGCAGAAGCAGAGGTGGGTGGAGAGACCCCAGCCACCAGCACTGGGACACGTGAAAGAGCTTCTAAGACATCTCGCCAGTACCTTTGCTGCAGCCCGCCGGGACAAGGGAGTGGCACATGCTCCTGCGAGTTCGTCTCTCGAGATTTCAGCCTCTTTCTGCTCTTCCCTGCTGCGGAGGCGAGCTGGGAAGCAGGCTGTAAGGCTGAATCTTGGCTTGCTGCTTCAGCAGGGCTGGCTTCAGGCAAAGACCCTGTAGGAGACAGCAAACAGACCCCGTTCTTCAACCTCGCCCTCAGAGGCTGGGCATTTCCAACAGCAGTGTCCCTGCTGCAGGGGAGTAGCGGAAGCCAAGCTCAAGAAGAGATTTGGGGCAAAGCAGCCATTTATTGAAAGGTGCAACTAAAAGGCACACAAAAGAAAAACAATTTAATTTGTCCCGATCGTTTTTGCAAGTTAGGTTTACAATCTTAGCCCCAGTCCTTTCGTGTTACCAGCACTGCTGACTCTGTGTCACCCTCACAACAGGAGGGCCACTTGGACACAAAAGGACAAGGTTTTGGAAGGCAGGGCACTAACAAGAGAAATTCTGAGAAAGAATGAGAGAGAAACTGAAGGTCTTTGGGAGAAATTCCCTTTCCTCCCCATAGACCTGCACATGTCCATAGCACTTAGGATTTTCACTGGCAACTGCTTTCATTGTGGCTTTACTACATATAACTAATCCCCACCATGTCTTTACAGATTGGAAGTCCATGAGAGCAGCCCACATAACTCACTAAGTTAGGAATATGATTCCAATTTAGAAGGCTAGACCTCCGAAAACCTCAACAGATAGAAAGAACCCAGAGAATGATTTGTCCCAGACTATCTGGGCTGAGGACACGAACCAGTTTCTGGGAATATCGCCCCTTTCTCAATCACTCACAGGGCCCAAATCAACAATGCCCTTAACGTAACAGCTGAAAGCACCGAGCCAAGCCCCAGTGGCACAGACAAATGGCAGAGCTCAACTCAAGATCATCTGAATTTGGCTCACACAAGGTCTCCAGACCAATCTTCCTCCAACTGAGTAACGAAGAGACCTTTAACGACAGCAAACGTTTGGCAATAAAGCTGAAGGCAAACGCCACGGTTCCAACTGGAGAGGCCACAAGGTCCAATACACTGTGGCACCGCTAACGCAAAGCACGAAGCGCATTTTTGCTGGGACAAAGCCAGCACAGCTGATTCCCAGCAGGCCCATTCCCATACCATTCGACAATTTCCTTTTGCAAGAAGATGCCTTAGAGGTGCCCACTTGGGACCATTCCCCTAAGCTGCCGAGGACAGAGCTCTCCTCATCTTCGTTGGCCAGTAAGGAGTTTTTGTACCAGATCAACGGCTGCCACTCGTCTCGGCTGTAAGGCAGCGGCTCTACTGCATACCTCTGTAAGTAAGCATACCTGGAGAAAAACAGAAGCAAGCATAAAAAAACTCAGTATCCTTCCCATCAACATCAAGGGAAAGTTTTGCTAGAAAGGCATTTTGCCTTTACTGTCCAAAGGTGCAGACAGAACTGTCAATGCAGTGAAAAGAAAAGACACCCTTTTTCTCTTGTCTGACATCTCTGAAATATGGGAATAGTTAAAATGCAAATGCCTCCAAAGCTAAGAGAGTGCCTGAATTTCAGCATTAGAGGCAACGTTTGGTTCACAGGAATTACAGAATTACACCAGTCTCTAAAAAGAACTCCCCACGTAGGAAGTCACTGCCCATTGCTGCTGCCAGGGGCAGCTTGAACGGAGCAGCACTCTGAGGGCACGCCACTTTTCCTGGGGGCCCCTTCCTGCCTCTTGGACTGCCGTGAAAAGGAGATCCCAGGTGACAGACACTCCTCGTGATTCAATAGCACGGCAGGTCAGGAAGTGGGGTATTTGCACCACAAGTGCCTGTTTTGTCTTTTTTTTTTTTTTTTAAATGAACAAGCAATAAAAACACTTCTCTGGAATATCGTATCAGCCCCGATCTGATCCTCACAGGTTCACAGTAAGATTTTGAGTGTCTGAAAAAAGCAGTTAACAGCTCTGCAGTTGTGACAATGCACAGGATGCAGGAAGCATTGGTTCAATTCCCTGTTCTGCTTGATTCGATTCACAGACTTGACGTTGTACCCCCCTAAGTCTCAGGTGAATAACTTAATCACCAGGCTACCAGCCCTTCTGGAGCAAAGAGGTCCCCTTCAAACATTTTTGAAAAATAGGATATTTCCGACACAGTTTTTCTGATCCATTCCTACATCACAACAATAAGAAAACAAAATCACAGCCTGACTCAGGATTAGAAACTGGATATTCACTACATTTCAGCTACAGCTCATCACTTCAGAATCAAGCCCCGTCTTGTTAAAACAGACCCTACCTTAGCAAAACCAAAAGTGACAGTTTTAACACCAGCCTGTACAGTATATTATTTTTTCTTTGATTAAGAGAGCGGCCTGGAAAATATCAGACATTTCACTTGCTTTGCAAAAAAAATAAAGGAAGAAGGAAAAGAGGAGGAAAGGAGGAAGAAAGAAGGAAAAAGAAAATCGGTCCTGGGAGGAGGTTAGGGTAAGCACTGGCTCTGAAACAATTAGAGTCATACACCCTGGGCGCCTCGGGAATGGCGAAACCCCAGTAATGGGATTTGTTGGTTTCAAACAAGCACGTATTGTAACTACTGTTTTAGGGCCTAATCCAACTGCTGTCCGTGTCAATGGAAAGACTCCTACTTATTCGGGAGTCAAGCTCTTCATACTGCTTGTTATTCAATAATCCGTTTCTTGTGTGCATTTTGTGGCACAGACCAGTTGACACGTCAGGTATTTTACTGCTACAGCCTGGGCAATTACAGGCAGAGAAGGTTTAAATCCATATACTTTGATGGCGTTGAAATACACTCCTTTCTATCAAATGCCCATATTCTGTATCTCATCTGTTATAGGTACATTCACATATGTGAATATACAGACCTGGACATCAATCCCGTGATTAATAATAAAAATGAAAATAACCAGATGTTTATTTCTGAAAGTTCATGTTGACCCAAAGCATTCCACCCAGTAATTTATGATACAGCTAAACCTAAATATTTCTAGGAGGAAATATAATCTCCTGCCCCTGCAAGGCGTTTTAAGCCTCCCAGAATAGAAACTGTTACTCTAGAAACATTGTCTGAAAGTCGTTGTGGATAAAATTCCAATTTCCCCCCTTGTGAATTTTATTGTTTCCCATTTGTCCCCAGCAGCAGTGGGTGGGTCTGAGGCAGCAAACTCAAGGAGCATTCCTTGCTAGGTTCTGTATTTCCCACAAAAGTTTTTAATGTCTAAACCTACCTGAATGTATAGATTACAATTAGGGATGTACTTCTGGAATAAACCAGTCAAGAAGTTAAATATAACCATAGGAAAGAATAATCCGGATATAACTTTATATCTGCCTACTTCAATTATGATTTTTTTTTCTCTTGTTTAATTGAAAAAACACTCCTTGAAGGTACATGAAATTACATTTTTTTTTAAGGATGAATTAACAGACATCTACTTATTGCACAAGTATTACCACACAGGTAATAACAGCACTTCAAAATCCTGGCAACATGGACACAGATGTACAGGAACTATACAAAACCAGTACATACAAAATCTATGACAAAAATCTAGTCATAGATCTCAAAGATTCTCTCCAAGAAGAATGCACAAACAGAAAGGGAAGTTATCACTTCCTGTCGATTATCCACCCTAGATTTACCAGGGCCGTGACCGGTGTATGTCAGATATTTTCCTTTGCTATTTTGCATTTTAGGTTTGAATCCATTTTTTAAAAGTATATTGTATGGGTAACTGGCAATTATTAATAAACTTTATTTGTCATGTAAAGCAGCAGAGAATTAGACATTTTACCAATCTTGACCTATGTTATATAAAAAATGGTTGATGGCCCCCATGGAGATTAACCTCCAATTTCAGACAAAGTGACACAGGACCAAACAAGTGACACAGGGCTCAGCAAGATGAGTCATTTTTTTTCTTTTGTTTCATTGCTTCTTCTCCAAAGCAGAACCTTTTCTGACAGGTATTGGAGTAATTTGCTAAGGAATTCCAAAAGGCAGATGTGTTTTCATGTTTTATCTAACTTTCCCATGTCTTCAAATGTGCTCTCAGGAAAATGGAAATACTTGTTATATATTTTGAAATAACTTTTGCAGTGTCTTGTAAAGAAGAGGACTGAAGTACAGATATCCAAAATACACACTACTGACCAGGGAAATAAAGACGATGGACAAATGGCTCAGTCCTGACCCTGTGGAATTAGATTGTTGCAAAATAATTATCTGGGCATTACATCCTCCTCAATCTTTTGTGTTTTACTTTTCTCTTCAGAAAAGCATTCCTCCCACTCCACTAGCCAGTCAAGTTGCAAATCTCTTCGCATTGTCTTTCCCTTACACTAATTGCCACATAAAGTCACAACCATTCTAGAAAAAGGTGTAGAAAGGGTACTGCACATGTAAGTAAATACTATGATAAAATTCAACAAGTGTCTCTAAAACCAAGAGCCTCAGAGGCAGATTGATTTCAAAAGGTCTCTGAAAAGCCTTTGAGCAACTTCTCCAGCACTGCAGGTCAAGTGTCCCATGTACAGAGATATACAAAATACAACCCATGTATGACAATGTGCAAGAACTTAACTTACACTATTTTTTTGTCAGGCTTTAGCAGCTTATAGGAAAATTCACTGATGATTAACAGAAAGCTTAAATTAGGAGGAAAGCTCTTTCCGTCTGTTCCAGTAGCTCCTTGAAAGGCAAATTCGATCCCTTCCCTATTGAAACAAAACAAAACAAAAACAACAAAACAAAAAAAAAAGAGAGAATTAAGTAATAAAACAGACAGCTAACAAAAGCAATGACCATGGGCAAAGTGATATTATGTGGCACATACTTGTGTATCATGGCTACAGATTCTCTAGATTTCACCTGGTCCCAGCCAAACGTTAGCGAAAACCGACGAGCCAGTTCTTTCATGTTTGTGAAGGAAGCAGATGCCAAGTCCACACCAGTACTGCTGTCTTGGCTTTCTGCACACGTCTGAAACAGCTGCAAAAGAAGTCCAAGATAAGCACCCACATGGAACCCTACAGGCAAACAAAGCTTCAGGAGGACAGAGAGACACATGCACCCAGTAACAGCTTAAAAGATGGAAGCCTTACAAAAGAGTAAAGTCATGTTCTTCAAAAGCACACAACTGCAACAAGCACTAGGAACTGACACAAAAGACAAGTGCTTAACAGACATGCACGAACTGAAAAGTAAAATGAAATAAAAAAAGACATGCATACAAAGAGAATCAATTCCCGAAGGTTAGGGCCCCATCTCTTGTTGGGTCTTCTGAATCAAGCCCAAGAGGACTAATATGCCTGAGAGGTTTTCCGGGTATCAGAATGCAGATATAGCACACAGGTCTGGCAGCAGGACAGCCCAATTTCTGAGAGTGAGACTGGGTTAAAAGCAAGTCTCAAAACCGATTACTAAGTTTCGGGATTTTTTTCCTAACAGAACATGGAGGTAGCTTCAACCTGTTAACTTTCAAGGTCAAGCCAAGACCAGAAAGGGCCTGTTGTCTATGTGATACACAAACACAAAGTCCTGACTATGTCAGCAGAATACATGTAGCCAAATGCTGCTTAGCCTGGTCTAAGCTCAGATTTCAGGGGCTGATTCGCAGATCTAAGCCCCTGGCAATGGGTGTGAAATAAGCAAAGCTCATGTATCAGTACCCCCTGGGAGGAGCCTGCTCTGGGGCTTACAGCACGACTCAACACGAGCTAGAAGCAGCTCTGGCCATGGGCAGAGCTGGCAGAAGCAGCTGCTAAAATAGCTGACTGGCCTCATCAGTCAGCAGCTGCAAAACCCTTCAAAAGGGCTGTGCCCCACTTTCTTCCACAAAAAAAAAACACTGAAAGTACTGGGGCTTAGAGCTGGCCAGCCACCGGCACACTTACTCACAGTTCCTCAAATTCAACAGGAATTGAGGTAGTCAGTAAAACATAGAATACTGTCCTTAACCTTAAGGTTAAGAGACAACCACCATGTCCCAAGGGAGACTCTATAATCTCAACGATTACATCAATCCCAACACGCTATGCCTTTGAAGATTGAAAAAAAAAAAAAAAAAAAAAAACACCTGTGCACAAAATTAAAGTTTAAAATAGGTGTAATGAGTAAAATAGGTGTAAGGAGTTTCATTAAGACATGCAAAAACACATATAAATAGAAAGAAAAGCCAAGGAACCAATTTCTTTCACTAGGCTTTAAAATTAATTTGAATAATTACGGAAAGGTAGGGAAAAGGCTAATATGAAACACAGCTGTCATAAGAACCCCCATCCTCTCATTTTAATTATAACCTTACCTGCTGCAGACAGAGAATCAGCGCCCTGGCACTCTCAATTCTGTTATTGTGCCTCGTCCTGCTTAGAGTTTCTTTAATTATATCCCCAAAATCGTTGTAAGCCTATTAACAGCAACAGATGAAAATTAGCGTTTCCCTTCCATAGTGCTGTGAATACACAAAACACATGACTATGTTCATGTCACACAAGAAGTTTATAAAACACTCCCAGTATTGGTACACCCAAACTAAAAAATCAAAATTGGACGTTTTATTTTATGTTTAAAGCAAAGGTCTGCTCCCTTAAGAGTAATGTGTATGTTAAAGTTACTCTGAAATTGTTAAGTATTATAACAAAAGAACAATCCTCCTTAGAAAAAGAACAGAGTTTTATATATTCAACCAGTGCTTGCCCAATGAAGTGAGGGTCAATATCCACACTCAGGTATTTCCAGTGGCAATTGCCCGCTCTGTGCTGTTCTTAGCCCTCTCCACACACATTTCAGAGTGGCTGAGGCTCTAGCAGCTGTCTAAGCACAGGGACCCACGTGAAATCTAGGCCATCTGACCATGAACTGTGGGAGCTTTATGAAATATGCTGACCACTTCAGTGTGAGACTCTCCATAGTTAAAACACTCTCCCAGCCATAAACTGCTTCTCCGTAATGGCCTCTTTGGAGAAGCCAAGGAGCAGATGTTCAGACATTTACCCTTTACTCAACTTTCAGTTACTTTGTCTGCGATGACACACCTTTGCAGAGCAAGGAGGCGAGACTGTTCCGCTCTTGCTTGGTTTTATAGCCCTTCTGTGAGTACACGAGGATTCTGAGCCATAAACCATTAACCACATCTTTCATAAACACCGGAGTCATTTTCAAACACTGAAATGCGCTGATAGGCAAAGCACTGTTATCTAAAACATTACCTTCACATAATGCTTATAGATCTCAGCAGCTGCAGTCGTCTCCACCACATTAAACACTATTAACTTGCAATATGCTGCAAGAAGACTCCGCTTTTTGTGCAAGTCGTCAAGTTTGTAGTTTTCGTCTTTTCTCTCCTCCTCTTTTGTCAGGTCTAGGGAAACAAAAGTGTTGCAGCTTTGTTCCAGTACTTTATTCAAGGTATCTCAATTTTAATGACCAACTTTCATCTGCATAGCACAGACTCAGCCGTTCAGCCAACATACTAAGCAACAGATGCTACGCTCAGCTCTGTGTATGTCAGAAAACACAGCTTTCCATTTCCATTTCAAAGCTTTCAGCTGATGACAGTGAAAGTGAGTTGTTTGCACAGTCCTCTACTCTGATCTTCACAGGGATTTCTCATTTCTACTAGGCAGAATCTCCTTGTATAACACTGCTCAACTGCAGAACAGAACCAAACAGTGCAAAATAAAAGGCACAAACACAAAAAATGGAAGAAACCAGACATGTTGCAATCATGTTGTGTTTTGTGGGTTTTGTGTGGTTTTTTTTTTTGTTTGTTTTGTTTTGTTTTAAAAAAAAAAACACAGACAAGCACACCCACAGCATTAAAAAATCACTTCTTTAGGGAAGGAACCTGCAACAGGTTGACAAGGATCCTTTGTGGGGAGGACTGAGAAATTGAAAGCATCTTACAGAACAGGTTTGAAACTGATCTCAGAAGGCCATCTAACCCAAAACAGGCCAGATTCGATCAGTTTCAGGTACATAAGATAGGTAATGCGCCCAATGCTGAACACAGAACTCCACGTGAACAGCTGAAGGGCAAGAGTTCAGCCCAGTAATCTAGGATGGTGCTTGGTTTTTCAAAGCATGACACTTGAACTCAGCCTCAAACCACAATGAGCCAACAATCTATTTTCAAAACACTCCCAAAAGAAACCAGCCTTCACAATAACATCCTCAACTTGGCATCTGAATTTGTCTGAAAAAGGCAACACAGCAACAATTACATAGCTGTTTCCCACAAAAACTGCTCTGCATCCCCACATCAAAATCCTCCAGTCCTTTACTCTGATGGCTTGGAAGAGCCCATGTATTAACAGAGTTGCACTGTAACACTGCAGGGCTTTCCACCGCAGTGGATGACACCATCTCTACCACCAAAATTGGTCTGTCAAATACCTGTACGTTTCCTCCCATGCCTGCATTACATCAGCCCTTTCTACCTGGGAGTAAATTGGCAATCGTTTCCTGTGATTGAGCCACAGTGGAGACAAATCACTGAATTTATATTCATCGAGCAACTTTGTAAGGGGGCCAACAATGACTCGCCCCCTTGCAGCACAGCCGGCAAAGAGCAGCGAAAATGGTAGAGTGTTTCTTCAGTGCTGAAGATGTCTGACCTTTGCTTTCCTCTTTCTCCTCCACAAAAATATGTTCTTGGACAAACAAAAGCAGTTTTTCCTGAAGGGAAGTGCTGGGAAGGTAATCCAGAAATCCCACTTCTTCTTCATTATTATTTGAATCTTGATGACTCAAAATCAGCAGCCAGTCACAGAGTATCACGAAGGCCTGTATCAAGCAAACAAAGCCAATGAAGGATCCAGAGACCATCTTACTTTTCATGCCAACTCCCATTTGCATCCCATCGAACACCACAAGTCACAATCTGGTCTCTATCCTACTTCTTCCTCACAAGATAAAGATTTCTATTGGCCCCATCCTCTGATGAAATGCCACAGCTGAGCCCTTCCAGAACCTACACTTTAGGATACGGAATATGCAAGTATCATGCATGAACACCACCTAAAGATTTGAATTTCAGACTTCTCTGAAAAGGACAATGAGCTCTATTATGCCACAACATCTCTCTTTCAACATGTGAATCACTGGACAATTTCTCCAAATGTTCCATTTTTTAAGTGACATTCATAACAAGGCATTAAAAAAGCAATGACAGTAAGCAGTATACTGATTATTCTAAGTAGAAAATGTAGTGACTATCAAGTGGCAAATCAAGTCATTCAGATTCAGGCTTTGATTCTGCATATGGACCACGCAGACACATACCTGTGTTTGACTAAAGCACTAACTTTTGTAGCATTTTAACTAACTTTATGTTAAAATAGATAGCATTTATTTCAAATAAATAGTTGAGGATTGTTTATTTTAAAGAGTCATTTCTCTGCTAAGAGACAAAAAATTACAAAATCAGCAGAAGGAAATACTGGCATGAAAAGAAAGAAAGGCATTTAAAAGGAGGACTGAGGATGCATGCCAGTTAAGTGATATAAGAACACAAACCTTTTCTCTCACGTCTTTTTCCTTATGGGTGAGGAAGTACATGCAAATCTCACTGAAACGCCTCAGTTCTCTTCTTAATGCCAAAAGAGCGCCCTAAAAACATATGTAAGGAAAGTGGCAGGACTGAGATGTTAGGGACTATGACCCAATAGAGAATTATAGAATAAACAACTGTTGCATCTTTCTCCACTGATACCATTCATTTAAGATAGCACAGCAGATGCCATTATGAAAGAAGCTGACATCTCACAGTAGCGACAGCTCACCAGATATGAACAACTTTAAAAAGATGTCTTGCTTTCAGGCACGATATCTACGATAGAAAGGTCAATCCATAAAAATACATACTTTTTCCCCCCACTCTGGTGCAGAAAAGTGACAAACAGAGGGACATGTGCATCTTGCTGAGGCTAGCGGTGTTCAGCAAGTCACAACAAACTCTTTGATTCTCCATCTGTAGGATTAGCAGCTCCAGTATCATTTATTCCCTGATACAGCCCTCCAAGCAACTAGGAGGTCTGCAGAACCCACTTCACCTTACCCTTACAAAGCAGGGATAATAATTTCCACTTTAGAGACAGGTGTAGAGTCACAAAAACTCTAGTCCACCCCACCTTATTTTCAACACCCAACATGTGAATTGCCTTCTAGAGTTGCTCTTCTCTCCCCTTCTACTGATTACAGAGGAAGCCCAGTTTAACTACACTGCTAATTGTGGCAACAGACAAGTCTATTAAGACAGTCTACTTGATTTGCCCAGAGCCAAATAAAAGACCTCCTGATCCTTCACTAGGTCCCATCTGTTGCACCGCACAGAGCAATCAACAGAAGAACGCCTTTACAAGAGGATTTCATGCTATGCAACTGGATCTTTGTAAGAAAGGGGATCCATCCCAGGGCATACTGAGAAGGAGCAGAGAGGGAGGTAAAACACAGCCGTAACACCATTAGAGGAGGAGGGGGGAAGGAACAGTCCCAGAGCTGCTGTCCAGGAAATGATGGTTTTTACTCTCGGAACTTCTCTCTCTGACAATATCTAGATTTGGTCCTGCAGAGTGGGCCGTAACACCGTGCTTCCAATCAAAATCTGCCCCTGTATGAAAGGCCAAGTTCAAAAATGTGCTGCCCATTATCAGTCAAGCTAACAGTGTCTGGGCAGGAAGGCAGAACATATTAGAGCAGTGAGAGATGCAGACATCCACTCAGGAATGGAATGGGACGGGAATAGATAGTGAATCAGTCACCAAACGGGTAACCTCCCAGCTAACATTTCTCACACAAAACAAATGCCCATGTCAGCGCCCTATTCTGTACACACAGCAGCACCAGAGGAAGGGGGCGGAATGACAGAAACAGCATCACTTGGCGTAGTCGGGATTCACCACGAAGAAAAACTGCAAAGGTATAGGTTCACATGGGAATCAAAGTATAAAAGAGTTTTCCTCTCTGGTATCTTAAACTAGAATATCTTCTGAAGTATCTGGCAGAGACTGGCACTATGCAAAACCAATTAGGAAAGTAAAGTAGTAAGCTGATGAAAAAATTACACAAAGTTTGAAGAACGTGGGATGTCACAGAATGTATAAGTAAAATAAGGACGTAAGAATAAAACAAACAGGACTTCCTGGAGTTTTCCTTGAATATTATTTGTTGCTTAAAGCAAGAGAACGAACTGTTTGGCAGTGGAACAAGTTCCTTATCTCCATCAAGCATGAGGAATTCGCTGCACATGTTTTGTAGTAAAAATAGAGGTGAACTGTTGTTCCCATATTCTCTTGCATACTGAAAAGGCATAAACACTTTAAAAAATAGGGAAGGGTGTGGAAGGTAAGGGGAGATATACAGAGAGAGAAAACGTCCCAACTCAGTTTGGTTTCCTCAAGAAAATATACAAATTGTCTTCTTGAGAAAGTTTGTTTTTTTCTGGCTGAGAATAGAAAAGCATCTTGAACTTCTACAAGCACAACCCCTGGGTTTCAAAATGATGTGGAATGGCCAACCTTGGAAGAATTTTCTGCAGCTGCAGCTACTTGCCACAGGAGAGAAAAATATGTGCACTGGAGAGCTGGCAGGATCACCTGCAAATAAAAACACATGTCCTTTATTTACATGAAAGGCTTGACAGCAAAAAGCCTGGCATTCTGCTTGCTGCTTGCACAGCCATTTCTACACTGCCAAGAATGTAGGTCTTCAAAATAAACACAGTAGGTTTACACCCAAGTAAACATTGCCTGCTGAGAAACTTCATTACTAAGGTGCTACTCCTGTGTAACTCTGACATCCTGATGCGTTCAATGGAACATAACTCTGTAATACAAGGAGTATTCACAGAGGCTAACTTCAGCTGAGCTTCTTAGGATTTCTCTGCTGTCTTTGGTGAAAGGCTGACTTCTCCAAAGGGCAGTTTAGAATAGAAGCCAAACCTTAGTTCTCTGGTACTACAACTAAAGGAGCCTACCCACAGGCTTCAGACTTTCCCTCTTTGGTTAAATTTTGCCTTTTTCAAAATAAGCCCAAATTCTCCTGAAAATGCAGCCCGATTAACTGCCCAAGTACTTAAAATACCATGATATACCTCTACCTCGGCACAGCCAATGTTTGAGTTGAGGCAATCAGACAAAGAAAAGGCTGCAGTTGAGACAACAGGTAATTACAAACTATCCTCATCAAGTGTCAATTTGCAAGCAACAGGTCCAAAATTTTTCAATTTCTGGTTACAAGGAAACCATGCTCCTCATGGTCCCAACAATTTCATATGTACTCAGAGTGAGATTTTGCAACCAGCAGGAAGTACTGACCATGGGAAAGTATTTTTGCTTTTTTGAGAAAGCAAGTTGTCAGATGACTATTCTGTCGTAGCTCTGGAAAATCTCCAAATTAATGAATACATGGCTATAATCCATTGATTCTAAATAACATTATACCAAAACCTTAGTTTCCATTTGTCAATCTGGGAAACAACATCCTCCTGCCTCATACAACACTAATACATAAGATTATGTAATGTTTGCTGTTTTTCCTGCTTTCAACCTTAAGTATCAACAACTCACCAGAACGGACAAACACCCATGTTGTATTTCAAACAACAGCAACCGTAAAGTCTTGTCATACAGCTTCCACTTGGTGAGATCATGGGCACTGCAAGTGGAAAAAAAAAAACGAACAAACAGAAAAAAGAATGTCACACTTAGCAAGAAATGAAATCTCACCTGATCAAGTAGGTTAAATGAATCCTGTTTTTGCCTTCCTCTGATGTACAGCAGTAACTTTAAACAACTAATAATTAATTCTAATGGGGAGGGGAGGAATACAGTCTGCATTCCTGCCACAAAACTGCAGTGTCTGTGAGGAGAGGAGGAGAAGGAAGCTGGACCTCTGTACATTTTCCTATACATTCTATTCACATTCTCTAACTGCCCAAAAACGTCTAAAGAAAAATTCCCCCATACACACTTTAAAAGAGTACTTTGAATATTATCAAGTGTTGCAATTCAACTTTAGGTTTCTCTTTGCATGAGCAGAGCAGCTCTAGTATGTAGGATAAGCAAAAGACACATTGCACAGAAGGCCATCTCCCCAACCCTCTACTATCTCACATGGTAATTTACTTGGTGAACAACCCCTGCAGAACCAAGCTTTTGAGAAATCCATGTTTTAGAAGGAGAAGACCAAGTAAATTAAAACAAACGAAGCAGATAACACCTGCTGCACTCATTATACCTCTTCAGACTGGCCATCAGTGTTGGCCATAAGGCGGTGCAACAGCATGCAGCTAGGAGGGAGGCACCATAACAAGGTAGCTGAGGGGATGTCAACATCCACTCTGACATCCCAACTCCATTACATACACTTCTTAGCCCCACTAGGGCTGATTCTCCAACCTCTGTAAGTCAAAAATAATAATAATAATCCATACCCAAGAGCACAGCTCTGTTCAGGAGAAACTAAGCCTTGCAACATCTCTTATAGGAATAGTTGCCATTTTCTTGTGAAATTCTTACTAAAACCAACAATCAAGAGCAATTCTCACTTGACATCTGTTAAGGCAACACTAAAGAATATGGGAAAGTAAATTAGCAGTACGTAAAAAAAACATCTCACTTGTGAAAAGCTGCTATTCTTCTCAAAGCAGCGCACATCCGGGCAACCTCTCTTGCATCCGTGCAAAATCCTCTTTGCTAAATTATGCAGGTTTAGGAAAGAGAAAGGCATTAGCCAGCATGGGGCAAAGTAATTGCTGCGTACTCTTCCCACCCAGCCCACAGACTTGAATTTCACACATGCAACTTATGCATTCCCCTACAGTAAACAGAAAACAACATGTTGACTGCACAGAAATTTTGTATCAGTGTCCCTGTCACTACTAAACCCCCAGCAGCCTCCCTCGAGTACAGCACTGCTAAAACGGAGTAAAACTAGCAATTAGGCTACCACAGAAGTGTTAAACCTCACACAGTTGCTAGGTATCTCTGGAAAGCTAACCATTCACATGGCATTGACTCTCCGTGCTTCCAGCTGCCAGATCACATTCAAAGATAGCTAAAAATATATTAAAATACTTTCCCATAGATGCAATTGCTGCAGTTTCCACAAGGATGCTACGTGATTATGGGAGATGGTATATACAACCAGGAATTAGAAGGGAGGGGCTGCAGGAGAAAATCTCTTTATTTAGATACGGATTACTCTATGAAGGAGTTGAAGAATCCCTGGTCTAGCACTTATCTTGTTTCTCATAAGTGCACATTCTCCCATATTGACATAGATATCTATTTAAGACCAACAAAATAAATCCAATCTGAGGTTAGGGGATTTTTTGGCTTGACACATTTTACAATATCCCAGTGTCCAATAAAAACCTGCCAGCGTTTACTCCCATACCATGGCATGACACCTGTTCATGACGGCACAGTTGATCAGATCAGCTGCGGGCTTCTGTTGTTCAGTTCAGCCAGCAAGCTATTCATATCACCACCAGCTGTTTCTGCTTTTTAGAACTAATGAAAAACTTTGAGGAAGACTCTACAGTCCTCCTTCAAGGGGAAAGTCATCATTTCAAAGACCCCAAAGCTATGCAGTCTGCATCACAGACTGATGTTTTGTTGTGTTTGGTTTTTTTTTTCCTATAAATATGCAGCCAAAGTCACACTACAAAAGGCATCTTGCATGCAGTCAAATATGAAGAAGTACAGAACCAAAGCAGTAACCAGTATTTTGGGAACAATCTCATCACCTACAGATCCACGGTCCTTCTTAGCTGATCTTTTACATAGTATTTTTGGCATAGTAATACTACAACAGTGGAACCCGTGTCCAGAATATTTAGACGACATAAAATGTCCCTTTGCTGCTGTGGACTACCTCGTTTACTATTTTCACCACTCTATTCCTGCCAAATCAATAAAAAGTAAACCATCAGTCATTTTAGAGGAGCAAACCCAACCTTGAAAGCTCTGCTCCCCCCAAGCAGAGAAACAGCAGGCAAAAAATTGTACCATATCCCCTTTATTTTTTTCTCTTCTGTTTTCATATGGAAACAGGCTGTTTGTCTCCGCAATGAGTCACGCTCACCTTTTGCCAGAAGCCATCCAGTAGCTGGTTAAGCTGTCCCGCCAACTCATCTATCAGCTGAGTTCGGGCGCGATCCACCTGATTGTAGATGGCAATTTCTTCACTGCAGAGGATATAATAAGTCCTGGAGGATGCCTCAAGGACAGATATGTCAGAGTGTTTGACCACAATGTCTTTTACCTCTTTCAGCAAAGCATCCAAATGCTGCAAGTGATAAAAGGGGTATTACAGGTGAAATGCATGCAAACCCACTTAGGCTTCAGACACATTTCACTTGGACTATGCATCTCTGTAGGTCACACAACCAGTACCAAATAACTGTCAGTCTAAGGAGCAGAGGGGCAGGGCTAGTGGATACAATTTTTTTTTTCTGGCTTTATGGTTCTTTTTCATTATTGTCTGAATCTTTGTGAAAAATTAAGCAACTGTTTTAAGTCTCGCTTCAGTAATACACCTTTGGCACTACTACTACTATAAAAAAATAAATAAAATGTTAGGGAATAAAGATGTCTTTCCAAAGGAAAGGTGTGTCTCCAAACAATGGAAGTTGTCTCCCCCAGCAGCAGAGGACGGATACTGTTTCAGATCATGTCAGCAACTGCCATCTTCACTCTTACTGGCAGGAGGAAACTTAACTTGTGCCATGCCACTGACTCTCCTCCTCTTCCAGTTAATGTTTTGTGCTGAAAGTAATCTAGGCGTGTTTGCTTGTTATCTCCCTGTAAACATCCCTGCTTAAGAATACATTACACTATTTCAAGGATTTAATCAATCCATTTCTGACCATCCCTTTCCCATCAGCAGTTACACTATCTCCATTCTTATCTTTCAGTTACTATCACCCCCTAGCAGCTGGGAGTCGGTCCTCAAGGAGAATGAAACCTACTCTGTAGAAAACTCCAGGGAGATGCCAGCTTAGACACATAGCATAACCCACCCTCTCTCCACCCATCAATGAAAAACTCAGGGGCAGGCCTATCGCATGAAAACACAACCCATCACCCAGCAGGGCCAGTCATGGCATATCAGAACTGACAAGCGCTAACGCTTTTCTTTGGCAGCTTCCAATCAAAAAGCAAAGCCTGAAAAAGACCGCTTTCCTCAAGGTACGAGGCTGTTTCTTAATATTTCAACAGGCTTCTATTTGTTCCAAGTCACACTGAATTCTGTACACTGTCACATAAATTTAGCACTTTCCACATGCACCGACTACCCCAATTCCTATTCACCTTCTCTAGATGTCCCGTACTGTAAACATCTAAATCATAATATTGTGGAATCTGCAGAAGATTTGCCACTTTTTGTGCATCTGTTGAATACTGCAGAGAAGAAAAAAAAAACAGGATATGAGTGCACTGCAGGAATTTTAATGAAATATTTAACATGCATTCACAGAGCAGCTGTTAGTTACCTTTGCCAAGAGCTGAGGAAGCACCATAATAAAATGTTCAGTAATTTTGGTACAATCTTCCGATTGTATTTTCTTCTCTTTTACTGACAGAATCTGCAGACAAAGCATTTTGTTTCAATTATAAAATCTCTTAGATCTGAGTGGAATTTTACATGTAATTCAAGGTTAACTTATATGCCTTTATCTAAATCAAATGAAGCCAAGATAAAGATATTTTCCGTGGAGACAACCAGATGCTTTTTTTATTTTTTGTTAACTTTAAATTAGATACAAAGCGCTGAACAACAATTCTGCATGGATAAAATGCTCACCATTTGTCAATAACTTGCTTTAACTGGCTTTTTTCTAATGTTCATCCCCTTCAACATCCACTACTAATAAGATCCACAGGTCAAACGACAGTGTGACATTTCGTAAAAATATGCCAGTTCATTTCTGAAGATATACCTACCGCTGGGAGCACGCTATCTGGCAAAGCACATAAGACAAAGAGATTGTGATTACAGCACAATATGTAAGAATAAAACGCACTGACTTTTTTGGCTGCACCTCTGCCGGCTGGAGGATGACCTTCAGCTGCTTCTCTAACCGTCGCGAGGATAATTTCAGTGAGAGCACTTTTTTGGGCATCGTTCAGTGCTGTAAGTAAATCAGTCTCCTTTCAGCATCACACAAAAGAAAAATGAAGTTGCAGCAACAGCTAATGAAATGCCTATTCATTTATCCGGACAACTGTGGAAGGACACTACAGAAAGAAAGATGCAGTGTTGCTAAATAAACACCTAGAGCGCATTTGATTTAACTTGAAGAAAGCTATTTTCTATATTCACTGAACACAAAGCTGATTATTTGTCTCATGACTAAACTTTTTAGGGCACTTGGGATCCCAAAAATACAGGCAGCTTCCATGAAGCCCATCTTTATTAACTACTATCTCATTCAGGATAAAACTACTCTTCTGAGCAACAAAATGTTTCAACTCACTGGGTCCGCAAACTTTGATTTCAATTGTACAACCACCTCCAGTTCTAGTACAACTATTATTAAAGTTCACTTTAAGATATTTTTACAAAAAAAAAAAAAAAAAAAAAGAGTTCTCTAACATGTTAGATGTCAATGAACTCAACACATTGTTCTTCTTCTCTTCAGGCATGAACAGCAGTCCAAAAATATCACACTTCATTCAATTCTGTTAGATTCTCAAGTTTTGAACAAACAAAAGAAGGGAATGTTACTTAAGCTTAATTATGCAAGCATTCTTGCAAAATTTCTAAACTAACATTACATAAATGCAGAATACTGAATAAAACAAGTATGTTGCTGCAGATCATGTAATCAGCAGTACATCTGCTTTGTACATCTTGGCGACAACAATCTAGGATCAAAGGGCACTGCAATATGAAATGATCCTAAAGTAGCTGAGGCAAAGTGCAAAAAACAACAACAAGAGATTAATCCAGACAAAGCTAAGCTCTTTGCTCACCCACCTTCTCTATCTCCTCCATCATTTTTTAATAGAAGTGTGGTCATGCACTCCCAGTCCTTCAGGAATGTGCCAGCCCAGTCCCACAAGCTGTCTACGAGGTATGCAACATGTTTGTGCACCTAGGGATTAAAAACACAAACTTATAAAAGCAAACACATGATTAAAAGAAATACAACTTCCTATGGTCCTCTCCTTTTCCAATCACAGAGCTGTCATTCACACATACATTCACATACAGTATTCCAACATATTTAGTTTGAGGCTATTCAACATTTAAACACTGCCTTCAGTCTGATACAATGCAGGAAAGTGGGAAAAAAAGGATATACATCAGGAAAGAAGCTTTTCTTTCCTCTTATTATGGTATCTTTGCTTTGTAATTTAAGCAATCTCTCTAAAACTAGTTTCTGTATTGCTTTTATACTGCTGATCAGAACTAAAAATCCAACCTTGGGACTAAAAATGAGTCAACATTTTAGATAATGTCTGTGAAATTCTTTGCACTTTGATTCGAAACGGCTGTGCCTTAGACGCTTTGGCCAGACATAGGTCTGCACCACCACAAAAGCCAAATAGAAAAGTACAGCACTTAAACTGATAAAATCTCAGAAAAACTACACAGTTCTTAGTCAGGATGGAGCTACAGTACAGCAACCTCCATCTGCCTGCAGAAAGACACAGACACACACCAAAAACCATTCACATGGTGCCATTAATCTTGTAGGCTGTTTTCAGAAGCTGCTTCAGCTTTGATTCTCTCCACTGGCAGAGTTGTAAATTAGTCTTAAAACACAGAACAGAAATGCCAAATTCTGTCTTCATTAACAACTCATCCTGGAGAGTGAGAATGTGCCAAACACCAAACATTTCAGAGCTCACCACCGGAAATACCCCTCAAAAGGAAGCCAGAACTTGATAATCAACATGCAACAGTGAATTGAAAAGGTTTACTGCAGGGCTTATTCTCACCTCGCTGTCCAGGAAAAACTGTATTAATCTTTTCAACTGGTGAGCATTTGTCCCAGCATTCCCTCCTTCTTTGGGCAGAACTTCTTCGTCTCCCTCATAACTAAGCAGCCTGCCAACAGAAAAGGAAGTCAGTTCATTTCTGCCACGTTCCCCTTATGATCATTTGCCAATATAACGCTCATTCTTTCAAGATCCCAAGGACTGTATTTTTTCTAAATGTATACTTATTTACTGTAAATCACATTAGACTTTCTTATTAGATGAAAGGAAAGGAGATTAGATTGTTTTCCATCAGGAGAGATCTGCTGTCCCTGTGGATGCAGAGACTGTTTCTGACAGTTTAACAGGTACCCTGCCAACTTTCTGGACAGCAGATGCAGATTTCACAGCGTTGAATATATCCTGAGGTAGGCATTTTCTCACGCCTGAGAAGGGGCTTACTCTAGGCTGAATTTAAACCTTAACAACACAGTAAAAATATTACTACCCAACCATTAGTCGCATTACGGTACATCTAAGAACCAAAGCTTCTTAAAGAAAGGATAGTACCTTGTATTTACAAGAGACAATTTACTCCATTTCACAAACACAGTGGAAAAACTGTTTACAACAGTTTCCATTTCCCTCTTTGCCCCAGATGAGTGTGACAGTATTGCTCATGGAGAGTGCTAATCCCAAAACACATACAGGCCCAAATGTCTTGGATTTAAAAGCAGGACCACACTACTCAATGTCAGTATAGACTTAAACTTTCCAAAAGTGCTTCTGCTGGTGTAATTGATGCCAGCTCCGTAAGTAACCTAAGAATGAAAGCACTGAGATTTCATACACACTATAAAGAAGAAAAAAAATAAATAAAAATAAACTTTATACTAGAACTGTTATCAGTATAACTAGGGAAAGGACATTGTCATTAACATTTCTATCACACCAGAAATAAGATTTTGATACTAGTAGAAGTGCCAGAGAGAAGACCTGGGCAAACAAGAACAACAAAGAAAGAGCTTTAGATGGTCAGAATGTCCATGCTGCGCTGCAAAGCTGAGTATCAAAAATAAAGTTACCAAGGCAAACAGTTTAGTATCAAAAGACAGACGTTCTGAGAGGAAAAACAGCTGATTTATGATAGAATATTGGGACAAACAGAAAAGACTAAGTAAGGCTAACAGATGTGACAGAAGACTCATCAAAAGAGATTTATTGTCTTTTGTCTTTCTGTTGGACTTGACTTCACAACCCCTGGAATATCAGCAGTTCAGCCAGATAGGAACAGGCAGCTAGGAGGAGATTCTGCACATGTGAGAAACACCAACCATTATTACTTCCGAATTTTTCCCCACAAAAGTCTTGCCAAAATATTTTTGTTTTCATTCCTCTTCGTAAAGCAAAATTATTTCTCTCAGCCACAGAGACAGAATATTTATTTCTTCTCTTTTTAGCATGCCAACTCCATTCACTTCATGCAACCATTGTTATAAGAAGCCCATTTATAAGACTTACTCCTGGGGAAGATAAACCCTGTACTTCATTAACCTGACAGAAAATTGGGAGGGCTTTTTAATCTGCTGCATCTCTCATTATTCAAAGCCTTTACAATGTATACGGCAACTTCCAAAGGGAAGAGGAGGCCATTCTTGTGATTAATCACCAATGCTACCGAAATCCAGCAGATGCTAGGTGATGAATTAGCTTGTAAGAAGCAAAGCAACAGGAAAAAAAAGTAGAAAGAAAGGAGGTGTATTCTCAACATGGCATGATATCTGTGGATCAGTCAATTGTTTCATATTCTCTGTGTTAGTCTTGCAACTTTTCTCATGCCTATTGTGGAAGGCCGTGCCGAGGAACAAATGATCACCCCCAGACAGCATTTCCCTTCCAAATCAAAAGAAGAAAGTACATCTACTATCCTCACGGCACACACGCTTCCAGCAGAAAAATGAATGCTTAATGTCCCTCTTAAATAAATCCACCTTCATTCTGAAACAAATGAGAATATGCAAGAAATAGGCAGAGATACCTATTATAAAGGAATTCCCCAGCTGCTACTGCAAGTGGACGGTGTGTGGTATAAACTAGCCGGTATAAGGTTTCACAGTCTTCATCTGATAACACATCCTCGTAGTTCCTAGGCAAAAATAACAACGGAAGTTATAGTTCAGGTTTATCTGCAAAGAATACAATGAATGGTATGTCCAGCTTTATTAGACTTGATGCTCCTTAGCCTTGCAACTTGTTTATAAAGTTTTGTAGGACATATCTACAAATGCTATCAAATGGAACTAGCAGCATTTTTTACTCATTTTGTAGAGAAGCAAGAGGTCTGTAGAAGCCATGAGAAATCAGGCCCATTGGACAGAATATTAATTTAAAGTATAATTAAAGTTGATTAGTGGACTTGGTAAAAAGAGTAATAATAATGAAAGAGGCAAGTGGTGCCTCTGTACTTAGATGACCGTCATAGAAGATAATATATTAACAAGAAGCCTTCATCTTGCAGAACAAATTATTTTAAAATGATCTTTTTTTAAACAGCATTTTAAAATTTATACTCTATTACACTGGGCTTATACAGAGTCTCACACAAAAAGAAAGCAAAACACATTATTGATAGCATGCTTATGCCTGCAACCTTTCTGTCCAACCACACTGAAAATCACAACTTTTTTTTACAGCCATTCAGCTATGCATCTTGAGAATGCCACATGGCAACTAATAAAGCTAGAACACACTATGGGAGGTAGCACTTGGTGTTAACTGCAACTTGTTACAAAATAGGAAAATGAAGCATTGAGGTCGAATAACCCACCAAAGAGATACCAGCTAAGTGAAGACCAAAAGAAGGGGTACAGTTTCAAAATGTTTGCTTCTTACTGCAGTAACAACATCATTGGACTAAGCTACTTGAGAGAATGAAACAGCAACATACATGTATGAGATCCTTCCACTTCCTACGGATAGGTGAGGGGAAAGAGTTTTTATTTATTATTGTGCTCAGTTCTCAGCTAGTACTAGTTTAAAATCACCTGCAGCTGCAGTTCAGTACCTCTTTTAAAACTGAGGATTCACATTCCCCATTTGGTGGGAGTGATGGCTTCGAAAATTCAAACCCCTTCCCGTGCTTGCCCAAGCAATTGTCTCCAATACTGTTGCATGCTTCAGCACCCTCGCAAGACCCAAAGTCCCAAAATATCCTCAAATCTGACTGAAAGAGAGCTCACACTAAGTAAGAGTATCACTGGACTGTTCCTTGCAAATATTTTTTTATGTGTATGTTCACAACAGTCATAAGCATGGTAAAAAGCTGTTTAAATGGAAATGCTGATGGTGTATCTTCAAAAGTCATGGGTCAATCTTGCAAGATAATACTTGCAGTGAATAAAAAAGAAATTCTGGCAGGTTTTGGTGGCTTCTTTTAACACACAGTTTCGTTGAGTACACAGTTGCGGTAACAGAAGAAAAAGAAAGTGCTCTGAGTACATGTATCATGTAATCAGCATAAAGGAAAATATTAATGCAAATTCTTATTCAGCCATCTACAGAAATGGGGAAATAGCATAAAAATGTGCTTATTGTTGCTAAACAATAAGAAACTGAAAGAGATAATATGGTGCATTAGCATCTCCAAATAAGCATTTGCATGTCCTGCAAAGCCATGAATAAAGTATTGAATTATTACTTCTACAAGGTTAACAAGTGAGAGTAAACTAAGACTGACAACAAACTGCACCTATAGGAGTAAGAATGGATCACAGAGCATGCCTTTATATTAAAAGACCATGGGAATTTAGTGAAGCCATCCAGGAAGTTTGCATTCATTCTTTTTAATATGTCTGTTATTTAATTCTTTTAAAGCACTATTTACTGCTAAGCTCCCCTTCTCATTTTCTCTATGCACACGTATTTTTTTTAAAACAGCAGACAGCTTGAAAAAGAAGAAAATTCCATATGAACACACGGTGATCTAGAGCATGCCAACGCTGAATCACAAACTGCCAAGGCTGGAGAGTACCTCTGGAGTAGGTAGATCACCTAGTCCAACCCTCTGCTCAGAGGGTCAGCCACAGCAGGTTGCTATGGGTTGTGTCCAGTCAGCCTCTCTGACAATCTGTTCCAGCGTTTGACTGCCACCAGAGTAAAAAAAATGTTTTTTGTATATTTAAATGGATTTTTCAGCATGAACACACCACTCAAGTGTACATGTTTTCTGATATTTGAATGTACTCGTATGTCAGGTTTTCTCTTATTTTATGGAAATAGTTTGGGAAGTTTCCATAAACTATGGAAAGTTTATGGAAATAGTGAGACCTGTGAGTCTGTTTTAAAAAAATGTCTTGCCTAAATTGTTTAGATGACTTGAAGTGCTCAGTAGCATGCCTGCAGTCTATTTGGGTAGAAGTTAAAGACTTTGATGTTTTCTAGCAAAAGTGAAATTCCAACCTCCTTGGTTTTGACTATGCCTTCAAAGAAGCTAGGAATTTGCCCCAGTTACATTGACCTACAACAGTGCTATTTTGTCTGTCTTCAAGACAAGCACAGGTGAGATGTAACAGCTCTGACCACCACTCTCTCTGAGACAACATGCTAATTTACACTCAAAATTCCCACTCCAGTTAGAGCTGAGTGGTTTTACTTGCCTCTGGAAGTAGCAACACTTGGCTACACCTGCTGCCACTACCACTAATACTACTACAATAAATGGGTGCCTTTCTTTTTGCAAACATAAGCCAATAATCGCACATTCAAAGAATACTTTAAATACAGCAATAACACTGCTGCTAATTTACAGCCCTCAGAATGCCAAGCAACAGATAAAGGTTAAGCCAGAAGTGCCTGCCAGTGTTTAGGTGTCTAAAAATAAACAGGCACGGCCTTCCACATAGCAATGTCATGACATACCATTTTCTCTGCAATTCAGTGTGAACATGGCATGAAGAAGTTGGGATCTTCTAGGGAGAGATCACAGCCCTATTTTGTTCTGCCTATGGCACCAGATGAAAGATTTCATATCTTGCTTTTTGTGCCATTTTGCTGTATGCAAGAGACGTGGCTATACATGATTGCTGGAATCACCTCTCTTGGTCTGCACGACAGCTTACACTAAGCATAACAATCAAAATCACAACAGTAAAATAAAAATACACCTGATGCTATTTTCAAGGCCTACCAACTTACTCTTTTTTGCTTTTAATGTTAGAGGAGGATCTGGCAGGGAAAGATTAAGCCCATGTTATTTGGGCATGGGTAATTCAAGGTCAGCATCTGAATTTTAAAAACTCAGTTTATTTTTAATTTAAATAAATACAAATTAAATATACTAATCTACAAGTACATTTTAAAAACATCACTGTTGCACTGAGCACTGCTATTCAAAAAATACCTCTTGAAAGCACTCTGTTCAAAATAACAGAACAGCTTATCTATTTTTTATACTTAAAAATGTTATTTCCTTCATTCTACCCTACTGTTACTGCAGGTATTTCAAGATGGCACTTTGGTGATCAGAAAGAGCTGATAACGTGGTTGCCACACTACAGTAGAACAAGAGTCCTTTGCCACCCACTTGAAAATAGCACTAGTATGTTGCGATGTGCTGTGATTCCATCGTTATGCTGTGACAGAGCACAGGAAGATGCACGTTAAACAGATGCTGTATTCTGTTCTGGTTAAGAAACATAACCCTATGAGACAAGCAATCCGTATTTTTTCTTGTCAACTCTTCAGACAGGAAAGATAAGAAGATTTCAGAACAGACGTGAAGGTTCTTGAACAGAGGTGCACAGATGACAAAATTGCTGATGGTTAACTTCCACGAAAGCATAAAACTGAGAAGATGGAAAAAAGGAGAAGGCAGAGGAGAAGGCACACACTTTGTTCCATTTTGGTCTTTCACTTCTGCTTTGTTTGGAATAAGTTTGACTCCTCCACATGACAAAGCACTACCATAACTCTACCTTAATAGGAGTGTGGAACTGCAGGAATCACAGAGGAGCTGAGAGGACTCCCAGCACGATCCCTTTCCACTAGTGCTGCTACAGTCAAGTTACTCATGCAAGAAATCAGAACTGTGCTGTGTAATTTGCTTTACTGAAGAGAGACCTTTATGTCGCTACCTCTATCAACTTCACAGTAACATTTATTTTTTCTCAAAGCAATTAGACAAAACAAAGGTGGGTAAATTCCTTACGTGTATGCAAAGCATACACATCTCTCTTCAGCTTACTTTTTACAATGACAGGAAAACACTTTATAGTAGAAGTTTGTGTTTGAGGCCAGGCTGGATGGGGCCCTAGGCAACCTGATCTAGTGGGACGTGTCCGTGCCCAGGAATTAGGTGATCTTTAAGGTCCCTTCCAACCTGAGCCATCCTGTTCAACATCTTATTCAACAATAATAGCATTTAAGCCTTCAACACAACTTAACTGTTCCTCTGAATAGTGGCTTTCTGAATAACCTTGCTAGATGTAATGCATTTGCCTATCAAATGTCCCTTTCTTCTCCAAAGTCCACGGCTCAACTATGAAATAACACTACAGTATCAGAGTTCAACTCTTTGCTGACAACGAATTATTTGCCATGGCATGCTTTGCCAATCCAGTTTTGGAGCTTCTCTTAGAATGTAACACCCCTCCCAACCAGTCTAACTCAGAATAAGAAGGGGCACTAAAATTTTATTTTTAAGTGCAAGAATGATGAATCTCTACTTGACTTGGGCCTCCTGTGCTAAGCAGAACACCCAAAACTTGTAAGCTTCAGTTTCCTGACCTTTAAGTTGGATAAACCCTACTTAATACTGTCAAAGTACTGAAATGAAAATTAATGTATTTATCAGCTCCAACAAGTAATTTAAACAAGTCCTCAATGAGTCCTCAACATACCCACTGTTCTCACTGAGGCAGCTCTTCCAGATTTCAAATTTCAGAGCTTTGTGTTTAAAACACAGTTTAATTTCTACTTACATTTAACTAATGTGATACAAGATAATTTTCTCCCTCTTTGCTCTTTACCTTTTAAGCCGTTTATAAATTTGTGTCTCTACATGCACCATCTGTAATCACATTCACCTACTTCAGTTATCTAATTACTTTTGCTCTCTTTTCCAAACTCCCTCAACTCTTTCAGGTACTTAAGCATACAAAACTGAACTGAATTGTCTGGCAGTAGCCACGCTAAACTAATTTACCTCCTGAAGGGCGATGTTTGCAGTAAGATTCCTTGGCTTCTCACTGTCACTCATTTTTTCTCCTTCCTAGTTCTACTCCCTCTCAGATCCTTTGCAACATTAATGCTAACTATTATGCATAATTCAGTAGCATTAATAATTTCTGTTATGCTAAACCTCATAGGCTCATTTCAGTTTCAGGATCACACCACGCTGTGTAAAAATAGAAATCCACCAACCCAAAGACCTTGGCATTCAATTGAGACAACACGCAACAAACAAGAAAAAAATAAGCTCGGAGAGAGACAAAATGAAAATACAAATATGGATTTGAAAAAAAAAAAAAAAACACAAGTATATGCATAGCAAGAGCATTTTAAGTCAGCAATGGATTTTTTTCTTATTTTTTTTTAATAGTGTAGCATGTTTAAGTGAATCAAAAAGATTGGTATTTTCATTGCCCGTCTAGCTAGTAAGAGAGAGAATGTAAAGGCGAGCACAGAAATGTTATGGGCCAGCAGTGCACATAGCAGTTAGGTATATATTCCACTGCACTAGAATGCAGTGATGGTTAAGAGAGAGACATAGTTAGTACTAACAAATATGCAGCAGAGTTCCACTGCAACTGTAAAAAAAATAAAAACTGGCAAAGAGGTCTTGCTACTATCTCGCCCAAAAGACAATTATGGAAACTCATAAAAGAGAGTTGCTAATATAGTAAATTTTCCCCAGGAAAGTGACAGAGCACCCAGCAGACTAATTGTGAGGAGAAAATAAAAGTTACTCCTAGCCTTGCCTCTCTCTCATACATGTCACTAAATAACAAAATACGCATTCAAGAACTAGAGGCAAGTCCTAGAGATCAGTACCTGACTAGTCAAGTTTATATTGTTCGTTTAAAAAAAAAAAAAATGACTTGTTGTTAGCCAATTCCATCATATCATGATTCCAAATCAAAGAGAGAGAGTTCTTACTGATGGATGTTCTTACTGGTAGCTTTAAAAATGGAAACTTGATCTGAAAGGTCTTTCATGCCTCACTAAAAATGTAGTTTGGGCAACTAGTTGCTAAATTTGCAGATTGACTATCCGCAGAGAAGTCAATACAGCATGACTGAGTGCTCTCAATGAATTACATAAATACATACAAGCAGCAGTGCCATTTATACAAGTTGTCATTTATTATTCTTTACAGGCAGTGGAGTCACTGTCCACAACATTTCATGCTTTATTGCATTTATCAGGCAGCTTTACTGCTCGATATGCAGGTAATGGTTTTGAACCATGATATGCACCTACTAGAGAGCCTGAAACTTCTTTGCTCCTGCAATGTCAGCATTGAGTCCCTTCTGATACCTGTAGGTTCTGGGGCATAAGGTTTGTCCCTGCTTCAAGAAAAGCATCATGATTCAGGCTCTTATTATGAAATCTGTACTGGATAGTGTCTATATTGTCTGCATTCTCTTCACACAGGTTTTATAGACGGATCAGTACTAGCCACATCAAAAAAAAGATCTGTCCTTGAATTTGCTCATTGACTTCCCAATTCTCACTTTCATCATTATAGTAATTAAGCAAAATCAGCAGTGCTCAAAGCAGATGGGGGAAGAGGGGGACAGAAAGGAGGATGGCTAGACAACAGACGAGCAAAAAGAAAGAAGCATGTATGCTCCACACAGCCTAATTGAAAACAATTTTCAAATGTATTCCTTCTGATCATTAAAATTATATTTTATGATGGAAAAATGTCATTCAGAAAACTTTAGATGGTACTTACATTGAAAACCTAACTGTATTTTAAGAGAAATTTTGGGGGAAAAATTGCTTCAGGGGAAAAAAAATGATCAGACTTTTATAGCTGCAGCTCACATTAATGAGAACATGATCCCACATAATAAAGCCAGAGACCCTAAACAGCTGCAGTGCCAATATAGCACTTGTTAGTTCAGAGACAGAACAAGGGCAGCCATAACTGGTGTTCAACATCTTTGTACTTCAACAATGGTGTGCTACTCTTCCTAGCACAGGGACATGTTACACACAGACACAGCATTGTGCTTTGTTCCAATAGCTACACGTCACAGAGAAGCAAGTGATGTAGAAATGGATACTGTAAACACAGAAACAATAAACCCTATCTACGACTAGCGAGACACGAATAATAGTACTTGCTTCAGAAAAGCATGTTATGCTACTGTGAAGTAGTCATATGCTGTTCTGATGCATATGTTGGAGTAACCTAGAGAAACGCCACTCAAATCAATAGAGTGTGAAGTGAAAGAGGAGTGAGTCCAGATAATAAAGCATCACTTCAACATACACGTGTACTTAAAATTTAATGTAAATATCTACATCACGGTATTTTTGGTCCATTAAGCTCTACATCCTCTTCTAGCAATGACCAATACTTCTGGCTTAAATGGGAAAGCAAATGGCTCAAGGCTATTGGACAATGCACCATGCTGTACATGGAGATAAGCATCTGCATCAGCAGAACTCAACTTAAGCTCCAAACCAGAAGGGACACTTCTGGAGTACTAAAATCTCAACTATATCAAACAATGTAATGCAGTGGGTTTTGTTATTCTTGTTTTGCTCTGAAAAAGAGGGGCAGAGAATTTACTCTTCATATATTTTGCCAAAAAAAATAAAAAAAAAAAGCTGTTTCTAAAATAAACATGTTTCTCAAGGATGTATTGGAATAGGAATCATGTGCTTCTGTAATGTTAGTCTAGTTTTTCCCCACAGGTTCAATTTGCCATTACCTTACCAATTCTACGGCTGGCAGGTAATTTCCCAACAAAACAACTTTTCCGTTACTTTTCCATTTCAGCAAAAACAAGATGCCATATACTTATTCATTTGCTGTCAGTTAGGCTGCTGTGGGCTTGATAGCTCCCAGATTTTCTGTCATGGAGCAAAGAATCTGGAAGCCCAAATTCTAGCAACAAAGTTTAAGGCTTCCTGCATCAGGTGGGGAGACAGGGAAGATGCCAGAGTTCCCTGAGCTCCTAGTCAAGACCTGGCAATGCTGGGACAGAAGATTGTATGGTGCGGACTTCCCAGGAGACAGACAGACAGTCTATTTGAGAAAAGCCAAATTGAAAATGCTTTGAAATTTTCTTTCGGGGGGAAGTATAAAGATAAAAACAATTAGTTTTCATATTGAATCTGACCACAAAGGTTTTCTTAAATATTGGTGTTTCCCACAGAAAGAAAATATCATGTCTTGAGCAGCTTTAACTGTAACTCATATCCTGCTGGGACCAATTTTTTCCCAGCATGTAATTGATTACAGGAAGATTCATCAGGATTTTATCTGGATCTTGTTGCCATTAAAACAATACAGTAAATTAAAAAAGAAATTATTTACTGTGACATAAGCATCAAGAGTTTCATGGCTTGAACTGCTACTTCATGGTCCTTGTCCAGAGGCATGGACACAATTCGATCCTAATGGATGTAAAATGACAATAAAAAGATGTAACATGTTTTGTTCTCAATAAACATTATTTTTGCTACAGATAGATCATCTACACTAGTAGAGCAGAGATTTATTTTTATTTCAGCAGCTATTTCCTAAGAGACATAAGGCAACTTGATTACTACCAAGTAGTTCCCCAGCCCCTGAAAATTAACAGCATGTTAATTTTTTAACTGAATTAATCATGCAGTAATATGGTATTTTTTTATAGATGTAATGTATGCGTTCACAAGAAATCAACTACAGTCTACAAATTAAAAGTGACTGACAACTTGTTTCTAAGATGTTACTACTGACACTTCAATATGTTAAATGAAGGTAAGCCTCAAATTACAAGCATTATATAATCAGTTTCTCCCATCAACAATAAGGTGTGTGTACCTACACATTACAGAAGCCAGTGCCTTGCTGGAAAGATAATTAGGAATTGAGTCATAAAGGTGCTTCATGAAATAGCGGTAATATTCCTGACCTCTAGAACTCACCCTATTGCAACTTGGTGCACATACGTCTCAGGAAACAGTGGAAACTCTTGGGAAGTACCCAAGAACTGATACTCCTCAGTGCAGCCTACAACTTTAAGGCATATTAAACCTTCAGAATAGCTTGTTTGGGGACTAGCGGCTTTCTCACTACATATATCATTTCTAAATGTCTAGATTCATTTTTCTTTGCACCTTCCTTTTCTAACAACCCAGATGTAAGGTGTGGAAGTCCATGAATCCTGAGTTTGGAAACTCAAGGGTAACAGGGAGCATGTGAAAATCCAGCTTGTTGGAAATGGATTGACAATTATGTATTTACATTGCCCATCACCAAGAAAGTAGTATTTCAACCCTGGGAGATTTCAGATCTGTCTGTATCTGCTGTTTGGATTTCTTTTCTTTAGAGGAGAAGGAGGGGTTGGGTCAGTTTGTTTGCTTTTTACACTGGGGAGGTAGAGTTTGCAATAATCCAGTTATATAGTGCCCTCCATAGAAAGAGAGATCTCAGTGAAAACAGACTGGAGCTGTTCATCAGCCTTTGAATACCAATCCTACAGATGCTTATACAGCATACAGTAGCTTGTAACAACCTTCCTTTAACAGAAAAGAGAGAACATCACTACAAAACTGTTTAAAATGGGTTAATCTTAGATAGCCGAGATCCAGTCTGAACAATTTATTCCTAAACTACCAATATCAATCATTATCTTGTTCTTCAACAATGTTCTAAAGGTACTTCCTACTAACAACTGCTCTGACATATGGGTAAGTACTGCACCTTTTGAAAACAAAAAAAACAACAAAAAAAAAGGAACCACTAATTGCCACCACATGCAGGCATTGATTGTGTGCTTATTCAGAGGGACTGTGGTGTCAATCCCGTCTCTCACAGCATCTTGAGCTTTCTTATTCACATACTGAAAAGATCCTAAAGATCCTGCCCCACAGCTATATTAGCTATATAAGAATAGCTGATTAAATCATTACAAAGGGCAGGATTAAAAAAGTAAGGGCTTACTTCTTAAATGACTCAAGGTGTTGGAATATAATAAAAGTATATATATATGTGTTGGAATATGATAAAGACGTGTACATAAAGCCTACAGGGTCAGTGCAGTCATAGAACAAGCTCACAGAACTTCAGCGTATCGTCTGAATCATTCAGACAGGAGGTAAGGAATCCTTCTTCAGGAGTCATACTGATCAACAAAGAGTCATTCTCGCGTCAGTGTAATACATGTGTAATACATAGCTAATCAAATATCTAAGAGCTTAACCAATTATCAAAAACAGCAAAAAAAAAAAAAAAAAAGGAACGGCTGGAGTATCAAATTCCCTCCCATCTGTCAAAGAACCTGTAAAAAAATCTGGGCCATCCTGGATAAATGATAGAAATACTTAACTACAGTGCATGGTAACACCATTTTGTGCGTAAACTACAGTGAAATGGAACTGTGAAAATTCCACAGCAGCAAAGGGAAACACCTCTGCAAAACTCCTTCATCCACTCAGTCAAGCAGGCTGCTTCTGCAATACTCTAAGCTTCTGTCACTCAAGGGAGTGGGGAGATGAGCACTGACCAAAAACATCACACCCTGTGCACACACCCAACCCAGACTTAAAAACTAGAGAACAATCATCTATTTACCTTGAATCTGCTCGTAAAGAGATCCATCTTGTAAACAAGTTCTCTTCTGCTATAAATTCCCTGCAGTCCCAGAAGACATTTCAACCGCACTTCAGGTTGCTACAAGACAAAGAGAAATCTGCTAATATGTTATCTCTGATTATTTACTCCTGGCATTTATATTATGCAAATAAGAGCTCCTTGTGGGTACCTACAGCAGATTACCCAAACACTGCCCCATTTTCTTTATTAGTGATACCAGTACTGTTTTGTTTGCATGCATCTCTCCCTCTCTCTTTTTCCCTCCCTCTCTCTGAGAAAGCCTGCAATGAGCCAAACTTAAAGGTGACATCAAAGGTTGTAGGCTCCCTAAGATTCAGCGAAACTCTCGCAGAAACTACAGTTATTATAAGCAACAGAATACAAAAGACACAAGAATTGTGCAATTCAGCTGTTAAAGATTTACAAAGACAAGAGTATGGATGATCTACTTAATACAATCATCACTCTTATGTATACCAGACTTTGTTTCCTTTCAACAACTCTTCTCAGACAACAGTTAAACTCCAACAAGGATTCCAAGAAATTCCAGTCCAGAAAAACCTCCCTGAGGAAGATGTGCACCTTAGAATTGCATTGGCTTATCACTGTGGACTCTCATAGAATCACAGAATGGTTTGGGTTGGAAGGAACTTTAAAGATTACTTAGTTCCACCCCCCCGCCATGGGCAGGGACACCTCCCAGCAGACCAGGTTGCCCAAAGCCCCATCCAGCCTGGCCTTGAACATCTACAGGGATGGGGCATCCACAGCTTCTCTGGGCAACCTGTGCCAGCGCTGATTTCTTCCTAGCATCTAATCAAAACCTACCCTCTTTTACTTTAAAGCCATTACCCCTTGTCCTATCACTCCACTCCCTGACAAAGAGTCCCTCCCCAGCTTTCCTGTAGGCCCCCTCTTAGGTATTAGAAGGCCACTATAAGCTCTCTCAAGCCTTCTCTTCTCCAGGCTGAACAACCCCAACTCCCTCAGCCTGTCAGAGGTGCTCCAGCCCTCTGATCATCTTCATGGCCCTCCTCTGGACTTGTTCTAATACATCCATGTCTTTCTGTGCTGGGGGCCCCAGAGCTGAACGCAGTGCTTCAGGCAGGGTCTCGTGAGAACAGAAGCAGAGGGGGAGAATCACCTCCCTCAACCTGCTGGCCAGGTTTCTTCTGTGTAGTGTGTATCGCCAGCTCATGCTGAGTTTTTCATCCACCAGTACTCCCAAGTCCTTCCCGTTAGTGCTGCTCTCAATCTGCTCACCACCCAGCCTGTATTCATTTTGGCATTGCCCTGACCCAGGTGCAGGACCTTACACTTGGCCTTACTGAACTCCACGAGGTTCACGCAGGCCCACCTCTCGAGCCTGACCTCTGGGTGCCATCCCTTCCCTCTAGTCTGTCATACATACAAATATTATGCCTTCTGCCTGTTTCTGTTTTACTGTAGAATTATGTATTTTAAGCATTCTAAAAAGAGAATAGTTTTAAGTTTGGCCTAGTTGGCGAATTTAGGCAAAACAGTCATCCCTGTTACTTCCTGCTGTTAGTATTCCTGCTTCACAAATGTCCCAGAAAAGAGGACGCTTCCCTGACCCAATTTTTAATTACTCTCATGTCTATTCCTAAACCTTTCAAACTACAAAAGCTTTGGATGTCATTAAGAAATTTATTCTGAGGATCTAACATTAAAAAAAAAAATCAGTGTTCCATAAACTTAGAATGCTAGGGATATCAGCAGACACTGTAGGCCTTGAATCAGTCTCTTCATGTTTATTCCTTTTTTTTTCCTGCTAACAATAGCAGCAGGAAAATTCAAGGAAACCTAAGAAAGGAGACCACCTACACATAGGCTAAGTATTGCTACAAGTTCCTGTTCACCTGCTTAGGATGGAAAGCAAAGGATGATATCCAGTAGCAGGGTCTGACCAACAATTTTACATAAGGCAGCTTTTTGCTAAAAAAATAAAATATAAAATCAATAGTTGATGACAAACGCTCTCTAACCTGCCCACAACTCACCAGCAGTACATATTCTAAATTGTGTTCACCTTTAAAATTAAAGGCATTCTCAGAGAAAGAGACTCTTGCCCCCACTTGCTGCTTCCTACACCCACAAGGGCTCCACAACATACAACTCGCTCACAAACAGTCTCAGCTTGGAACCCATCACTGCCTGCCGCCAGGAGTGCCACAGGCAGGAGCTTTGCACACTTGCACAAACTCAGCTCAGCCAGCGTAATGCCATTCTGGCTTCAGCTGCTCTCACTACTTTATCATGAGGTTTTCCTTGTGAATAGGGACTTTATTTGTGGTTGGGATAAATAAATACATATGTTTAAAATGTTTGTGATGGTCATATAGCTCTTCAAGCACGGCTAGCGATCAGTCACTTGCACTTGTCAGTCAGGTAGCATTGAAGTGTAGGTTTGCAGATATATGGATTAATACATTAAACTAAACCACCTGCTTTCTTCTAAGGTATTCACTTCCCACTCAAAAGCTCTCAGTCATAACCCTGTATCTATATGTTTGAGAAAACTGTCTAAGAACTATGAATGCATAAGTACTTCTGCTATGGCGATTTCTGCTGTCTTCCTATGTTTTCTGCTGCATTTTCTCCTTCTCAGCTACCTTTCCTTTTCCAGATTCATCACTCTTCACAGTTTCTTGATCATTCAAATCTATTTCACATCCTTCTAAAACTATCTCACCACTTACCTTCAGCTCCTTTGGGCAGTCATGCAGGCAAGTACAAAAAACACCTAGCCACCTATTCCCTTCACCAAAACTATCCTTCTAATCTTGACACAAATACCTGCCTTTTTAGTCTTTCAAAGCCGTGACAGAGTGAAGGGGGACTATATAAGCACATCTTCATTCGGGATACTCGGAACATACGCTGTCCCTCAGCTGTATCATAGTGTACTCTGACCCTGACCTGCAAACAGACTGGCAGGGAAAATCAGTAAGATGGTGAGCAGCTCTAGTGACATCAAGGAGCTCTGCAAGGGCTCCAGCACTGTTTAGACACGTTCAGTTATGAGATTTCAGTGTTGCTGCAATCAAAGAGATGGAGCCATTCTGTAAGCCGTGTAAGTACAGGCTGGTACATGGATGATTTTGAGCTAGGGTTGAGTCACTGTTCCTCCTCAATACCCTCCAAATAATAAATTGTGAAAAACAAGAGTATTCCAAAAGTAGACGTGAAGAGTGAAGACAATATAGCTTAGCTGTCCTGTCAAGGTAAAACATAGTTTAAAAAAAAAAAACAAAAAACAGCAATACTGTCCCCACAAAAAAAAAAAAAAATGTCAGTATATATGCAGAAAGATGATTTTTGGAGAGAAAACCACACTTCTAGCATGAACACTTGAAGAAAGAAGTACTTCAGAAATTGTCATAACAATGGGATCAGTTTTTATAGCCACGTCGCATGGGAGGTAAACCTAAAAACCTCTTCCATTTCCTGAAATTTGCCAGGAGTATTGCATGGCCAGGACACAAAAGTTCATTTTAACAGAAAGTTTGTTTCCCACAGGATTTCTTTGGGTATTTTTTTATGGTCTAGTGAGAAAACCTCAGCAACTTGCCCTAAAGTTCCAGACAAAGCTAGTCTAACATGCTGGGAGGTCTCAAGTGTGCGCACACACATGTGCATGTGTATCTGTGCACATCTCCATTTTCATTGCCTTTGCATTCCTCTCTGCGGGTTCTGCCTTCCCCGTTCTGCACCCTTACTCTTCATCATCTCAATTTTTCTGGTCTTTAACTCTGAATTTTTTACACAGAACTCCCCTTAGGTCTGGCTGCTGATGCAGTAGTAGCTATATACCGCTTTGGGTGCCTTTGAGCACAAGTTAAGTGCCTCTGTTTCACAAATGCAGTGATAGGTGATTGGGCTTACGTATAAGATTGTTCAGTAGCATAGGGCTCTCACATTTACTGTCAAGTGTTGCTTGATCTTCAAAAAATAATGTTACATTGGTTCTAGTAGACAAACAAAAATGTATCTTGAAAATGTATTTTTATAGCACTTTTCCACAACTCCTCCTGGGCCAAAGAGTTGTATTCATATACAACTTTAAGAGTATTACTACTGAATTTGGAGAACCCTCTTGCACCTAGGAAATAGCCTTCCATGTAAAAATACCATGTTTCAAATTGGAGTATAACAGCAAAATGGTATTTCATGAGGAAAAATGATTATATTCAAAGAAAAGACATTGGTGATGAAACATTAATTTTATACCTGCTTTTTTGTTTTCCTCTTTAAAGTCTCCCAAATGACTGAACTTTATATTTGTTTACAACGCTGTAGATGATGCTGGCCAGATTTCTCCCCATGGTTAAACAACCACTGAAGTATTCTAACTCTGGGGCCTAAATTATCTGGCAAATGTCTCTATGTTATATTCTAAAAGAAAATTGGCTCTGGGAGATGTCAGTTTCTTGCTGCACACCATCATCACGGTGGAATGGAAATGCTTATTAAGGAGGAATAGAGGGAAGTAACATTCAGATGTATTTAAAAGCACTACTGCCAACGTCAGAAATGCCCTGCTCTCATTTCGGAATTGGGCAACTTAACAGTGGCTGCAAATCACAAAGCACAGCCGGGACTGCAACCGCCACTAGTGGCATACTACCAGGCCTCAGCCAAATGTGGAATATGAAAGACTGCTCGCTCTGCTGGCATCTGCACCACTGCTTCTACCTACTATGCTTTAGACAAATAACCATTTCTAGTTTCCAACAAATTACACTGGAGAAGCTATGTGCATTAATCAAAGACACCAGCTGTTAATTTTCACTGTACAGCACTGGGAATGGAGACACATCATCGTCAAAAATTACTTCTTATTCTCACAGTTTGAGAATTCTCCCAACTGAACAAACACTAAAAAAGATATTCTGATCAGATAAAATTCACGCAGGAAAAGACAACAGTTCCTGACAGATTTGTTGCTTCTGAAAATCTGAATGCTACCTTTAGAGAAATGGCAGAAAGCAAGGAAATAAGAGGCTTTGTGCTCCCCCTCCTGGCTTTGTGGTGAACTACAATTTTGTTCACAGAACATGGACATTACCCGAAGTTGACACAAAACTGAAGGTGTCAGAATTCGTACAGATACTACATACACTTTAAAAGGTGGCCTGCAAGAAATACAGTGTACCAATTCCAGTACTTAGCCATTCATGATAAATATACCTATCTCCCTAAAATTTGTCATGTATTTTAGAAGCATGAGAAAAAGCATATTTTTCAGTTACTTTTCTTTTTTTTTAAATGTACATCTACTTGAAAAGAAAAAAAATGTATTAAAAGGAAAAGGAGAAAAACTTCTGGGAAGTGACTGAAATAGACTTTCTGAAAATAATCTCTGTATTCCAAATGAGAAATGCAGGACTGAAGATTGTTTTACTATACGTACTGTATCTGTTCATCTTTATAAAATCAGACAAAATTTTAAATGTAGCCATCAAACCTAAAATCACAGTTTTAGTCAACCTTTAATGCTGCATGTGCTCAAAGGATATAGGACATGTTACAACTTAGTATAATTGCTAATTCAATAACATATTAAAAAACTGCATGGAACAAGAACACTCAGACTGCTACAGAACTAGAAAAAATGTTGTTATTTAATGACACAATGGCTTTAAAAATGAAACCTGGAATAGGGTAGAGAGATTTTTTTGTACCATCGCAGTTTTAGTATCTGGTCTTGGAAACTTAAACTTTAGGATTCTTCCAAATTAAAAAAAAAAAAAAAAAAAAAAAAAAGTCTTCCTATATATTGCCCCCATAGTGAAGTAAAAAAAAACTAAAAACGTTACCTTATCATACAGCATCCACCCAATGTATTTTAAGTAGCTATCATTTAAATATGTATCTGGGTATGTGTTAATCAAGCTGCCAATTTCTTCCATACAAGTAGCTCGGATCTCAGGGATCACATCACTGTGAAATTATAAAATGGTAATATTAATACGTTAACATGCCTAATATACTTTAATTATATCATTTGCCATATTTTTTTCTGGAATTGCTGAAACATGTACAACCCAAAATATTTCCAATATTTCTATATTAATGCACTAAGTCTTCAATCAACAGTTAATCCATTTAGCTACAAATGTTTCATACAATAATTATTTTGAAGTTCTGGATAGCTTCTCAATAACAAATGTACTGCAGGTAAAACTTCAGAAACAAAATTGAGAGGTCCTCTTCTAATCCCAAATTCCTTAAAATAATTTAAACGCTACATTTTTCTTGACAGCATGGCATTTAACGCTGTCCTAGTATCCAGACAATCTGAACAACAATCTCTTGGGAATGCCGATACACCTCACAGTTCTATTTTCTTCTTACCGATAGCGGCTTAGAAACGTCCCTTTGAAAATAGCATTCATCATGTTCTGTATCTCCAAGAGCTTCTGCTCATACTGAAAGAGAAAGAGAACTGAATGTTTACAGCGATCCCACAGTTCATTTCACACGATAAATTTGCATCTGTGCACTTACAAGACTACTGTGGTCTAAATCACTATTGTTTACACATGGTACCAACACAGAATGAGTGGTCTTTATCTACACTGGCAATTGGCGTTTTTGTAGCTACGCACTGATGAAAGATTCATCAGGTACCAACCACAAACCTGGAAAACAAGGTTTAGCACATAATATTTGTGATATGGTGACTCCCGCTCTACTCACACCACACACAGCGCAATCGCTAAGCAATCTTCACGTATATGTCCGAATTCTCCTTTTATGCACTTTAACAAAGATGGAGGAAAGGCAGACAAGGGAATTTTCAGAACACACTTTTTCCACAATAAGCATGTACTTTAAACATGCCAAGGAAATCTAGTTTTGAAAATTTGGAAACATGACATTTTATGTAAACATTCTCTCATCAAAAGCATCAGAAAGGGTAAGAAGTTTGCTTTTTCCCCCCAACAGACACATTTGCTCTATTTTTCCTGTCAGATCAGATTTCTGATGATGCTGAAGACTTACATCTCACCCAAACACTTCCTATGAAAAAGGGGCTGCTTCTATAACAGAAATATTCTTTGGCATCTAAACCTCAGAACAGAGGCAAATGGCTCTAAAAGGTTCTAAAGCCAGATTTATACCTTACAGCTAAAGTCCTGTCTCTGGGAGGTGATAAGGAGCTGTCTAGCTGAGCAGAGAAGACATGACAGAAACCAAACACAACAAAGATACAGGTCATACTCGAAGTTATGACCATTTTTACAATGCATTACTTATACAGAGATGACAGCTATCTTGTATCCTTTTGTGTTCATTTCACTCACTGAAACTCAGTTAAAAACCTAAAATCTTGGCTTTTAATTTGTGTAGCCATATAAAGCACTCTCCCACAACACCAGAGCGATTAATGCCATTACATGTGTGTGCAGATCTATGTGTGTGTAGAGATCAAGGGCTAATGAAGCAATTAGTGGAACAGGCATCGCAAGCTAACAGTATATAGGTCAGTTATTACCTTAGTCATTTTTGTACCACTTAATCTGGGTGGGCACAAACGCTCTGCAGCTTGCATTAGATAAGCCTCAAAGAACTGCAGTAACCCAAAAGCAAGCTGTCAGCAATCCCTCTTTTTAAATCTTCACTCATCTCCCATACAAGACACCTGCCTAACCTCTTTCCTTTTTCTCTCTAGCTGGTCAAGTCTGTAATTGGTCTTCTTGCCACTTATTCTGTTCTTCTCCACCTCATATAATCTTTGAGCATTGTGCTTGTTGACATCAAGGTTCAGATGTACGCCTACAACTGCTGTCAGAAGTTTCATTGCTGAAAAGGAAACAAACCCAACATATTTAGTTTAGCTCAGAGATATGTAACATAAATATATTCACCACATTACCACAAAAAGCATAGGGCTAGCCAAATCCAATTTATTATCCACATTGCAAATGACTAGATTATAGTAATTTCTTTCAAACCACAGTGTTTGTTTTAAGGACAGGCGATGATCAGAAAGGAAAATTTAGTGATACTACTAGTAATTTATAGATTTTGGCACGAGTTTATTTGTTGACTAGTAAGAGAAGTGATTTACTGGACAACTCTCTTCTTATATTAAGTAATCTTGATTTGTTTGCAAAAGTATCTAAAGCTGTGGAATATGTAAGTTTCAGAATGAAAAAACAAAACAAAACAAAACAAAACAAAAACAGTGAAGTCCCAAAAAACACTGGGAACCTTAATATTTAACTTATTTTGTCAATAAATTATAGTTTAGTGTGTTCTTTGTATGGCAAAAAAGGTACTTAGGGACTTTAAATTTTAAAAAGTAGCTTTAATATCACTATGCTGAACCAAATAAAAATTTGTTACAAGCAGTATTCCTTTTAGCATAGATACCACAAGAACAACAGCTCTCTAAAGGAAGCTTTCATACACAATGCATTTAATGCAACCTCATTGCATTAATTATTAGAGGGAGGGAAACCAACAAAATAGAAAACTGACTGAAAAATCAGTTACTGATTAAAAAAAAAAAATCACAACGTAGTTTTGAAGTTAGTCATATCAGACATTAAAGAACACATCTTTAGAAAGAAAAATCAGTCTAGATCAGACTGAAAACATTCAAATTCCATTCAGATATAAATGGGAACAAATTATTTATATTACATGAATATAAACTAGGAGGAAAGCACTGTCAATACATAAAAAGAAAACAATTGCTCCAGTAGAGACCTTTTCAATTTTGAGAAGTTTTATTTTGCACATAAGTCAGAAAAACCTATGGGCTACAGCAACTCTATGACTTGTTTTACCTGCCAAAGTGCTTGTGTGTCTAAATGCTCTGATCATGGAGTCCGCTAAGCCCGTAAGCAGTGAGATGATAGCATCCATCAGGTAGCTATCATACAGGATGCTGCACTGGCACTGTTGGACCAGCACTGCAATGAATTCACAGAAATTGGCCCTGAACTTCTTCCAATAGGATCCTGTTCTGGTCAGTGGGTAGTCTTCACCGTCCTGCACAAGCAAAAAGAAACAAGAGAACAAACACTAAATAGTTTTGTTTGTGCACACCACATACATATCTCCCACTGAACACCAGAGAATTTTGCTGACAGTCAGCTTCATCTCAGCTCCCCTGTAACTTTTTTTCAGTTATTATTCCGAAGAAGGGACACACAACTACATTACAGGCAAGCACAGATACAAACTAGCCTCATGAGAGCTACGCTGTAATGACAGCTCACATCTTAAAGCAGAAGTTGTGAGGCATCTGTGAACACATGGGAGAGGACATGTGAAGCCACAGTGTCATGAATGCCTTTCACTGACATAAGCCAAAAGCACTCCTGGCCTCTCCTACTTCCTCACAGGTAGCAGTGCATCCCCACTGCTCTGTCCCTCCTGCAACTGCATGGTAAAATTCAAGAGGAAAATGACATGATTGAAAAAGAACTGTTACTTTGCCAAACTGTTTTTCAATTGGATCAGTTCCCTGAGGTGGTTGTATTGGTTTTGGCTGGGGTAGAGTTAATTTTTTCCATAGCAGCTGCTTTGGATTTGTGATGATGTATTGGGTTTATGGGGCAAGGTTTTGGTAGCAGAGGGGTTGCAGGAATGGCTTCTATGAGCAGAGCCCAGCAGCTGCCCCATGTCAGATCAGAGGCAGCTCCAAAAGGGTCCTGCTGCTGGCCAGAGCCGAGCCAGGGGACGACACTGGGTGGGCCTCTGGGTCAGCAGATTTAAGGAAGGGGAAAAAGGTGCTGGGCAACATCAGCTGGGAAAGAGGACATGAGAGAAGAACCAGCCCTGCAGCCCCCAAGGTCAGTGCAGCAGGAGGTGCTCCAGACACGCAGCAGCAGTTCCCCTGTGGCCTGTGGAGAGGAGCCCATGCAGGAGCAGGGGGTCTGAGGGGAGTTGCCGCCCATAGGGGACCCATGCTGGAGCAGTTTGCTCCTGGGGGATGGACCCCATGGGACGGAGCGTGTGGGAGCAGAAGATGAAGGAGAGGCAGAGACAAAGTGTTAGGGACTGACCGCAGCCCCCACTCCCCTGTACCAGTAAGGCAGAAGATGTGGAAAAGATGGGGGGAAAATGGTTGTAGCCCGCTGTTAGTTTCTCACTGTCAGGTAAGAAATTAATCTCCCTTTACTGAGTCTGTTTGTCTGTGACAATAATCATTGCACATGATGATAACTGTTGAGTGATCTCCCTGTCCTTATCTCACCCCCTGAGCCCTTTTTGTTGTATTTTCTCCCCCTTTCCCTTTGAGGGGGGGGGGGGGGGAGGAAGTGAGAGAGTGGTTGTGGTGGAGCTCAGCTGCCCAGCTGGGTAAAATTACCACAGATACAAACAGTGGTAATAACACACCAGTGTTTTAGTTGTTGCTGAGCAGTGTTTACACTAAGTCAAGAACAGTTCAGTTTCTTGTGCTGCACTGGTGGTGCACAAGCAGCTGGGAGGGGATACAGCCAGGACAGCTGACCCCCATGGTCCGAAGGGATGTCCTGTACTATAAAACATGCTCAGCAATAAAAGCTGCAGGTAAGAAATGGGGGCTTGGGGATGAGGGGCGGAATGTTCAGGAGCATTCAGCTTGATGGCATTCATTTCCCAAGAAACCACTACACATGATGCAACCCCGCTTTCCTGGAAATGGCTGAACACATGTCTGCCACTGGGAAGTAAAGAATTCGTTATTTTGCTTTGCTTGCACAGATTTCACTTTATTCATTAAACTTTATTTATCTCAACCCATGACTTCATTCACTTTTACATTTCCGATTCTCTCCCCCATCCCACTTAGGGTGAGTTATAATAAAGCCCTAGGAGTGTTCACATTACACTTGATAATGCCAAGAAGAAAGCAGACAGATGGCAGTTCACACGACTTCTCACACAAAATGGCAAGCCTCATGCGAAGAACACAATAGTAGGATGTTGTAGATGCCACTATCAGACAGCATAAACATTTATTTCATTTGCATCTCACAGATCCCATGAATGGCTCTGAATATTGATTTGCATCCTGATAGTTGTGTATGGAACCAGGGAATTCCCTAATTTCACTCATTATGGAAAACGTTATTCTGAAGGAAACCCACTACTCTGCTAGTCCTTCTAAACACCTTCTGAGACGTATTCCAACAGGCAGCTTCACACCCAGAGCAACCCCAGGTACATCTGAAGTGCACTTGATGCTTTTCTCTTGTAACTCTGTTTCCAGAGCACCAAACCCACTGCTTTTTTTGAAAAACAAACACACACAGGCAGATCTTAGGGATGCCTGCAACGCAAGAAATTTGGAATCTATGGAAAGAGAAGAAAGTCAGAGTGAAGTGCTAACAAGGAGACAAGATGAAACCCCCACAAAGCTGCAAGCAATGTATGGCAAGAGACATTGCAGAATAGCTGTTTCTAAAATATTCTTCTAATTAAAAACATTCTCTTGTAAATATAATCATTTATGAAACAAGCTTCTGAATGAAACTGTCTGCCAAAAGCTCTTGTATGCATGCTCAGAGGTTGCTGGAAGGGTTGGGGGAATGTTCTTGAATACCATTACAGCTTGACATACACCAGGCTGCTTAAAACACTATAGGAGCATGTTGTGGTTTAACCTGGCAGACACCAAAAATGCCACACAGACATTTGTTTACTCTCCACTCCTCAGTGGGATGGGGGAGAAAACTGATAAGTGCAAGAACTCATGGGTTGAGAGATAAGAACAGTTTAATAAGAAGAAAAAAGAAAAAAAGAAAAAGAAAAAAACATAGTAATGACAAAAAAATAAAATAAAACAAGTGATGCACAAGGCAATTGCTCACCACCAGCCAACCAGTGCCCAGCCAGTCCCTGAGAAACAGGAGCCCCCCCCAACCAACCCCCCAGTTTTGTTGCTGAACAAGACATCATATGGCACGGCAGAATACCCCTTTGGGCAGTTGTGGCCAGCTGTCCTGGCTGCGTCTGCTCCCAGCTCCTGGTGCACCCCAGCCTCCTTGCTGGCAGGGCAGCACGAGAAGCTGAGAAGTGCTCGACTCTATATAAGCACTGCTCAGCTTACACACCGGTGTGTTATCAGCATTATTCTCATCCTAAATCCAAAACACAGCAGCATACCAGCTACTAGGAAGAAAATTAACTCCATCACAACCAAAACCAGGACAAAGTGATTCATCTTATCCAAATTAGCAGGTTCTGTTCCTCTGCCTTTAAAATCAATAGCAAGGAATGGGCAACTCCAAAGTGCGCATGGGTTCTTTCAAATACAGAGGTCTAAAATAGACCAGATGAAGTAGACTTCTGAAGTGTATAATTATCTCTGTTCACTAACACACAGTTTAAGCTGACTACTTCTGATGTATTTGCCTAAACTGGAGAAAGCTACAGAAAGAGCCATGCTACAACTGGAAGAACTACAAAAGAGCCGTACCATGTCCACTGGCCAAGTAACTGTCAGGATCCAAGGAAAGGCCATGAATCTCTTGTATTGCAACCCAGATTCCTGTAATGCAGGAGAAAAAAAAATTAAAGGCTTTTCAATGAAATTGCACAGTTAATTGAAAAAGATAAAAACAGCACAACCCATGCGTCATATTTAAATGGCTATTAAAACTTCGGACAATTTGTATTATAAATGGTTCACACAATCCAATGTGTTAAGATGTAATCCCTTATTATTCTTCAGTTATGAGCAATGATAGAAGAAAAATGTATTTTTATATAAATGTAGTTTTCTCGCTACAAGTGAAAGACTTGTTTTTAAAACTTACAAACAAAAATATACAAAACGTAATCCTCAAAGTTAAGTCTGACATATGCCGTTCCAGCAAGTCTAAGTACATATCCCTTTCCAACATTTAGTAACTACATACTGTTAAACAGCTGACCTCTAAAATAAAACATACTGAGCTTTTGAAGTTATACAGGAATGTTTTCAGAATGAGTGTCAGAGATGTTTCTCAAATCTACAATTATTCCAAAACAAAAGACAGGAAATCTGCCATTTTATTAGACTCAATGCAGCACAAGTATTTCTATCCCCATCTGGCTCTACAGTTACAAATAAAGCTCATCTCTTCCATTGCTAAACTTTTCAGCAATGAAATGGGAGAGGAAAGGAAGCCTACAAAAGAATAAACAACTGCTGCAAGAAATAAAGTGATGCATACAGGAAGAAAAGCAGTAGAAGGAAAGAGAACTGATTAAGAAAGAAGGGAAAATAAAAATCGGTGGTCCTAAAGACAGGTCTGCCTCTCAGATGATGAATACTGCAGCCCACAAAGGAAAAATGCCTCTGAATGACTATATTGAAAGCCATCTCCAAATTTGTACTTTTATACTGGAGAGCCCAGATCCAGACTGAGCACTCCAGATGTGTCTCACCAGTATAAGCAGAGAGGAAGGATCACCTCCCTCCACTCGCTGTCAATGCTCTGCCTACTGCAGGAAGCTGTTAGCCTTGTTTGCGGCAAGGGCACATTGCTGGCTCATGCTCATCTTGATGCTCAAAAGGACACAAAGATCCTACTCCACAGAACTTCCTTCCAGCCTGCTGGTAGGCATGTAATTGCACGTGTTTTTTTTTGTTGTTGTTTTGGTTTTTTTTTGTTTGTTTGGTGTTTTTTTTTTTGTTTTGTTTTGTTTTGTTTTGTTTTTTATCTCCTCATATGCATGGGATTTCCTGGTATAGAACTCTGTGAGGTTCTCCAGCCCAGTTCTCCAGCCTGTTCATCGACTCATAGAAGGACCTGGCTTGGAAGGGACCTAAAGCCCACCCAGTTCCACCCCCCTGCCATAGGCAGGGACACCTCCCACCAGACCAGGTCGCCCAAAGCCCCATCCAGCCTGGCCTTGAACACCTCCAGGGATGGGGCAGCCACAGCTTCTCTGGGCAGCCTGTGCCAGGGCCTCTCCACATCAAGCTCTTCATCCAGCAGCACCACCAAGTCCTTCTTTGCAGATCTGCTCTCTCTCCACTCGTTCATGCACCTCTGGACAGCAGCACAATCACCTGGACCATCAGTCACTGCTCCCAGTTTTGCATCACCTTCAAACTTGCTAAAAGTAAGTCTGCCCCATTGTCCAGGTTTTTAATAAAGACATTAAACCATATAGGCCCAAATATCAATATACACCACTACTGACTGGCCTCCAACTGGGCTTTGTGCCACTGATCACAACCCCATGGGCCTGGTTAATCAGCCAGGTTTCAATCCATCTCACTATCCATTTACCTAACTCAAACCTCAGCAGCTTGTCTGAGGATGTTATGGGAGACAGTGTTAGAAGCCTTACTAAAGTCAAAATAAACAACATCCTCTGTACTCTCCTGACCCTCCGAGCTAGTCACCTCATTATAGAAGGCTATCAGGTCAGTTAAGCACAATTTCCCCTTTGTAAATCCATGCTGACCAGTCCTGATCTTCTTGTCCTTCGTGTGTTCAGAAGTGATGCCCAGAATCAGTTGTTTCATCACTTTCCCAGGAACTGAGGTGAACCTGACCAGCCTGTAGTTCCCCAATCCTCTTTCCTGAAGGTAGGAATGATGTCTGCTTTTTTCCAGTCTTTGTGACTCTCTCTCAGTCCCCATGACCTTTCAGAGGTAATTAAAAGTGACCTTGCAATGACATCAGCCAGCTCCTTCAGCACATTGCAAATGCATCCCATCAGGGCCCATGGCCTTATGTATGTTCAGTCTGTTTAAGTGTTCCCTAACCTTATTCTCCACTAAGAGTAAGGCTTTGCTCCAGAATTTCCCTCTGGTCTCAGAGACCTGGTATTCCTTAAAGCCAGTTTTAACAGTCAAGACCAAGGCAAAGATGCCAATTGAGTTCCTCAGGCTCCGTGTCCTTTGTCACTGGGGCTGCAGCTCCATTTAGCAGTGCAGACATTTTTTCCTTAGTCTTCCTTTTACTGTTGATACACTTGCAGAATCTTTTCTTCCTGCCCTTTGCATTTCTTGCCAGGTTCAACTCACAGAATCACAGAACTCCACTAACATTAGTGAGAATTTTGGGAGGAAGCAAGGATACACAGATACAGTGTTGCAATTAATTGCAGTGTCTAATTTCCTGTCCTCTGAATGCTAGAAACAACCAATACAAATTAATAGAAAAGAAGTAATCAAGCAGTTAGCTGGTAATACTCTCCACTCCCGTTATTACTCACACCATTATTATTGTCTGTTTTCAAAAATATGTTTGAAATCTCAGTAGTCCTACATGGCACTACTCAACAAACTTATTCCCTAAATCACTTTTCCTTAACTGTTCCATTACAAAGATGAGAGAGAACTGCTTGAGAAAAGAAATGCAACCACAAGGAGGAAACAACTAATTTTAAAATAACTCTACTTTCCTCTTGCTCTTATGAGTTCTGCTTTAAAAGAAATCAGTTAAATCCTCAAGCATTATTTCAATCACCTAATATGTGATTAGCATAAAAATGGTTGCTTCAGACATATTTTTCTATATTAATTTGATGGTTATATCACAAGTAAACCAAACAAGCTGTCCGACACTGTCTTTAGAAATACTTCATTCTGTATAAATTATTTTTGGAGTTTATTTTACAGTCAGTCAACTTAAAAGCAGATTAAGATAATTTCAGAACTCATCAGATTTAGAAATGACGAACAAAAATAGAGAGCATCCAACACAGGGAATACCATTTCGTATTTTCCATGAGTAAAATGCTTCACTGGAGTAGCATGTTAAAATACTGCCTCAAAAGAAAAGCTACATTGTTTTTATGCATGCTTCTAAGGCAAATGTAGAATCTTTCCCTTTACCCACCAGGACAGGAGAAAAGGCTACAGAGCAGTAACACATCCACAGTGATGATCACAGTAATGCAATCTGTGTACCTTCCAGAGTGAAGGACCTTCACTATCATGAGTGCTATTCAGGGTTAATTTAGTTAGGAAAGAAGTGCCAGATTACTAATTCATATGGCCAGACACATATTGGATCATTTCTGTCAAAAATTAGCCCAAGTGCTACTGCAGTTCTAAAAGGAGGAAAACCATGTTGGCAAATTCATCTTCTGTGGGAATTTCTACAGCAGCTGGTCTTTGAGAGATGCTCAATTAAAGCAAGGCTGATGGCTGTAGCTTGACAAATCAATTCAGAGGTGGCAAATTCAGGGGGAAAAAAAAGCACGGAAGTAACTGATTAAGTGCCGCAGAAAATCTGATGTTGGCATAATTAACCAAGAACCAAACAGAGAAACAGTGTAGTGAAGGCGTGCATTTTCTTAATAATCCTCAAGAAATGAGATATTCACTATTGTTTTGACAATTATCTAAAATCATAAATGCATTTTCCTTCTTTTGTGTGACAACATAGTTATAAAAATTAATGCTGTCAGCAAAACAGGAAGATTTAAATAAAAATACTAAATAAAAATTATCTTCAAAACAGCTCTTCAGTAATTTACAACAGCATTTAAAAGGACCTATCACCTGAATACCAGAGGAACCATTTACCTGTTGCAATGTCAGGTTACATGTACCTCTACAAACCCACTACCAGAAGAACTCCTATTTAGGAAGGCTAAGCGAGACAGCCCTAACTCCGAAAATAAAAGTCACTTACAAAAAAATACTCTAGTGCTGCTAAAATAGGTCATTACAACTCTCCTGTGCCAGAATTAATTTTCTAAAGAAAGGAAGTGGGATACAGCTTCTGATAAGCAGCAGGAACTTTGTCTAGGTTGACTATTAAGGTAAAGCCTGTTATCTATATTAAAAAGTCACACGAAGTCAAAACTGCACCTACCTCATCGAAGGTCTCTGTCATTTTTTGCATTACATCATTCTTGTGTGTACTTTGAAACATTTCTGCTGTTACCATGCCTAGAAAAGCACATTTTAAAAAGAAGAATGTTGAGAACCGTACTTCAGAAACCCCAAAAAGGACTTTAATTTAAATTTAGAAATACCAAGAAAGGGGTACTTGAGCAGTCTTATCTGTTTACCCTCACACGGGCAACATATATATTGGTAGACATATAAACACATTTACAGTAGGAAGTGCTGATGAACCAGAACTGAAATATACATTAAAGAAATCTACTGTGTCTTCTTGCATGTCTATTTGGCTATTTGCCCTAGCAGTCAAATAGGCTAATGGCATCCTGGGGTACACCATGCACAGCACCGCTAGCAAGTTGAGGGAAAGGAATGTCCTGCTCTTCTCTGCGCTGGCACAGCCCCACCTCAAGTGCTATGTACAGGTTTGGGTACACAATATAAGTACATAAAACTACTAGAAAGCATCCAAAGGAGGGCTACAAAGATGGTGAAGGGTTTAGAGGGCAAAACATATGAGGAGCAGCTGAGGTCCTTTGGTTTGCTCAGCCCAGAGCAGAGCAGGCTGAGGGGAGGCCTCATGGCGGCCTGCAGCTCCCTCACGAGGGGAACAGAGGGGCAGGCGCTGAGCTCTGCCCTCTGGGGAAAACGACAGGACCCAAGGAAACGGCATGGAGCTGGGACAGGGGAGGGTCAGGCTGGGGGTTAGGGAAAGGCTCTGCACCCAGAGGGTGGTTGGGCACTGGGACAGGCTGCCCAGGGACTAGGTCATAGCACCAAGCCTGCCAGAGTTCAAGAAGTGTTTGAGCAATGCTCTCAGACATAGGGTCTGATTTATGATTAGTCCTCTGTGGAGCCAGGAGTTGGACTTGATGATCCTTGTGGGTCCCTTCCAACTCAGAATATTCTGTGATTCTATTTATCTGTCCATTCATTGACTTCAAAGATTTACTAACATTTAGCCCACTGTTAGTCAAAGATCCCAGAACATTTTTCAGAGAAGGCATATTAGTCAAAGACCTGGAAAAAAATCTGAAGTGTAAGAGGTACTTTCTAGCTGCTTAAATATACTCAGAAGTATCAACCTAACAGAACAGTCTTCTTAAATCTCTTATTTGCCATCCTGAAGCTTTTAGCTAGCTAACATACTTCAGATTACTCTTCCCCCACAGGCAATAGAAAGGGATATTAAGAGGGTGAATTACCTTGGCAGCCTGAGCACTGAATGAAGAAGTTGATCAGATCTAGAAGTGCCACATTCCTGTCTTGTTTATAAGCTTCAACCCAGTCATCTACCACAGACTAGAACAGATTAAATAAACTCATTAGCCAAGAGCTGAACACAACATGCTGCACTTCGCTGAGGACATCCATAATGCACACACAAACTACATTTTTCCGTCTACATTAAATTATAAAAATGAGAATTAACTCCATACCGTTACATTCCATTTCTAACAGAACATATAAAAGAGCCTTTCTGGGGCAAAATGAAGCCTTTAACCGCTCATTCCCAACTTCTGTCTGGCTTAGGCAGAAGGCTGAAATAGTTCGTATATTATACTTAACCTAAAAGCTAACCTCAAATTTCATTTCTAGGGCAGCCCAGCCTCCAGCCTGTACACGACACTAGGCCTGCTGGGACAACTCATGCAGCCTTCAGCCCACCTGTACTGCCACACAGGTCTGATGAATTCCAGCAGCAGCAGCCCGCACTCAAGCTGCTGCCTTTTCAAGCCCTTCTCATCATGTTTCACACAGAAGAAGCTGTGCTCTTCAGGGAGCTCTACTGAAGCTAACACAGCTGTCACACAGCAAAAGCCCAGCCACAGATCTTGGAAAAAGTAGGGTCTCACCTCCAAAATATGAATGTGTTTTTCACGTGTGCACACATGCAGTTTACTTACAGACACTACATACTGGAGGCATATGTATAACCCTGGATTAAAAATATTTGAAGCTCCAGGTTTTAATCTTTCATACACATATACGAACATGATATACAGATACACTGGTGGACTTCCTCGCACTGAAGAAAGTTGCTAAGTAAACATCTACAGAAAAGCTGATTATGCAACATGCCATCACGCATCAGAATGGGGTCAAAAGAAAACTGCCTAAAGGCAGGCTCCCAGGAAAAAAGAAAAAAAAAGAAAAAAGTGGCCTGATTTTCAGAATTCTGAACAACCATAATTTCCTACTAAAGAACCCTTTCTATATATTTTTTTTAAAATAATTGGCTTTTCATGTGTTCAGACATTGCTTTAGCAAGACTGTTTTAGATATGCCTTTCCTTCCTCTTTTTAAATATCTTACAGCTACGTTTTCACTAATGAAGATGCATTCTTTTCAAGAACCATGCTCATAGCAGTTTTCTGAACATGTTTCTTCACACCCATGCCAAAAACAGAACACAATTTCAATGCTCCGGAGTGATAACTGAAGTGATTGTTGTTTATCCATCGTCCCTCCACCAACTCCTCTCAGAACTCAGAGCTGGAAATACCTGCATGGCCCGCTTCCCCATGATAACCACTTCAAACAATGTAACCGCCTCAACCACTGCTCCATTCTGCAGCCGTCTCACTCTTCTACTGTTGGAAGAATTTCTCCTTATATTTTCACTCTGTTCTCGGACCTTCCGTTTCTCTCTCTGAAATGAGTCAAGCAAAGAAAGAATATGAGGAAACAAGATACTTAACAGCCATCCACAGATAAATGAACTATTCCCTAATAAAAAGTTTATTTTACTCTCACCATAAGGATTTCCCAAGGGTGCTAACTTTTAAGCCTCACTGAGGCTGACAAAGCCTTATCAAACATGAGTATGAAGGAAAGGATTTATCAGTTTGAAATTTTTTCCTCAACAAGTCATAAACATAGCAAGGTATAAGTGGAAATAAGCTTCTGAACAGTTATGTACTGCCCAGAAGGCATTTTTCAGTGGCAGCTGTAATTTCTGAAGAGCAGACGGCAAGCACAAAAGCTCTTCTACACCTCTTCGCTCACAGGGCAAGCACACAACCTGCAAAGTACCATCAGCTGCACGCAGTGTACACATAAAGCAGAGCACATGCTGAAGTGAACTGACTGTGCAAAAGCCAGTACTGAGGCTCTGATGCCAACAGAATTTGGGGATCAAGCTGCAGCCACTGACTAGGTTTTAGATGTACTGTATTGTTTCAAGAAACACTCCATTTTGTAACAATGGAATGAGACAGAAAATAAATTCCTTTATTAAAAAAAATATATAAACTTACTGTTGTTTTCAGGTTGCCATTTCTCACACCTCCACTGTTCTGCACTGCAGACTCAGGCACAGTCTCATCACGGACAGCATTCTCTCTAAAGCATAACAAACATGTTGAAACAGCCATGAGAACAAAGAACCATATCCTTGGTATAAACAGCAGAAGAAAGGAAGATTATGCATACGCATTTTAATGTTCCTAAGAATATAGAATGGTTTGGAAGTTATGCCTTTTTTGTTGCTAAAATAAACAAACACAAAAAAAAATTTAGAAGTACAACAGAAGTTCAGGGTCTTCTTCAGATTATTTCCTTTCCTATCTGATAATTAGAAAACTAGTGAAACTATCAAAACCATCAAGGAAGCAGAAAGCAAGTAGATGAAATAGAAAGCTGATGTTGACTTAAAAGTAGCCTGTAAGAGCCATCAGTCAGTAACAAGCACATATCACATTTTAGGTCCTCTACAGAAAACAAGAAAACAACATTTGGTGGCTCTACAATTTAAAATGAGAGGAAGAAACTGCTTTACTTGTCCCATAAAACACGCTTAAGGAAAAAGACACGTAAGAACGTTCTTTTCATTTGCAGGCATATATTTGTATTCATTGCTAACATGATGGAGGAATAATGTTATAAGCAAAGATGCACCTTTTGGGGGATCTGAAGCCATACATTTAACCGCAATGAAACCATGCCATTTTTCAGCATTCCTAATGCTAACAACATGTCTTGCCAAAGCTCATGTTTGGGCAGACGAGCTAGATCCCACTTGTGCAGCAGGTCCAGTACTGGTGGCCGGCTGCTATGGCCTCCTCTAAAACTGGATGGCCACCTCATGGCCAGGACATGAAGCCAGTTGACTTGTGCTCTAGGAAGGCACAAAAGGAAAGTAAACATGAGACTGTACAGTTACTTTATTTTTCATGATCGTGCTGCAACAGGAGAGCGTACTAACATGAGCAAGCACTTTGCAGAGAACAAAGCAGAGTATTACCCTGTCACATACAGTCCAATCTCCAGTATCCAGTGTTGACTAACCCAGATGGAACATTAACCATGCTACGGATGCAGAGCCAGATCGAGTCCAGAGGGGTTTATCAATGCCAGATAAACACTATTCATCTTCCCAAGACAGCTTCAGTCAGACAGTGCCTCTGCAAAGCAGATCCTGAGGCTGCGTACCATCAGCTGCAGGGCCTAGGTCCTGATGTTATTTCATTAGTGAGAAGTTTCTATTTAAATACATCTCTGGTTTTGAATTTATTGGAGCACTACACCGTAAGCGATGTAGAATTAGGCTTCCAAAGATTCTCATGCGGCTCTCTAGATCCCATAAAAATATATCAAATTTCTAAATAAAATGATGCAAATGATTAACTCCCCTACAGAGAAAAATCCCATTGAAGTTAAATTTAGTGAACTTCTCATCATAGGAAAGTTCAAAACGTGCCATGGTGGTGACAGATGGAAGCCAAGAAAATAAATCAGTCTAAACCAACCCTTACATCAGTTGTCTGGACTTCTGCGTGCGATGAAAGAGGGAAGAACTGTGCCTCACAACCAAGTCTGCATGCTAAAAGCAACACTTTGCAGTTTTCAGAATGCTTCCTTTGATTTGTAATTGTGCACCACGGAGATTAAGTATCTCAACTGCTACCAAAAAACTTCCTAGTTCAAAAGAACAAGCAGCAATAGCCAGCAATATATACAGCTCTTCTGAAGCCAGGTAGCCCTTCTCAGATCCCTTATACAGACGACAAATTAAAAGGATCCAAATCTATTTGTCAAGGAGCTGCTTCTCCTATGCGATTAAATGTTTTCACTCGTGATTCTGAAGTAGAACGCAACATTATGGGGCTGGACTAACATGTTCTTACTTGTGCTGTTCCACTAGAACGACAACTCAGATGCCAGCCAGCATTTCAGTGTGTGTTACCTGTTTATGCAGTGTACCTCCACACGATGCTCAACATACTCTCAAGCAGTTTTCCTGAACTATTTCTGTGTACTATTTAGCAACTTATTACATGCCATGATGAAAACAAATACATTTCATTTGATTACAGAAACTATAATTGAGTCTAAGTTGAATTAAAATATTTAAATAATGAAGAAAAAAAAAACACCACCCAGTACAAAAAAACACCAGGACAATTTAGTCAAGTACTTGTCTGAACACGTGCTGCATTTAACATCTTTGTCTACAATATACCTCGCTAAAGCTTCAACTCACACAGCTCTTTCCCAAGCACATCCTGGATGTCAAACCACTTTCAAGCAGTGGTCCACTGACACTGACCCTGTGCTACTTTATGCCAGGCAAAACCTGCCTGTAGCGAAAGGTGTTAACAAAGTAAGTGAATGCCTGGTATAGGGAACAGCCTGCTTCCTGAAGCTCAGCAAAATGAGCAGTAATGAGAAGACAGTTGACCTCCAGCTTCCTCGCGCTGGGCTAACAGTTCCATGTAAAATGATAGCCCTGTGACTAGAGCAGTTGGACTAACTTTCACGCATATGCTAAGCATCCCTATTGAACACCCACCAAACGTAACTCAGCACTAGGTATATACTAAAACGCCATTTAGTTTCCAAATCATTTTGGCTTTCAGTGCACCACAGCACGTAGCAATGCCACAGGAAGCACTGTCTTACAAAAGACATCCTACACCAAAGACTGCAAAGACAACATATTTAAGCAGGTTTAGCTATCTGCTTGCTTTAAAAGTTATTTGAAAAAAGACTTCTCATCATAAGCCTATGAAAAATAAAATTGCGCTACTGAAAAAAAACACTCTCAAGAGCCTGCTTTGGAAAAAAAAGCATCTTCACTTTAGTACGAACTTAACTATGAACTTCTGGACTGATATGTTTTCCTACACTTAATGTATTCTCTAATTCCCTCAATCTTTAGGTTTGTTTTGCATTCCCTAAGAAGCCACTAGATCTTGCTTGCTCCTATTTACTTTCTTTATATACAAAGTTGCACTGATCCCTGTACCTGGAAGTGCTCTGTTTAGTTTTGGTAGAGATTTTTAAAAGCCAGATCATCTCAGTACTCATGTTGCTTTCCTTCCTTTTAGTACTGGTATTTCCTGATAGTAATGCTGTTCATCACGCAGGTAGTTAAAGGTTTGCAGGAACTAGACCAGAGTTTACAAACTGAACCATACGGAGCCACTTAGATACTTCCCTTGAGTTTTTTTTTGCACAACTAGAGTTCTGTTGAAGAAACTGTAAAAAGAATTAAGACATCCTCTTGTCTTCTTGAGCAAAATAGGAGTTACTCTATCTAATCCTAAGGATGATGTGAACACTACCGCAGTGATCCTTATGCGCAACTCCATTTAACATCTTTTCAACTACTTGAGTACAATAGTAGGTTTGACAGATTTTGACATAATCACAAGCTTTTCTTTTGTGTTTGTTTTTTTTTTTCATCAACACCACACCAAGTGTTTCGGCATACCTCAACTCACTGTCTCGTGCACTGTAAGGAACAGTTGCCAGCCATTTACTCTGTTTCCATCAGCAAACGGTAAGAAAGCACAGGAGGCGGAATTCCATTCCTATCTCATCATAAATTTGACCTTTAGACCCTGCAACATATGGCTCACAGGCACATTTCTACCTTACATTCCTGCCACAATACAGTCCTTTCAATAGCACTGGAAGTGTTACTGATGAGATTAAAAAAAATAAAAAAAATAAAAAAACTTGAAGCAGGAAGGAAGCAAAGCCCTTCTTCTAGCCCTCACACAATGCTACCGTGGAAATTTTTGAGTTCAGTTTTCTCATTTTAATAAATATTTAGAGCAGACTTAAGAGACCCACTCTTAAAAAAGAAAGCTACCTCTTTCATGCCATCATAGCTTATTCTTTCAGCCGTCTAAAAGGAACAATTAACCTACATTACTGGATTAATCCCACCTGTATATTTTCTAAATCATAAATTTCAGTGCAATTGCTTCACCTTTTAGAAGCAACAACAATCACCAAACAATAAGAAGCTCAGCTAAACAATTGCCAGGCACCTACCTGTCACTTCTGAAACTAAAAGGTTTGCTTCAGATGAAACATTCAGGAAAGGACACTTGGCAAGCTACACCGATTGTCATCATGGCCTACAAGGAAAGCACCTCTTAGAGCTTAACGAAGCAAAAGACCTGGAGCATGCTTATAGAACCACAGAATATCCCAAGCTGGAAGGGACCCATAGGGATCATCAAGTCCAACTCCTGGCACCGCACAGGTCTACCCAAAAGTTTAGACCACGTGACTAAGTGCACAGTCCAATCTCTTCTTAAATTCAGACAGGCTCGGTGCAGTGACTATGCCCCAGGGGAGCCTGTTCCAGTGTGCAACCACCCTCTCGGTGAAGAACCTCTTCCTGACGTCCAGCCTAAACTTCCCCTGTCTCAGCTTAACACTGTTCCCGCAGGTCCTATCACTGGTGTTTACAGAGAATAGGTCGCCTGCCTCTCCACTGCTCCTCGCAAGGAAGTTGTAGACCACGATGTGGTCTCCACTCAGCCTCCTCTTCTCCAGGCTGAACAGGCCCAGTGCCCTCAGCCTCTCCTCATACTTCTTCCCCTCTAGGCCCTTCACTATCTTCATCGCCCTCCTCTGGACACTCTCCTACAGTTTAATGTCCTTCCTGTACTGTGGTGCCCAGAAATGCACTCCAATACTGGAGGTGAAGACGCACTCGCTTGGAAGGTAACAAGATGAGCAAAGACCAGGCTACAATGAGCTCAAAGTAGGCAACACTAGATACCTAAGAAGTTTCACTCTTCAAAACTACACAAGGTATGCTCAAATTTAGTAACTTTATTATCTGTATCTGCTCTTTCTACCTACATATCCCATTCTGTAAACAATATGAATGCGTTTGGTTTATTGATTGAATCAACTGATGACTGAAAACATAGCCTCTGAAGGGGGAAGACTTGACATGCCCCCGATGAAAGCAGCTCTGGAGAAGCACATCCTCTCCCCCTGCTCTAAGGCAACAAGTACGCAATGCCAACAGGTAGACTGCAGATAACTTGGTACTCTTCCCTCTCAGCACCTCAAATCTGTCACTGGAGTGAACACACCCACTGAGCCTATAAATCTGCCCGTTTTTATTCAAACTAGGTTCACTTGCACAGCACAGGGCACAGAGAAGCTCGTAAGACCAACCTCCCTGCACATCGGCATAAAGCTACATTCAGAAGATGCTGAACAATACACGAAAGGGAAAGGAAACGAAACGCAGACGTTAGTAACGAGACACAGCCAATCCCCTTTACCTTCCCTCCCACCCCCAATGACACATCCATTCCCCCACTTATCTGCAGGACACAGATTGAAGGGACAGCGCCCGAATTCACCCCCCCAACCCCCTCCCCCCCCAAAAAAAATGAATAAATAAATGAATAAATAAGCGGCGCCAGGTCTTACTTTTGGCTGGGAAGGCTGCTGGCTGCGTTGGGCTCGGCTATCATTTCCACTACATTATTTCGGCGGCGCAGGCAGCGAGCTGATGGTGTGGGGGGAGGGAGGGGGCTCCTGAGGAAACTTCACCGCGGCGGGGCTCGGCTCCGAAAGGCTCGTCCCGGGTCGGGCGGGCTGTCAGGAGAAGAGCAGAGGGCGAGCTAATGACGGAGCCGCTCATTAAGGGCCCTCACGGCCGGCCGGGGGCATTAATTACCTCAGGGAAGCGAAGGGGGGGGGGGGGGGAGCTGCCCGGACCCCCCCCTCCCCCCCTCTCCTTCCTTCCCTCCCTCCCTCAGGGCCCTTCCGAGGGCGGCGGGCGCGGCCCTGGCGGCTCGGAGGGGCCGGAGGAGGAGGAGGAGGAGGAGGAGGAAGGCTCCGGGGCCGCCCCGCTCACCTGCCTGTGAGGGGCCGTGGTGCTGGAGGCGGGGGGGGGGAGGTGGGGGGGGCGCTGAGGCAGAGGCACGGCCGCGGGGACGCGCACTCCAACGGTCGAGCGCGCGCTCGCGGCTGCCGGCTCCCGCCGTCAATCACGGCCGCCCCCCGGCCTATCAGCGCCGGCCATCGCCGCCGCCAGGGGGCGGGGCCAGGCGCGCGCCGGCCCCCGCGCCTCGCGGCCGCCGTAACGGCCGTAACGGTCCCGCCTCACGCTGAGGGGAGGTGGGAGGGGAAGGGGGGGGGCAGCGCCATGGGGCCCGGCCGCCTCCTGCGGCCGCTGCTGCGCTGCTGCCGCCGCCGGGCGGTCCCCCCTCCTCTGCCTCGGGGGGCGGCTGTGAGGGGACCGCTCAGCGCCGCGCTCCGCCTCTGGGCGCCTCAGCGGCCGCCGGGCAGGGGCGAGCCGCCGCGGGCGGGCGGCGGGGGGCGAAGGGCGGGCGGTGACGACGACGATGATGATGATGAAGAGGAGGAGGAGGAAGATGAGGATGTGGAGGAGCTGCTGGGCCCCTCGCCGCTCGGCCCCGTGGCCGGCGCGCAGCGGGTGGCCGTGGTGCAGCCGGCGGTCCGCTGGGGGCCCAAGAAGCCGCAGTTCACCACCGGTGGGTGGGCACCCTCGGTGCCTTTATCAGCCCTGATAATTGCAGGGCACCCGCAGCCCCGTTATTAGCCTTGGTAATTAATGGTGGCACCTCCAGTGCTGGTGTCAGCCCTGCTAGTCACAGGGGGCACCCCCAGTCCGTTTATTACCCCTGCTCTCTACAACACCTTATTCCCTTTACAGAATAAAATTGTTAACTTTTCAGAGTTTGTGTAAGCCTTCCCATTTTACAAGCGGGGAAAATTATGAAGGCACCCATCTGTCCAAACGTACATGAGAGCAGCGGTGAGCCTTTTCCATCTGTTCAGGCCCTCCAGATGAAGAGCACAAAGTGTCAGCAAATGATTCAGGGTGACTGCTGAAATGCCACAGTTACAACAGAAAAATGAGCGCTAAGACAAATATTATCAATAGGATGAGAAAGGATCACGGTTATAATTAAAAATATATTACCTTTTGGACTTCTTTAATACATCAAATGTGTTTTCCTATCTAGAGAAACATGATGAAACTCCTATAGCAAGAGGATCTCCTGTCTGGCAAATCAAAACTGGATCTACTGATCTGATTTGCCCTTGTGATTTCATGAAATCCTCATAAATCTGTGCTTTGCCGTGTAGATGGTTTAAAAAAAACAAACAAACTGACTAATGAAGCAGATTGAAATCTGTGTCTTTAGCAAGTCAGAAGTCAGTGTAGGTCCTTGATAAGAGTAGGTACCAGTGGTAGGAAGCAGGGTATGCAGTATTAGTAGTTCTTTACATATTGCCACAAAACACCCAGGAATTATTCCTGTGATCTTGTGGTTATCTAAAATAGCAGTTTAATCTAAAGCTAGTTAAGCATTTTACTTTTTAAGAAAAAAGTACAGTGTAGAGGCAAAGAGGTGAGTAATTTATTGACTATACGATTCAGAATTCAAAATCAAGAACCATAAAAATAATTTGTACTGGCAGAAAGATGCTTTTGTGTAGTAAAATTGCATCGAACTAGGAGTTTAATTATTCTGATTAGAGGTAAGGCATTTTGCACCTTATGCTGCTCATTAAAACCATCGGACCTGTAGAATTTAAGTGTAGCATAGTCGTTCCCTGTTCACACATCCTGTACTTACTGGCAATTTGAGCAGTTAATATATTATAACCTTTTTTTTTTTTTTTTTTTTTTTTCTTCTGTGTGTGTGTCTCTAAAGCTGAGTTACAGATTGCCGAAGCCGTTGCTCTCGTAGACACCCTTCCGAACTGGACTGTTTTAGATAAAATAATTATTCCTACAAAAAATCCTGACAAGAAGTTCGTTTTTGGCAAAGGAAACTTTGATGTTTTGACAGGTAAGGACTGAGGTTTGTCAGGACTGCATCATTCAGAAAGGAAAGCTTCTGCAGCTGAAAACTATTTAAGGATAGCTATAAAACTTGAAAAGAGGTAAAGGTTTTATTAATCCATCAAATAGGTTTGCAGACAAACTTCAAAGATATTTTTTTCAAAAGCAACATGGAATAGAAATAACCCATGTTCATTTGAAATGTGTGGGGCACCTTAATCGCTATGCTTAAGTGAATGACGTAAAAGAAACGGGCAGCTGTTTTTGACATAGTATGAAATTAAGTGTGGATACGGCTGTTCTGTGGACAAAGAATATGATGCCATTTGGAATTTTATGAGCACCGTGCTCAGTGCAAAATGGTTTTATATTCCGTATATTTTAAGAAGAGAATTGACATTTAACACTGCATTTTGTAACGGTTATCCGTCTTCTAGAAAAGATTAAAAAAATGCCCCATGTGACAGCTGTCTTCTTGAATGTGGAAAGAATATCTTCAGTAACAAAGGTAATTTAATATCAAATCATATTCTTTACATCCATATTGTTTGGAAGATCTTGATGCTATCAGGAGGGTTGGTTAATGATAATATATGAAGCCAGCTGGACTGAGTTTTTCTGAATGGAAACTTTAATTCTTGTTATATTTGTCCAGCTGATAATAAGTGTATCTACATGTCATGCATCAAGTTTTCCTGCAGCCTGATAGCCTTTTAGTATAGACTGTTTGTGCATTTGCCACTGGCTCTACTTACATGTAAAATGTTGGAAAAACTTCTCGGATCTTATTCACAAAAGGGAGGTGATAACACGGCTTTGCTGTGAAGGAATGTCAAGATTTTGGATTACGTACGTGCACAGGTTTCATACCTCTACGAATTCTATATGCTTTTTCTGTAGTGCTATGTCTGCTGTATTGTATTTTAAATATGAGGTATAAATTCAGAGCAAATCTGTATTATTATTTTTTGTATTTTTAAACTTTCATTCCTAATCCTTACAAAGAAAATGTATTTTACAAAGATAGATTGCTTGTGGGGAGAAGCATGCTTTGCTTTTTTTTTTTTTTTTTTAAACACTTTGGCAATACAATAACTGGCATGTGAACTGTATGCATGAACTATAAGCATGCCCTTTGGCATGCTTAGACAAACTGAGATAAATACTTATTAGCTTTTTTGCATGTGCAGTGTCAAACAGGGTGTAAAGTGCAAACACTGCAAGCAAACATCAATGCTTTGGAGGTAGTTTTGAATGTTTTCCCTGGATTATAAAATTATCAGAGGTAGATGTATCCCATAGTTATCTTGAGTACTTCAATTTATCAATTAAATGGAAGTTGAAAATGTTTCCTATAAACCTTCTAGTTTTTATTCCCTAAATTAAAGTATGAGTTCTTTTAATCCCAGATTTACTACAAAAAAAAATATTTTCATAAATCTAGATCTTAAGTACATTTTAACAGGATATAGATTCAAGAAAGTGTTTGAGAATGTGCACAGAAGATGAGCATTCTGGATTTTAGAGATGGTGAAAGGAAACTACTGCATACTTGAAGTTCTTTGGATGTCTTTTGGTGAATTAGGGCAGTTTGGGGTGTGGGAAGAGAGGAGTTCATTATTTCGTGGAAGGCTGGTTATGAAATAATTTTCCTTTCTTCCTCTCTTGTTGTTTGTTGTTTTTTTTTCTTTTAACTTCAATAACTATTTTGCTTTTCATTTGTTATCTTTATCCTTTCCCATACTAGCATTTCGTAATTATTTTTGGTAAGGCCTTAACCACTGAAATTCTTCATTCTTTTAATGCTGTGAGATGTCCTGTAGGAGCTGTTTTCAGAATCTGTTCAAGGCAATGGAAGGATTCTCATGGAATTCAGTGAGCCTAGATAAAAAGTTCTACCTTCTAAATTCTTTTTCACCTTTCTTCCTTGTCAAAGAGAATGTTGCTTTTGGGTGCTCATAATCATTACTATGAGTTCAGGTGCCTATCAGCTAACTTTAACTGTAATGCTGTGTAAGAATTGATTTACTGGTATTCTGAATCAGGCAGAAAACATCTAGGTTATTTTGTTTTACATGGCTAAAGAAAGAACTAGAAGATGCCTGGGGAGTGAAAGTCTTTGACAGATACACCGTTGTACTTCACATTTTTCGTTGCAATGCCCGCACTAAGGAAGCAAAACTCCAGATTGCATTGGCTGAAATTCCACTCCTAAGGTACCTCAAAGTGTGTACTGACCCTTGTATATTTTAGTGAAAATTTCTTTACATTAACAATCAGGGTAATGCTATACCGTGGGGAAAAAAAAATGCCACTGCTTTGGTGTCTCCATACTATGGTCAAAGATTGAATAGAGTGTAGAAATATTTGCATTAATGTAATTGCTTCAAACTCCTACAGTGCTGACAGTAAAACAAGAAAGTGTTCAATAGATAATGTTACAAAATGTATTTCTAGTGAAAAGGTCCTGGTTCTTTCTGATATGGAAGATGGGTTGCAAGAATGTATAGGAATTAGGTATGTGTAGTTCATATATAAATAGGTTTAATTAGGAAAGCTATAAACAAGGAAGCTTAAAGGCATTAATTTGTATCTGAATTTTCCACATTTCTGTATTATGTGGCATAAAAATATGCTGGTGTGTGTTGCGTGGATGTATCAGAGGCATTTTTGTCTCTCTAAAGTTTCTGAACAGCCATTACGATTTACTAAGAGTTGCATGACTTTTCAAACTACGGTTGAAGAGCCAGAAATATCTGGGTTTTCTCACCATGATCTGGCTTTATTTATACCTGTGTCTTGTAGCGTTGTAGTGTTTTCATCTGTACTGTTAGAGTATCACTAATGCTTCATATTTGCTAGGCATTTTAAGATAGCTTGATTAGAGAAGATTGATTTTATTTAAATATTACTCCACTGCCAGGTCAAATCTAAAAAATGAGGTGTCTCAACTAGATCAGCAGAGAGGTGGATCAAGATACATCATGGGCTCAGGTAAAGTCTATTCCCATGAATTAGATGATTTTTTTTCTCTATAGTCTTTAAAATAGATTAAATTGCATCTTATTAGGGGGAAGCTCAGGGGAAAGACAGTTTGTGTTCTGCATCTGATTAATTGAACGTGAAAAAATGTGTTGGATGGTAACTTCAGTCATAGCCATAGTAAAGTTTTCATGCTCAGTAAGTGAACATGGACAGAGCATTTGCAACCACAGGAGCTTATTGTGACCAGACATGGTTATTCTAGAGTGCTTAGCATGTGTCTTAATAATTATTTATCACTCTGACTCTATCTTTCGCAAGAATACTCAGTTTTAATTGCTTATGTATACTGTCATATACCCTAATGGTAACTCACTCAATTTCCAGATAGACAGCATCACTTGTTTTACTGTTCTGTTGTAGACTATTCTGCCAGTTACTCATTTGTATTTTTCAGGTGAGACATTTATGGAGACACAGAATCGCCTCTTGAAAGAAAAAGAACTTAAAATTAGGCATGTCCTGGAGAAGCTAAGAAGAAAAAGGTCTCTGCTTAGAACTCAGCGCAGAAAACGCGAGTTTCCAGTTATCTCAGTAATGGGCTATACAAATTGTGGTAAGCAAAAACTCATGAAATTGTCACACAAAGAAGCTTGCCTTGTCTAATTTTTAATTAGAGTCTCTAGCCAGAATCTGATTTTGGTATGAATAGGCTTTGTGTTCTAATTATGTTTTAGATTTTATAATGAGAATATGTCAGTTAGATTATAGTTAGGAAAGTAAATAATGCTTGTTACAGTCAGATTTTTTTGCAGACGTGTTCTGGAGAAATTTCTAGTACCTATTTTGTCAAAAAGATTTTTCATCTAATGCTGAAAACTGTCATGCTAGTGTCCTTTGTATGTATCTTTATTACTTGATCAGAATGGATAGAGAAAAGTACGTGGGTTTTGAGATCACTAGGAAATGCTGAGGCATAGAAGGAAAATTCAGGAGAGTTGGCAACTAATCTGAGAAATGTGCTTAAAAAGCACTTCATCTTTTCATAGATTAATGTATAGTGTTTAGAGAAAATTCTTAAGAGAATCTGAATAAAACCAAAGGTTTTTTTCTTTTTTTTTTGTAGCTTACGCAAGTGAATTCATACACGAGGCATACATAGACTTTGGACTAAACACTTTTCAGATTATATTATTTTAAAACCATTTCATTTTATTCAACTTCTTTATAAAAAGTAAGCTTACCATGCATTAGTTTTGATATTTATTACACTGATACTTCTAAGCTACTTATAGAGTTGAAGATTCAACAAAAACATCTATACCACCGTTTTGCGCACATAATTGAAATACTTTAAGCTAAAGTGCTCATATTCTAGGTAATGACTATAAATTCTGTAAAATATTTATGAAGAGTTAAATAAATTTCTCTGGTATCATATTCATGACAGTACACGTAACAAAAGCATTAAACTAATAAACTAAATAGTATTAGTGCTTCTGGTGATTGTTGGATTTAACAAGGAAATGTTAAATCATTTTGTTTCAGAACAGAAGCACTGAGGAGCGTGTGTGTGTGTGCTTCCTAATGTTGTCATGGCAGCATTCTTCAGATAGTCTTAGAGGTGAGATGTGTAGGTAGGTCACCTTGCAGGTCAGTTCAGTCTGTGATCATCTTGTTGTTATTCCACAGCACAGCTTCCAGACATGGCCTTAAATCCAATTCTGAGTTATAAAAGTTAAGATTATCTTTGGGTTCCATAACATAATACAGATAACTACTCACAGGCTAGACTTCTATTAGTGAACTAGATACGAAAAGATACGTAATGTCATAAAACTCACCCAAGTGTTGCGAATTAATATTTCACTTGAAACAAGCCATTAAAGTCTTGTTGTTCTGTTTTCTTTTGTTTTTATTTTAATTAGGAAAAACCACCTTGATCAAAGCCTTGACCGGGGAAGCAGGACTTCAACCCCGAGATCAGCTGTTTGCCACTCTTGATATTACAGCTCACGCTGGCTACCTGCCCTCACACATGGCAGTTATTTATGTTGACACTATTGGGTTTCTGTCTGATCTTCCACATAACCTGGTTGAGTCCTTTTCAGCTACCTTAGAAGAAGTTGCTTACTCAGTAAGTAGTTGACTATAAACATTGAGAAATTGACTCAATTTTCTTCCAGATAGTCTTCACCCCTTCAGAAATGGGGAACTTAACTGGCATGCTGTTCTTAGTGACGTACCTGACTGACTGTAGTGGTCTTCTAACATAATAACTACCAGGTGAATATCCTATAATAAACCAATTTTCTGATACTTTATGCAGAATATATAAGCATGAATAGGTTTCAGAATTCAGAGTATACATGTCCTTTTCCATGGGGTTTAAGCCAGATAATTTTTTTTTTCTTGTTAAATACATGAAAACCTAGACTGTGCATTGGCATAAGTTGAGGCTCTCTTTCTTGAGAATAAAAAAATGAAGTAAACCCTTCAGAGTGCTCTGGTTTTGACTTAAGGTTTCCTGTAGCTCTAAAAATGGACAGTTGTGATGCAGGCAGCATGTAATAAATGTTAGTGTACTTTTCCTATCATATTTTCATTACTTGCCTGTTATAGCAAAATTTAAAGTTGCATATTGTCTAACTCTGAGATAAACAGATAAACTGATGAACTGGCTAAATGGCAGAGGGTCGGAGTGAGCGGGCTATGTCTGGCGATCAGTCACCAGCAGCGTTCCTCAGGGCTCAATTCTCCAGCCAGTCCCATTCAGTGTTTTTATCAATGAGCTGGATGCAGGAGTGGAGCACATCCTCAGCAAGTTTGCTCTGATACTGAACTGGGAGGTGCTGTTGACTCTCTTGAGGGACGAGAGGCCTTGCAGAGGGATCTAGATGGGTTGGAACATTGGGCAATCAGCAATAACATGAAATTCAACAGACATTAATGCCAAGTGCTGCAGCTGGGACGGGCACAGGTACAGACTGGGGGATGAGTGGCTGGAGGGCTGTTCTGCAGAAAAGGACTTGGGAGTGCTGGGCCAGCAGCATGCCCTGGCAGCCAGGAGGGCACTTTGGGGTGCCTCTTACACATCTTCGGGTGCATTAAACACTGCACAGCCAGCCAGTCAAAAGAGGTGGTTCTCCCACTGGATTTAACACTGGTGCGGTCTCACCTTGAATACCATGTGCAGTTCTGGGCTCTGCAACAGAAAAGGGATGTTAAGGTACTTGAAAGTGCCCAGAGGAGGGCAGCAAAGCCGGTGGAAGGGCTGGAAGGCAAGTCCTATGAGGAGAGGCTGAGGACACCTGGGCTGCCCAGCCTGGAGAAAGGAGGCCAAAAGGCGACCCCAGTGCTCTCTGCAGCGTCCTGAGGGAAGCGCAGAGGGAGGTGCCGGGCTCTGCTCCCTGGGCACTGGTGACAGGACACGCGGGAACGGCACAGAACTGTGCTGGTGGGTCAGGTTGGGATTAGGGAAATCTCTTTAGCATGAGGGTGGTCAAACCCTGAAACAGGCTTCCTAGAGAGGTGGTTGCTGCCCCTGCCTGCCAGTGTTCAGGAGGCATTTGACAATGCCCTCACTTATGTGCTTTAACTTCTGGTTATCTCTGGAATAGTCAGGCAGTTGGACTTGATCATCTTTGTAGGTCCCTTCCACCTTAACTATTCTATTCTATATAGATGGGGATTTAAAACAAAGTCTGTATCCTCAAAGGTAGTCGGATGTCTGAATTCTTCTAAGGATTGATTTTTTAACTGTGATATAGCAGGAATTTCAAAAGCTGGCTGCTGCTATTTTGTTTGGTTTACTTTTTAAGTCTTAAGTGAAAGGCAAGAAATGTACTTTTCACTACAGTTTTCAGAAGTTTGAAGCATTATCTTGAGCAAAGATGCTGAAATACTTTGAATGCAAATCCTGTTTGGTTATTTGTGTGTTTGTTGGTTTTTTGTTTTTTTTTTATCATGGTAAATACATGGCTTAGATTTGCAACCTATCTAACCATGTATGTACTTGAAACTGGTAACTTTTGTATAAAGCTTTCTAAGTGAAGCACCAATAGTAGTATCTCAGAAGCTGGGGATAACAAGAGTCTTCTGCATTTTGAATACAGAATTAAAATTTACATGCATTTTTTTCCACATTTGAAATGTTCTTTCAGCTATTACTCTTGTAAAACGTTTTTAGAATTAATATTTTTTCTTCTCCAATATTTTTGAAGTTTTACTGTTACACAGCCTTGGCATTAAAAATTATATCATTTATTATTTGAAATCTGTCAATCAAGCTAGTTAAGGAATTCACAGAGCTTGTTTTGGGGTTGTTGGCAGCCATTCATGCTCTCTGGAGTGAGACTACGCTGCCACAGATTTTCTTTCGTCTTTGAATAAAAAACAGTATTGATTTTATATTGTTCCAGTAGGTCATTTTACAGTGTTAACCTGCCAGGGCATTGTCTAATGCATAGGAAAGCAACTCGTACGAAAGAGAAATGCAAAAATGGTATAAAATCTCTACAGCCTGGTAACTGGATGTTCTATTAAGTAACCGTCTTGTCTATTTGTGCTTGCTAGGATCTGATAGTTCACGTGAGGGACATCACTCATCCAGAAACCGTCCTCCAGAAAGCAAGCGTTCTCTCTGTTCTGAAGAATCTCAATCTTCCAAGCCATTTATTGGAATCAATGGTAGAAGTTCATAACAAAGTGGATTTGATAGAAAGGTGAGCAGGAGACGCCAAGTATACTTAAACATTTCTTATGTTCTGGAATCTCTTTATTTCTAGAAAAAAGCTTCCATACTTCTGAATATGTTTAATAGTGTTTCTCAGTCTTTTACATATGTAGCCATGGTCTTAAAAATTTAATTCTTTATTTTTAAATATCAAAAGAAATCATTTGAGACAAACAAGAAGTGATCTCTGTAGGAAGACAGCAGTATAAAATAACACAGCTAAATTGTCTGTGCTTGGAATATTTTCTCAGTATAATCTTTGCAAACAAGTATGATGGCAATTATTACTTTTCAGGTATGAACCCACTGAAGAAAACACTTTAGCCATTTCTGCTCTACATGGACATGGGTTAGAAGAGCTGAAAGAAGAAATAGAGAAAAAAATTTTGAAAGCAACAGGGAAGAAGATTCTGACAATTAAAGTCAACTTACAGGGACCTCAGCTAAGGTAAACAACTCTGAATTTTATGAAGGACTTGAACAACTATGACATTCTTAATATTGCAAAACTTATTTGCCAAAACATACAATACTAATTTTAATCTGTGGTAAGAATTACAGGGATATTTGTAAACGTTTTATGACCTATTGAAAAACTATCAAATATCACCAGTGGATACCGTACAGCATGCTTCTCAAAGTGACCTCCACAGAGTTCTGTGTTAGTACAAAAAGACAAACTTCCTGAAAGACCATTCCACTGGTCCTGAAGCCAGATTTAAAAGAAAAAGCAGAGACATGAAACATTTATGAAAACACCCTACACCCTGTTTCCAAACAGCAAGTAGCAAACAAAAAGTTAAGTGAAGCACTTCATCTTTTGAAGTGTTAAATTACCTAGATGCAAACATTCAGATCTAAACCAACAATCATACTTTATGCACTCTGGAATGCCTTTAAGATGCTAATACACTTTTTACTTTTACAGTTGGCTCTATAAAGAAGCAACAGTTCAGGAAGTAGAAGTCATGCCTGAAGATGGCACCGCCATGGTGACAGTGATAATCAGCAACTCTGCTTTTGGCAAATACAGGAACCTCTTTCCCAGCAGTACTTTTTTTATACCATGAAACTCCATCCTTTTCTAGAAAAAGAAACTGATCTCATTATGAGGATGTGAAATGAAGTTACTGGCCCGTTAGCCTGGATGTGGAAGAGTATATTTATTAACCAGTTGATGTTCTTGACACATTGTAGAAGTGGACAGTGTTTCAGAAAACGTCTGGAAACAGTAAGAGCTTTGAGTTTCATTCTGGCAGCAAGTGCAAGAACAGCACTAAATTTTATGTTGGGAGAGTTGTTGGCTACAGGCCTTGGGCCTCAAACACGTGGGAACCACTAGATGACATCTAAATTAACCTTTGGAAAAGTACTGAGTTTCTTAAATCATAGAAATTTTTTTTTTACCCTGTTTTTCAGAATAAGGCGTGTTCATGCATTCTGCTTGAATATATATTTACTTAAAAAAAACTACCATAATTTATTGCAGTGAAGCAGAAAACATTGGTTTGTATATTTAAGCAATGAATAAAGTTACCTGTGAACATCTTTCACCCAATAGTGTTCCTGCATACGGTAATTTATCTACAATACCTACTACTGTATCAATTCTTAAAAGAGAAAACATCAGTATCACAGAAAGGAGAACTCCTATTTCAGTCTTTATTACACAAACAGATCAAGTTTTATTAAGTAAAGTAACAAGACATTTGAAAGGTACAAAAGATAGGCAGAAAAACATTCTGAGTTATAATAACACTTCATGCAGGTGGTGACTCTTCAAAAAATTAAACTGAATGACTGCTCTATATGAAGTAAATAGAGGTGAGAACATGGATTAAAAGGCCCATAAAAAAAAAAAAAAAAGTCTTCTCAATGGAATGTTTGGTTTTCACTCCTATGTCATCTGCAATTGTGGAAGATTGCATGAGATGAGGAGTAAGCATCTTGGCCTTTCATTCCTAGAAGTCAAAGGTAACTTTGATCTGGTATCAAGTGGCAGTTGATTTGAGTTATGCAACCATCTATTACAAACATGAGCATCTTGCCAGACACCTGAACTCAGCTTTTACATGTAAAGTGCATATCAAAAGTGAGGTATATTGATGAAGCTGCATAGTGAACTTTATACAATGCCTGTTTTCTTTTAGCCCTGATACTTGGCATTTTTCTTACCTTCATGATCATCAGTTATTGCACAGTCCATTTAAAAATTAGAAAAATAGAATTAATTTACAGTGCCAAGCAGCATAAAAACAGCATTTACACAATCAAAGAATACTTACTGAGAGGAAATATGACTATGGCACTACAAAAATATGTTAATAAAGGAAGACCAGTTGTGAAACCTCAAACATGACAAGCTCATGAACTGTATTTTTAAAGCAGTCTGAGTTTAGATTAAAAATTAGTTTCATATGTGTTTATTTTCAGCATAAAGGGTATTTTGGCAGCTCCTAATAAAACACATTTTACTGCAGCAGACAAAACTGTCCAGGAGCCTGGCTCTGGTACCTTTGGAGCGACTGCAGAAGGGGCATGAATGATAATAATGAAAGTGTTCCAATGCACATATCTCACAAATCGTGAGGAATGTTGTGACTACCCTGCTAGTAAAATGGTTCACAACTCAGCACACAACTGCAGTGTGCCAGTACCTTATCTTTCATATATCAAAAATATTTTTAACATTTTCATATTGCATATTTAATACAGTCTATGAAAACAGACAAGTCAGTTTCACACTGATAAAATACTGAGAATTGGGGTTGCAGGTATCTTTTAAACTCCAAGAAAAATAAAATTACAAAACAATTTGTGCAACTAGTGACATTATATTTTTCTTCTTACTTGGATGTAAAATAAAATAGGAGTAAGTTCTTGAGATTTCCAATATTGCCAGCTGCTACAGAATCTAAGCACCTCTAAGTAAATTACACCCACATAACAGTTCTCTAGAGACTTCAGCAAGATCTTCCTGCTCTCTTTTTCATGAAAACACTTTGAAAGCCTGATGATTTTGAGAGCACCTCTCTTAATGAGTTTTTAAAACATCCCTGGTGTAAGTTAACTGGACCTTTATGTAGTCCAAGATGTTTAAACCAGGAAACGTTCAATACACACAAAGTCTTTTCAGCTTTTCAAAGATTATAAAGCTGAGAATGAAATGGTATTTGTTCCTGCTGCTTTGCTGTGACAGTCTAATGGAGGATTAATTTTTGTGTTAAGTTCTATCACGTCTCTGACAAAATCATCGTTTCCTATGAAGTCTCCAGCAATGATGTTAATACATTCTTTTTGTGTTCCTGGATACTGCTTCCTCACCCAGATTTTCAAGCATGGAAGACTCCGGAGTGTCATTTCCTTCAGTGAGCCAAATGGGTGTAAAAGAATGTATCTTAAATTTTCAGTAAGGTTAATGCCCGCAACAAAGAATTTTTCTGAAACAAAAATCAAAAGGTGACACATTAAATATTCCTTTGAGGAGAACAGAAACCGCTCGGCATTGCATTAACTCCAGGTCTAGTTCTGCTGGGAATCATTAAAATGCTAACTTAAGATTGTTTCACAGACCTAGAACTGTTTCAGTGGGCTGTCTTGCTTTGTTGTGCTGTATGCCACACCAAACAGTTAACTAAAACCCAGCTCATTCCTTGAACCATCCCAGTTCAGCTAAACCCGTCTCAAGTGTTTGTTGCAGACTCACTGTTCTCCACCCACCAGTCTCCCTCTGCAAGGTGTGTTTCCACAAGGGCTGCTGCCAGCTGACTACACTTCCCACGTGACACGTGAGAACACACGGTGCATCTGCAGAAGCATTTTTCTTTGGATCAAGAGTATGCTTCTCAAGCAGTTCTTTCCCTCATCATCCCTTGGTTCTTTTCCACCATCACTCAGGTGAAGCAGCTGCTGCAGTGACATAACCTATGTACGTAGGTGCACTTGCGCATGCATTTACATCACCAGGTAAGATGACATGCATGTTGCACTCCCTCGTGGGTGGGCGAGAGCACTCGGCACCGTGCGAGTGTCTGGAGCATGCAGCATGCCCAGCAGGGTGACATCCCTCACCCCTGTGAACTCCCAACCTACTCTTTGTTTGTGTTGCACTGCCGTATCTGCCTCTTGTTTCTTTGCAGCAGCTCCCGTACGTACCTGGCCGGCCCATCCGCTTCATGCGCTCCAGATACTGGATAAGAGCGTGAGTAGAAGTTCTGTTCCCCCACCAGTACGGGATGGCAGGCCACAGCTCGCAGTGCTTCTCCAACTCCATGACTTCTTCATACGAGACTATGACCTGGTAGCCATGCTGCCACATGGTCCGCAGCGTCGGAACCACCTAGGGGAAATCACGGCCGGGTGCAAGTCAGTGGGAGCTGTGAGCCAACAAGAGCAGTGTCTGCCAAAGTTCAAATACCAAAGCGTGGCATCGCCTAGACAGCGAGGCTCAAATTTGGTTCAAACAGTTCACCCTGCAGCCAGGTGGAGCTCTGGATGGATTACAAACTGAAAACGTGTTGCAAGAGGAAGACATAGCCTGTTCTGCACAAGGAGGGTCAAGGAAAACAAAGCCCTACACCCATCTGTAGGAAAACAGATGCAGAGAAGCAGCAGTAGTTTGGGCAGCTGTCCCACACAGACCCAAATTTCTCACCACAGCCTTTAATGAAAACTTGAGTGTTCAGACACAGTAAGGCTAAAGGTAAGAAAGATATCGATTCTGATTTCTGTAAGGGGATTGTTTCAGAAATTGGGATGCCCTGGTCATCCTGCATTGAGAGAAGGTAAGAGCTGAGTCACAAACTGACTCAATGGTCCTCCATTTATTTATTTTTTTGAAACCAACATTTTAACAGGCATCTTTTTTTTTTTTTTTTTTTTAAGAACGTTGGTGGTTAAAAGCTGTGTCTGTTGTTTGTGAAGAGGAATTGGTGGCTTTAGGATGTTCCAATTAGCTTCTTACTTAAAATAAAAACCAAAGCTGAAAAATCTTAATGCAAGTCTTTGAAGAAAGCCAGGGGTTGAATGAACATAGAAATCCCTCTTGGCTTCATCCAAGCGAGAGTGTGAGCCCCAATTAGATCAGAAAATACTGCAAAATTAAGATACAAGCTACTCATGAGCTACAAAATCTGTGATTGACAGAAGTCTTTGCTTTACTACAGCTGCCTTTCTAAAGCTCAAACCTTTTTTATTATTTTTATTTTAAAGGGGGTACCAGAGATGTATACTCGAGCACAGGTGCTTATTTTGCAAACAAAGCAAAGATGAAACTGCAGATGTCTGACAAGGGATTTTTAAACCCTAATAATCCAGATCAAAGGAAGACACCTTGAATAGTTAAGGCAATTACAATTTTAAACACAAAGTAATGTTGTCACACTGTGGCCTGTGCCAGTATTACATGCAGACCTCTGCTTAGAGCTTCATAAATGCTTTGACGCTTACTTTTGTTCAACACCAGAGCTGCAGTCTTGAAAGACAGTAGATATAAGGTGATTTTAAAATAAGTGAGCAAGCACGAGGCTGTTTGATGTTAATTCTGAATTTGTGATTCTGAAAAGCCCCACAGCTACCTAACCTGCAAAGGCGTCAACTGCAGAAATCGCAAGGTCTGCTGTGCTGGTAACAGGCCCCCTGGAAATGATCCTGCTTGAGGGAAATACTTGGTGCCTCCTGTCTCCACTGCCTGTCCTCCCTCTGTTTGGACACAACTCAGAAACATTCTCTTTCTCCAGCCAGGTGAAGAAACCAAAATCTCAAACCACCACCTTCCTTCAACAAACTATCAGCAACAACTTGCCCCTCTCCCAATTAACAGTTTTTTTATTTTTAGTTTTGGAGCTGACCATGTGCCCGAAAGTAAATTTGACTGTCTTCTGCGTTGCTCTGCTCATCCACAACTTACACACTCAAGGTATTTGGGGAAACAATAAAACAATGTCACTCAGGTCTTCAGTTCTTCAGTGGAGGCCTGAATATTCAGAATCCCCTAATTTTGCTGAGAATTGTTCTATTTTAACTCTGCCATGCAAAATGCTTTGAAATGGTAATAGTCAGCCCTTACTGACACACCAGCTTCAAAGAATTAATTCGAATCGCAAACAGGGTCATCATTATCCTGCACCCCTCACATCTCCAGAGAAAACCCTCTGTTCCTGTGCATCTTTGAAATGTTAATTGTTTAACTGCTAAAAGCTTCTACACCTTGTAAAAAGAAGGGGAAGCTAAAAATCTCAACTTATGAAATATAGTATACAAGTAATTCTGATTATTAAATATAAAGCCTTTCTGGAGGGTCGGGTGACTGAAAGCTGCTAGGACGTGGCCCAACACAACTTGGAAGTTGGCCCAGTTGCCTGCTGGGGTTGGACTAGGTGACTCAGAGGTCTCTTCCAACCTAAACTACATGATTTTTATGCTACGTATAGCATCAAAATAATTTGTAATTATTGCTGTGAGAAGACTTCTGTAAGGTAATCTGAATCCCATCAGCTCAGAAGGCAGTCATCTCCACCTGAGACTGAAAGCCCTTGCCATAGTCTGGACTGTATTTTTAACAACCCTTCTTCAAAAAATCAGTCAGAACAGTGGGAGGCAGTTGTGTCCCCTACTGTTATCCCACAACTCAACGGACATGACAGTCCAATTTAATTCCCTCCTCCACACTAAGGGATGTAGGTTTGCTATATTTCCTCAATTTTATTAAGTAAAGACCTATTTCCAATGCGGCAAATGTTTCCTAGTTTAAAAATACAGCACAATCAGAAAACATATGACAATTGTGAACCAAAGGCCTCACTGTAATATATCATCCTTTAAAAAAGGTGGGAAAAAATCTCACACTTACATTTCTGGGACACAGCTTACACTGGAAAATCTCTTTTATACAGGCAATAAGATGACAGTGATGTTTCTTGTTTAATCCGTCAAAATTCCTGCAGGCTAAGATAACAACTTCCTGAGGATGAGTTTCCAACCACTTTAACACTTCCCACAGAATATCCTACAAGAGATAGTCATGGCAAATCGTTTATATTACCCTGGGGAAAGAAGTAAAACAAGCAGAGCATTGACAGTGAAGTAGAACCACCAAATCAGCATAGGTCTTGGAGTATGGACATCTGACAGCCCACAGGATGTTCCAGAGAGAAGCACCCCAGGAAAACCTTTCTGCAGGTCCGCGATGATTTGCTCTGGATGTGGGTCTAGCACAATATTCTTAGCAGTTTTATATTTTGATAATATAATACCTATGATAATACCTATGATAATATAATACCTTTTGATAATGATAATTCCTATGAACCTCCTACTTCTTAGAGGCAGGTTAGCAGTAAACCCATCTCCCCAAGCTTCTTTAAGGGCAAACACTGTGTTAGTGGCAAACTGGAAAACAGGGGAAAGCTCTGCACTTGCTCAAACAGGACCTGTTCTCCCCGGTTGTTACAGGCAATGACACTGCTTGGAGCCCACCCATCACTAGCAGGGTGGGCAGGCACTACATCTAACTGTCTGCTCGAGCATGCCATGACATGAAGGGTCCAGACCCCCAATATGAAGCATGAAACCAAAGTTTAGGCAGTTAGGCTACAAACTAAAGCTGCATTTGCTGGGATCTGTACAGCCAGGCGCAGATGAACGCACAGCCAGCTAAGAAAGACGTGAACTGGTCCACAGTGAGAGAGCACATGCAAAAGAGCAACTCACAGCAGTGTCTCCACAGTAGCTGACAGTAATTTGATCATGGGATCCAGACTCGAGTCTCTCTGTCTTTCAGGGAAATACTTTTTCCTCAAAAAAAAAAATGTTTCTATGATTTTATTAGGCTTTTAACACCTTTTCCTTTTTAGTAACACCTGTCCTTATCAGGGAAATGGGACAGCCCTAGGTAGCATCCTGGAACAACACAGGATAAACCCCAGAAACATCAGAACCCCAGAAACACATGCTATGGGGGTAGGTGGTAGAGAGCAAGGCACAACAGTTCCAGATGGATGCTGAAATGTTCCAGCCCTGTAACCTGCCCTACCAATCTTCTCTAGTTTGAGGTCCTCACGTTAGGAAATCAAATAACCTATTCAGAAGACCTTGGGCCATCATTTTCAGATTGTGATGACTCTTAGATAAAACAAGCAGCACTGTGCGTAGAGCCATTCTGAAGGCAAGGACAATACCTGTACAACAACAGTCGTGTACACCATGTGCACGAAGTACAGATTCATTGATGGATCATTGGCCTTGTGGGCAATCCGAAAATCCAAGTATCTAACGCCGGCCTCAAGTTGCTCCGTCACAGTCAGTACCTGAAGGGTGAAACAGAAGACAAAGGTCCCGAGAGCCTGGAAGGTATCTGTTTCTTTAGATTAGATAACTGGAAGAGGTGTATCAAATTAGCCCTATGATATTTTTCACAGGTCTTTCATCTTTAAGATGGTGCTGTAAGGCACCAAGTCACAATTCATATTATTTTACTATCTGACAAGAGGGATCCTGATTTCCCTGCAGAATACACCCCAGACACAGATTAGATTAGTTTCAGACCTCTGCATTTGTCGTGTTCTGAAAGTCAAAGATTCATTAACCTGTGCATAAATACACGATCACTGTTCACAAGACTATTTGTATAAACAAAACCTGCAGGATCAGCACCTTCGAAATTCTGTATATATTTTGTTAGATCAAAGACTTCACCACGGATGTCTCTGCGGAGCTCACTCATCCTCAACAGAAGGAAAAACAAGAATAGAAAAAAATACTAGCTATTGTTCTTTCTTATTAGGGCAAAGTCTCTTAAAAAAAGTTTAATCAACTTGCAGAAGTCCTACAAAACAGAGGATCCCTTCTATTTTAAGTTTCTTTCGGACCTCCCCTACCGACTTTGAGGGCTAAGTGGAACATGTGATAAAGCTGAGTTTCTGGGGCAAAAAATCCCAAATGGTACATCTCTTATCTATATCAAGACTCTTTCATTAAGAAAATAGAAGCAACTTAAATTAATACACTTAAATACTAATTTGTTTCAGTTCAACCTGCTTGTATGGACAACACTTTCAGGTCTCAGAAAAAATACTCTGCACTGATTTAGGCCTGAAAGGCTTCAGCAAAACTAAACCAATGCAAGGTGTTGTGCCCGATGAACCACAGCGGTGGCATTAGCGCCCGGACAGAGCTCAGACAGGTAGCAGGATGTTCACCCTGCCTGGCTTTCACCATCCAACTCTCTGCTCCTAGGAGGGGAGTTTTATCTCCCCTGGCCGTGCCTGAGCTGCAGGGCTGGGGAGCAGCCCTGTGTGACCTGGAGTGCAAGTAGTGGGGTGCCTCTGACCACAGGAGCTGCCAGCAGCAACCTCCACGCCTGCTCGGTCTCCTCCAGGCTGGAGAAGCTGAGGGAGAGACCCAGGGGTCACTGGAGATGGGGAAGTATATGGTTGTAGGTCATATATAACCTTTGTGGCCAGAAAGAGCACCAGAATAAGCTGCTCTGAACTGTCCCTTGGAGAAACTTCTTCCTTTCCACTGGCTGCACGGGAAAACCAGAGAGATTTGGCTCCTTAATTCATCACCTGCATTTGGATACTCAATTAGACACTGTGAATACTGGCCCCAAGGGCAAAATGTAAGAGGAGGCCTTGTGGAGCGATCCTGCCCGGTGCTGCAGCCTCACACCAGGCATCCAGAGCACAAGTGGAGATCGCACACCCAGCATCAGCCACCATGCAGCCAAGACCTGGGGCTGAAACAGAACAGCCAAGGCTGAAGCCAGGCATCTCCGAGGCATTGGGCCATCCAGGAACGCGTGGGCCCTACCACTGGTAGGACTCCTTGATCTGGGTGCTCCAGATACCAACGGGTGGAGTCACCTCCCTGCAGGGACGGCTGGGCACCGCGGCACGTTTCCTGCTCAGCAAGCCGGGCTCGGGCCAGAAAATGAGTGCAAAGGTGTGTGGAGCTTCTTTGTCCCCTCCAGGGTCACCTCATCAGCCAGCGGCCTGCAGGGCAGGAGCTTTCTGAATCTGACAAGGGCTTACGGCACAAAGCAAAAGAGCAGCTCAAGAACAGGCGCTGTGACGAGCGAGTGACCTTGCACATCAATCTGTGACTTACGTGGTGACCCGGAGCGTCCGAGCCTCCCGTGTGCCAGGGCTGCTCGAGCACAGCACAAGGAGCCTAGGCATAATCATTGTCATTTATCAATTATTCAGTTTTAATTCACTAATCATGAACCGCTCCTTCAAAAAGAACAAAAGTGAAAGGATTTCTGGTGCCTCTTTGATGCCAGCGAAGCCTGTTCTTTAGAAAAATCTTCAAAAGCTCTAACTTAAATTATGATTCCCAATTTTGTCTTTAACGGGTATTTGTGAGGAACAGCAAGAGATAACTGCTACCTTAAAATGTAGTCATTTTAAAAAACGAACTAAACCTTATGTGAGGTGTCAGACCTTCATTCTCTTGATCTGTAATGGTAAAAGTTCCCTTAACCAATAGTTTTTTCTTTGCTGCTCACTGAAATATTTACACAATAAAGCAAGGGAAAACAACAGACACCTCACACAACAGTGACAGTACAAACAATGGGATTACCTTCTGAACACAGTGCAAGAAAAGAAAAACCCTTTTACTGGCTTCCTTTGATAATACTGATATTAAATGTTAACAATAACAATAAACATGCCAAAAGGATGATGGGTTTCTACTAACAAGTGGTCAGTTTTAAGCAACATCTTTGTGAATCCTCCCTGCCTAAGCTGAATGATTTTTTTCCCTGCAAAAATAAAGTAAAAATAAAAAAAGATCTGGTATGTACAGCACAGGTATTTCATGAGAGCACAGATTTCTAGGCTAGAATAGAAATAGGAAGTTCTATTCTCTCATTGCTGTGTGGGAGAACATGACCACCCTCAGCACAGCAGCACATACTTCATATTTGTTCAGGCCTGGGAGTGTTGGACAACACTTACCTGCGTTATAGACCACTTCATAATGATCGGGCGTACAATGCAGGGCATAAATTTATTTAAAAACTCCACCAGCTTCGATTCATTGCCGCTAACGGCCGAGTTTTTATCCAAGCAGTACGTCATAGTGTCGTGACTCCCTGTGGAATACAAAGGTAAATGTTAAATGAATGTCATTTCTTAATTACTCAAATGCCACAAGACATGGTTATACTGCAGGCACACGCCTGACACACCACCTCATTTCCAAAACATACCTGTGTATTGCTTGTAGGTATGTATATTGCCCATGTAGGTATGGTCAAAAGGTGGGCTCTTCTACAGAGATCGCCCACCTGACATTGTCAGCACGAAATCCACATGAAGGAAGGGCACTGAGACTTGTCAATATTTTTCCCTGAAGTAATTCTTTTCCTTGAATCTATTTGGAATTTGTCCCAATTTCAGACTTGTTCAGGATTTCATGCCCATGCCCCTCACCTTTGCCCAGGAAAATATACAGAACCATGCCTGAAAGCTGAAATTCACTTTCTTACACCTTTGATTGGACCAACTCCTAATCTGGCACTTAACGCATTTGTATCTTAAATATCTGGTAAGATCGCCTCCCTGAACAAAACACGGGTGCTTGAAGGCTTCAGAGACAAATCTAATCTAAGTTTGCATGTGACAGACGGGCAGGATCCACCTTTCAGACTTCAGAACTACCTCTTTCCAGCACAGAGAATTACAAGTTACGTATTAGAGTCAAGTACAGCGTGTCCAAATGTTTGACTTCCAAGAAATGTTAAGCCTGACACAGCTCTTGCATCATATTTAGATGAACCTCCATGTCTGGTTTCTTCGGTACAGGCAGCCAGCGTTTTTGCTAGCTTCTTCTGTTCCATTACTTCTTCTGATTTTGAAAAGCATCGATAAGCTAACAACTCCGTGAAGTGATTTGCTAGGATCTTTACACAGTACCTGCAAGGAATTTGCATATCATTTTGGTTTTTAAGTCTTCTGTCAAAGCATTCACTGTCTTACTGGTGCCAATGGCAATACTTCCAGTAGCCAAAGGAAAAGGACAGGGTTGTATTTGAAACAGAGAAAATCATTTAAAATGGTCAGAAATTGCTTAATGTCTCAGTATTTTTCACCTTTACAATCTGCTTTCTGCCTCTATTTTCCTGCTTTAAGCACCCAAGCTAAGATTACTGCAGAGGGAAGTTTGACAATGAGGGCAGTCAAAGAAGTTTGCCCTAAAAGATGAAGGAGTCAAACCACTAAATCCACATGGACTAAATCCAAGTCTGAGAGAAGGGAACAGGATTCCAGCCATGGGTGTTGCATCTGCTGATGCCAACCAGCCTGCGGATAATAACCTTTCATTTAGGAGTCTTCTTGTGATGTCAGTGGGTTACAGTGATAAGAGGAAGATGGCATATCCATGATGCAACGAATACAGTGCAAAGACAGTGAGGTAGCAAAAAATAAAAATAAAAATGCAGTTTTGGAACTTGAAATGGCATCCCCTGCGGCACCATGGTGACCCTGGCACAACTCAGCATCAGTTTCTGAAAGCTGCCTCTGTCTCGTCATGATTTCAGAACACACTTTCTCAGGTTTCCTGAGTGCCTTGTTGTCTTCTTTATCTGAGACGAGCCCAGCCATCCCACTCCGGGAACCCCTTGGCTTGTGACACCTTTACCATGTCCTAGGGACCAGACGGACAGGCCTGGCTTCTGTGAGGAGGTCTAACAGCTTCTGTTTCCTAACTGAGTTTCCCCCAGACGTTGCTCCCTCTGACGACCTGCCAGAGCTGTCCTGACCTGGTTGGTCTTAATTTGTTTTGTTCTGACCTGGGCTGGACGAGTTTTGTAGGTCAAATGGAGAAGCAACAAAACCTTCCAAGCTACATGTCCTGCAGTGCTCAGAAAAATTGTACAGCGTTTGCCAAAATGGACTCAGAATCACAGAACATCCTGAGTTGGAAGGGATCCATGAGGATCATTGATTCCAACTCCCTGCTCCACAGAGGCCCATCCAAAGATCAAACCACACGTCTGAAGAGTTGTCCAAATGCTTCTTGCACTCCGTCAGGCTTGGTGCTGTGACCTTGTCCCGGGGGAGCCTGTCCCAGTGCCCGACCACCCTCTGGGTGCAGAGCCTTTTCCTGATATCCAGCCTGAACCGACCCTGCCGCAGCTTCATGCCATTCTGCAGCCGTTCTTCTCTGCCTGCCTGTTCTGCGTGCAGATTTGCTCATGAGAACAGCAAACATTCACAAGAATGCCAACGTCACTGTTAGGAGAAGTGCCAGGAAGTCAAAAGCACACATCAGCAGTTTCTCAGCTTTCAACCAAGAAACATCACTGTGAAAGCTCTTTAGAAATAACACTGTTCCTTTTCATTGAAAACCACAGAGCATGATACTGACTTTTGGAACAATTTTTGCAAGAGGAATAGAAGATAAAAAGAGAACATGACCTTTCTTCTGTCATAAGATAGTTACTTATTTTCTTATTTTGTTAATTAAAAAAGAAATTAGATTTTCTTTATAATATCTGAGTACTCTTATTTAGACTTTATCCAAAAACTGAGAGGTGTGCTTGTTTTGATGTTAACATCACTTTAAATTTCACATCCAAAAAGTCACCGTGAAGTAAGTTTCTGCTCTTCACTTTAAATCATATTCCGCTATTCCACGAGGGGTAGAAGAGCTCCACCACAGTTCTCAGGTCCTCCCAGGGCTCTGCTCACTGAAGACAAGACTTGATTTTCCTCGTTATCTCTAAATACAGCTTTGCTAAGTTAACCTAGGATTCTCTAACCTACATAAAACATCCATCCACATGCTGTGCTGCTTTCCACCCAAACCGTCACATCTAAAGGTGCGAGAGAAAATGTGGGCTGGACTGTCCTTCTGTACCATTCTCACTGGGGAGGCAAAGTGCTCAAGAGCTAACAGTCCTCTGGTGCCTTCCCACAAGCCAGTGAAAACAGGTTCTCCTGTAAATTCTTTAGGCAGAATGAGAAAAAAAAATCTCCCCAGGGCAGCAGAGAGAACCAGCAATATGACCCCAAAAATGCTAATGATAAGCAGGTCTGGATGCAGTACCAAGGAGGACTCCAACTATAATGCAGGTGCATTTACCCATAACTGCATAAATCTAGTTTTACATATTAGAAAAAAAAATGGCCAAGGTGAGCAAATGCTCAGATTATTAGAACTGATCTGACAAGATGATTCAGAATCATCTTGTGCATCTTGATGCCAAAGAAGTCTCACTTTCTTCCCTTTCCTCAAGAGATCATTTTTCCCCTCCCCTCTAAGAAACCCCCCAAAATACAAAATAAAGATATTCATACACTTGCACACGCCACACAAACACTCCCCCAAGCCCTTCTCCCACACGCTGACCCAAATAATAAATATAGCCATCCTGAAATGGCACAAACAGGATGTTCCAGTGCTGAAGTGACATACCAATAACGCATCACAGGACAAAAGTTAATCTTTACCTGGAAGAGCTAAGTTATAGAGGGGAATATCCCAGAGCTTTTCAGGTAACTCTGACATCCACTGGCCATTTTCGTGGCACACATGAAGGGAGGTTTGCAAAGGGCCTTCCATTAGTACCTGTTCTAGGACGTCATAGGCTGTCCTGGGAGGAAAAAAAGAAAAAGATAACTAAATTATTCCATACACTGTGGCTGAGTTAATGCCATTGGACCTGTGCAGAATGTATTTATACGTGCTGTAAAACGTCAACCCTTCTCTCAAGTTGCAGCAGCAAAATGTCAAGAGCCTCACAGGCACAGGATACACTGCTCCTGCTAATATTGCCTTCCCACACAATGCCAAAGGGACGATCCAGCTCTGAACTTGCAAAGTGACCCACTGAAAGAAAAACAGAGCCAAGACAAACATGAGCAGCTTTGTCAGTGTGGAGAAATGACTGTCTACGTTGGCTATATCAACTACCAGAGCAAGCTATAGCCTGCTTCCAGAGGGAAACACTGTCTGTTCCCAAATCCTTGGCAGCCCCCAGGGGCATGACGGCAGGGCCAGGCAGGGGCTGGGTCTGCAGGCCCCTCGAGAGCACAAAGCTTCAGTCCAGTCACTGCAGCACCGCCTCTGCCAGACACGGGATCTTCACATCATGCTGGCCTCTGGAGTCTGAGAAAAATTCCATCTCCTTACACCCCGCTTTGACAAGATCTCTTGATGTCTGTCCTTATTACTGCTGCTAAGTCCGTGACCTCAAGTATTTCAGTTGGTCAGACCTTCCTGAAAGCTACTCTGGAAGCGTTCTTCTTGGATAAGTATCTCCAGGATCTCCTGGAAAATTTGCAATAGTTACTCAGGAGTGCCAGCAGGTGAAACTCAGGTGAGAATTCAAGCTCATCACTAGGGCCTGCTAGAGTTATTCTGTTCATTTTTCGCTTTATTTTCTCCTGAACAATACAGAACATGAGGATGAGATCCTCATGCCATTTTTTTTCTTTCTAGGATGTTGCCTGAAGGTCGGGTTTTGTTTGTGAAGCCTTCCTTCTTTCCACTAGTGTTAAGGTTTTACCTGTTGTTTTTTGTCCCCAGCTAGGTAGTAGAACACTTTTTTAGACCATGGCACAGTGATCAGCAGCAATAACATCACATCTTCCATTTCCTTTTCAAAAAGCTGGCACTGTAAATGTTTCCTTCCTGCAGAGACAGCAGTCACATATGCATCGTGCAGGCTTTGTGCTGCACCAGCCCTCCTGACTTGTCCCTGTTCCTTCTTGCTGCATCTCTGCACATTGAGTCCCCAGGTTGTTTCTCCCCAAAACATTCTTTCAGCTGTTTTGGGAGGTGGCCGGTTCTTCAGCATTTACAAGCGAGCCGTGCTATTTATATGAAGAACCCGTGGTTTCCTTAAACACAGCACAATGCATTTTTTTGACAGTCACATGAGGTCATCTGAAAAGTAACGTGAGGAATGGCTGTCCTAAGCTTTACGCACACACCAGATATAGCAGGTACAATCGGCTTTTGCATTTGCTGATGCATGATGCACGTAGCATCGCTCGTCCAACCTGCCTGGCTGCGCGTTTGGTGTGGCTTTGACTGGGTCTAATTGAGTACTTCCACCCCAGTTACGATAAGGACGGGATCCCGTCCTCCAAGGGAAGTGCCCAGCGGCCGCAGCCTGGTGACAGCACAGCGACACTGCCCACGTGTCCTGGGGTTTTCCGCCTGGCAAAGAGCGGCTGCCTCGGAGGTTACCCGCACACACGCACAAGACCCTTGCGCAAGCAAGGAAGAAGTGGTTTGAACCTGCTCCCCTGGTCTGCTTGCTAAAAACAGAGCAGGTATTTGATGGGCTCGGTGCAAAGGCCAGTGGAAAAACTCCCATGGGTTTATTTTTTAAAAAGTGCAGATCTCCTTGTCATGGATGAGCAAATAGTCTCTACGTGCCACATCTGGCACATTTAAGTTGAAATCTCAGCAGGATCACCTCAGACATCTCCCAGCTCTGCAATATAACATGCTGACCCTCTGCCGCCCGCAGACCCCGTGCTCCGACAGCGGAGGCTTCCTGCTGCTCTCGTCCCCTTCTGCTGCATTTTGTGGCTCGTCTGACTGCACAGCACTGCTCTCCCAGGGCTGCCCTGCTCCTTTGCAGGAGCGATGCCCCCAGGCCATGCCGGAGCTGTACCCACTGCCACCCTCTCCACAGAGTATTTTCACTGCCACGGCTGACACGGGCACAGCCCCCCGGCCCTCCACCAGCCGCAGCTCTGCCGCACGGGGGCTGTCACCCAGGGGTGGTTGGGCAGTGAGAAGCCACCAAGCCGGGAGTCCTTGCGGAGAGACCACTTCCCTCCTCCTCCTCCATCCAGCCTCAGCTTTCTGCTGACCCTCCAAGGACCCAGCTCATTCAAAGCCAGAAATTAAGCTACCCCTGCTGAAAAAGATTTGGGTTTCTGCCACATTCGTCCCTCACAGGGGATGCCCAGTGACCTCTCAGCTGGCACAGTCACTGCCCTGACCCCAGTGGGACCCGGGCACTCCGTGAGGGGCATCCTGCTGGGCTGGGGGAAGCCAGCAGTGACAGAAATGTCGAGACCAAGCCGTGCTGTGGTCCGGCTGCTCAAACCCCATACAAAAGCAGGCTCTGCCCCAAGCACAGCACAGCCCCTCGCTGCGCACTCCACACCCAGCTCCCGGCTTGTACCTTGTGTCAGCGAGGCGGCACGTCCTTTCGGGAGAAACCACGGCTAGCCTGCAGGAACGAAATCACAACCCTTAGCTATAACCATAAGTAAATCTCACAGTTTACTCCCCCGTACGGTGTCTTTATTCCCAGCTCCCAGCCTGACAGCAGTGCCACAGAGCCGCTGCCTGCTTTCCGACCCGACCCGGGGCAGTCCCAGTGCAGAATAATGACACTTTAAAACAAAACGAGCCCTAAAATACGGAACCCATCTGGGGTGCCTGAGACCACCGCCCTGACAAAACCCAGCCACGGCGCTGCCCTGCCCGCAGCCGTGCCCCCTGCCCGCAGCAGGGCGGGCGGGCGGCTCCCCCCTCAGCCCCCTCAGCCCCCTCGCTCCTCACCTCCTCGCAGCAGCAGCGGCACCGCCGCCATCCCGCTCCCCGGGGCCTGCCGGGGCTCCCCGGCACAGCCGCGGGCACAGCCGGGGCCGGGCGGGGCCGAGGCCGGGGCTGGAGCCGGGGCTGGGGCCGGGGCAGGCCCCGTGCAGGTGGCGGAGGGGCGGGAGGAGCCCGCGGCTGGCTGGGGGTGGAAGGGAGCAGCGGGGAGGGCGTTAAAGCACGAAAATATAAATAAATAAATAAATAAATAAATAATAAATAAATAAAAAGTCTTAAAAATACATGAGTGGTACCTGAGGTGTCTGCGGCTTCGTCCCTTTCTCGCTGTTTCTGTTCTTCAGTTTCTTTTCCTCATCTTGCCCCTCTCGCACCCGTGAGGCAGTTCGGGCATGCACCCCTATTTATGCCGGCGCCCCGCAGAAATCCAGGCAAGCGCCTCAAAGAGCTGTCCTGTGGAAGCAGGCAGGCGGTGAGGCAGGGAGGGAGTGCCCCAGGGAGGCAAACACGCAAAGCCTCGGTGCGGTTTTGGGAGCAGGGTGCCCGCAGGGCCTCTCGTCACCCCTCCTAGGGGGTCACCTGCAGTGGGGCTGCGGGGTCACACCGCCGCCAGGACGAGGGAAAATTGAGGCTGCTGCCGTGCCGTGCCTCTTCACGCAAGGGCGTATCTTCCAGATACCCCTGCTTCACTATCGCAGCTTTGCAGAGGAAAAAGGAAGAGCCGTGCTCTTGCACAGAGCGAAACTTGGCAGGGTGGCAGCGGGCAGAGCTGGTTAACATCCAGCCACCAAGCCACTTCCCTCGGCAGTCCCAGTGCCAGAGCTCAGACTGCTGTGTGTAGACCAACACTCCTCTAAATCATCCCCAAATTTTCGGGAGATACAGAATAGACATGGAACAGGTTGCAAAGGTAGGAACCAAAAGGACAAGATGCCCAGAGGGGTGAAGTTGAGCGAAAGAGAAAGCAATAAAGAGGAGATGCTGGTTACAGGCTGTGGGGGTTTCCATAGGCGTGACAGAAAGTGTCTGAGAACAGTTTCAGGAGAACCATCATGTGTGAAGTTGTCAGGACTAATTGGAAAATACGGCTGTGGAGAGGAAGAGTTGCAAGAATTGTGGAAAGGAAGAATTGCAAGCTATTTTTGTGTTGATTTGAAATGAACAACAGAAAGCTCAAAAACAAACAAACAAACAAGCAAAAACTATGGAGGTGAAGTACCAAAATATTTTATTCTGGAGGCATTATAACAGGACTTCACACCGTAGTGATGTGAAGAATCTGCTGACTTACGAAGGACGGACTCTTGCAAGCCTCCCCTCAGCAGGAAAAGCCCTCTCTGATCCGTACCCTTTCAAGTCTGAGTTTGGGTCTCAGGTTTTTGCCAGCGGGGTTGGACCCAATGATCTTTCGAGGTCCCTTCCAACCCCTTAAATTCTGTGATTCTGTGATTCTTCTTCAGCTGCTCTGGAATTACTGGAGACAGTGAGACAGTTGCTCCTGGTTTAGTCCCTAGGTCACAATCTCTCTAAGGGGGATTTAGGAAGCCAGTAAAAGGAGGAATGATGGGAAATTAATCAGCAAGCGATTAAGCCCTGAATAAGCATGTCTCCCAAGGAAGGGTCAAGGAAAGGATAACCTATAGCAATATTTGCAAAAGTAATGATAGCAGATCTCAAGAACAGGGGGGGAGAAGCCCAAGATTTCTCACCATGCCTGCAAAATAAATGTCTACATTAAAAAGATGGATAGTGGAGTTCAAAGATATTGGACACAGAAGAACTTCTTACCCAGAAGGAGCTTTTGAAGCATTTGGTAATAAAAAGGTTTAAAGCTGGTAACATTTATGAGAATCAAAACACATAGATACAGAAGCTTCAGCACTGCATCTTGATGGAAACACAGGCCTGATTTATAGCTGTGGATCAGAGCAAAATATTTCTGGTTTATTGGTAAGAGCGACACCAGTCAGAGAGCCTTAAACTGGACTTTATACATTTAAATAGGCCCGGCTGCCCAAAATAAAATAAACTGCACTCAGTCTGAGAGAAATCAGTCATCTTCTCTGAGGACTTGCAGCCTTCGGAGGTTTATTGAATGCTGACAATATCTGGGATGTTGCATGAAATTTTTTTCTTCCCTCACCGTGTTTTTATTTTATTTCCAGACATTGCACACCTCCTCTTTACTCCTTAACATGCAGAAATGCCACGCAGCTTGTAAACAACCTTAGCTGAATTCCCTGGATTTGAGATGTTTGCCTGTTCTGGGGACATTTGCAACACCCTGGCACTGTATGTTTGTTCCTGCCCTGACTGACTGATAAGCCCCCTCAACCCTCACCTAATTTCTGTCTTTGGGGACAAACAGATAGCCTAACGTTTCAGAGAAGAGGCTGCATATCTGACAGCTGCAGCTGTGAGGACGCCTGAGAGCAGGGGAACAGTGGTGAGGCAGCCTGCAACACCAGGGAGATCACCCTATGCAAGAAAAAGGGACTGGGAAGGTGGTCAGCGCTACAGCCACCCCGCAGGTCTGTGCCCTAGGGAAAAAATATGTCCCAGGCATGCCTGGAGTTGGTTTCTGGTTCCCTGTGTTTGCTTCTGGGGCTGGTGCGCTGATTCCTGATCCCCGTGTCTGTCAATGAGGTGTCTTTGGTGACCTAGTACCAGGCAGCAGGAATCATCTGGCACAAGGGTTTTGGTGGGATTTAGGTAACCCGAACACACCCCAGTGTATCCACGCCATCACAGAGGGACAGCCCTGGCTTTGTTTGCAGCAGGCGAATTCAGAGTAAAAATGCTGCTCTGGTAGCTCAACACTGAGCACAACACTGCTGCCCTGGTGTGATGGATACTCAGGAACCAGGGCTGCATGATGTGCATTTTCTCATCAGTTTTGCAAGAAAATTGAAATGTTTTGGTGGATTTTAGAATAACAGAGAGGAGAAAGAAAATTGGAGTTGAATTTTATTAGCACAAATTTTAACTGAAATTCTTGAACAAGAAAAAAAAAAGATTTCTTCAGTTTGATTCAGTCCCATTGATGTTAACTGTGGCTTCAGTGGGCTTGAGGCAAGGTCCAAGCAAAACAATTTTCTTCTCAAACAGAAGCAACTGAGATTTCAATTTCAACATGACTACACCAGTGTTGACAAGAAAGGTTGGAAAGCCCTAAAAAAACACTGAGTAAAGCTAGGTTAGTTCTCGTCCCACCAGTGTTTTAAAAAAGACTCTTCCAAGTACCTTAAACAAGTGACTTAAGTCCTTCCAAGCGGACAGCCACAGTGTGAGCCGTGTGCTGTGGGGAGGGGAAGGATCCAAGAAATGACAATTTTCCTCAGTGCATGGGACAGACTCTTGCAGCTTTCTTGTTACAACAGTGGCACATCCTCCTAGAGTCTCGGGGTCCTCCACAAACACTCATTCCCCCTCCTGACACCCCGCTAGGCAATCCTCTGCTAGTCAGGGAATGATAAAATGGGGCAGGAGCCATGTGGAGCTGCTGGTTCCTCTTGTCTTTCAGACAGGTAATCAGCTGTGTCCACTGGATCAGCAGACCACAGAAGGCCAGCTAGCACGTGGGGACACAGCAAAGCTGCTCATAATATGCTGATAAAAAGAGAGGCTGGAGGGGAAGATAAACAAATCTTCCTCATCAGACCCAAAGCCTGAGAAGATAGGAGGACGAGGAGAAGGAGGCTTTGCTGCTAGAACCCATTCCCTGCATGGTGAGAAGCCATCTCCCTGGGAACTGGGGAGACACTAGAAAGGGTTTCCAGTTACAAGCAATGAATAAGGGAAGCCTGCTCCTCTCATTCCTCCCTTTTCTCAGCTTTGTTTTCTGGTCCTTTTCCTTAAAAATTATCCTTAAAAATTATCCTTAAAAATTATGGGGACGAGGCAAACTCCTGAGCTCTGGCAACTGTTTTCTCACCACACTCCCCATCCTACACAAATCTCTCTTTCTGATAGCTGGGACAAGTCAGAAAAAAAGGAAAAAAATAAAAATAAATGACACCCTAATCCCCACAGAAGCTGAACCCACAGGGTAGAGCAACACCTGTCCTCCAAGGAGGCAGCTCTCAGAGTGGCACAAGAGGCAGCAGCTGGGGCAGGAGGCGAGCTGCAGTGTTACAGTGCCCTGCCCACATCTTTCCTGCACGCAGCTCCTAACGTGGTGGCAGAGTGGGGAGGAGGAGGGACTCTTCTTAAATCCATCACAGTGGTGAAGCTGAGAGCAAGTCTTGTGTCCCTGTGATCAGCTGTGAAAACCAGGCACCTGCATCCTCGGGGACAAGTTTCCAGTACCTTTGACACTGGGCAGAGGCTGTAGTGTCTGTGTCTTTGAGCCATCCAGGCCTTAATTCCTGATGCTCTCCTGTAGGTTAAGCCTTGATGGCTCTGAGCTTGGATCATTGGGAAAGAACTATGAATACTTTCCTCAAGATTGTCTCCCTCCCACCCCACCACCATGCATTCCTGGTTTGCATGGTCAGCCATAACCACAGCCTGACGTACAGTAAGACCCTTCAGGGGCCATAATTGGGCACCAACATGCCTCACCTATCGACAAGGTGGCAGAGGTCAGACAAACCACATCCTCGGTGCAAAAGCAGCCCTACCCCGTGCCATGCAAAGCCGTATCTGATGCATTTGTGTAGACGTGGTGCTCATGTTTGGCCTCAGCACGCTTATCGTAAGTACCTGGGCGTATGACCAAAGGCACTTGGGCAGTGCAGGTGTGGTCTGAAGTGACCTGTAGCAGAGGCTCGCTCTCCAAGGGGACATGAGCAAACAGCACGAGTCCTCCGTGCCAGAGGCTGCAGGTGCAGGGCTGGTGGCAGCTGAGCTCATGCTGCTTGCCTGGGTCAAACGCTGCTAATAATACAGGCTAGGATCTACAACAGAAAAGTGATGTCCTATGCAGTTCCAAAGGGACCAGGAAACATGACAAAGCATTTTATCCTTTATTACATTTTTTTTACTTTATTACCTAGTTAAAAAAAAAAAAAAAAAAAAAAAAAAAAAAAAAAAAAAAAAAAAAAAAAAAAAAAAAAAAAAAAAAAACACCATAGTGACCTCACCGTGGCCTAAAAGTAGCCACTCGCTGGAGGATTGTTTTCCACTGGCACTCGCTGAAAGTTGGTGTCAGGAATGGGGAGCTGAAAAGTCGCACCAGACACACAAGGACTGCAGCTACCAGGCATTGCTACCTAGGGGATGTTACTAGCACTGCTGAGCACAACGTACAAAACGAGGTGCTGTCTGGCCTCAAAAGCAGATTTGCCAAGCCTCAAAACGCAGCATTAACAAACCAGCGCCTTTCAGAGGCAATGGGATGAAGCCACCACCATGCACTGGGGGCTCGGCAGCTGCTTGAATGCCACTGGTTGTGTTTCATGAAGGAGACACAAGGAAAGACAGAGGAGCTGCTCTAGCAGTGGCCAAACCCCAGCTGACTGTAATTTGCTTCCTCCCATGGGTTAATGTCCCACAGCAGGTTTTTTTCTGTTGGACTAAGATGCACTAAGACTTCTTCCACCCTCACCCCCAGCACCCTGTAGGACTTTGTACATCTCCCTGCAAGGAAAAAAAAATCCACTGCCTGTTATAAGCAAATCATATCCTACAAAAGATAGTCTGAAGACTGTCTTTTGGCAATGGGCTTTTCCATGGATTAAGATTTTTATGACTGCCAAGTTTTGCTGTATAAACCACGTCAGTCTTCCTTGC